AGGGTTTTTTACATGTAAACCAGTATAATGCAACTTAATGGGGATTTTTCCATGTAAACCAGTATTATGCAACTTAATAGGGATTTTTCCATGTTAAACCAGTATAATGCAACTTAATAGGGATTTTTCCATGTAAACCAGTATAATGCAACTTAATAGGTTTTTTTCATGTAAACCAGTATAATGCAACTTAATGGGGATTTTTCCATGTAAACCAGTATTATGCAACTTAATAGGGATTTTTCCATGTAAACCAGTATAATGCAACTTAATAGGGTTTTTTTCATGTAAACCAGTATAATGCAACTTAATAGGGTTTTTACATGTAAACCAGTATAATGGAACTTAATAGGGGTTTTTACATGTAAACCAGTATAATGGAACTTAATAGGGGTTTTTACATGTAAACCAGTATAATGCAACTTAATAAGGATTTTTACATGTAAACCACTATAATGTAACCTAATAGGGGTTTTTTACATGTAAACCAGTATAAAGCAACTTAATAGGGATTTGTACATGTAAACCAGTATAATGCAAACCTAATAGGGATTTTTTTCCATGTAAACCAGTATAATGCAACTTAATAGGGATTTTTCCATGTAAACCAGTATAATGCAACTTAATAGGGATTTTTCCATGTAAACCAGTATAATGCAACTTAATAGGGTTTTTTCATGTAAACCAGTATAATGCAACTTAATAGGGTTTTTTTTTCATGTAAACCAGTATAATGCAACTTAATGGGGATTTTTCCATGTAAACCAGTATAATGCAACTTAATAGGGGTTTTTACATGTAAACCAGTATAATGCAACTTAATAGGGTTTTTTCCATGTAAACCAGTATAATGCAACTTAATAGGGTTTTTTCCATGTAAACCAGTACAATGCAACTTAATAGGGATTTTTCCATGTAAACCAGTATAATGCAACTTAATAGGGTTTTTTACATGTAAACCAGTATAATGCAACTTAATGGGGATTTTTTCCATGTAAACCAGTATTATGCAACTTAATAGGGATTTTTCCATGTAAACCAGTATAATGCAACTTAATAGGGATTTTTCCATGTAAACCAGTATAATGCAACTTAATAGGGTTTTTTTCAATTATTGGGGATTTTTCCATGTAAACCAGTATAATGCAACTTAATAGGGATTTTTCCATGTAAACCAGTATAATGCAACTTAATAGGGTTTTTTTCATGTAAACCGCAACTTAATAGGGTTTTTAATGTAAACCAGTATAATGGAACTTAATAGGGGTTTTTACATGTAAACCAGTATAATGGAACTTAATAGGGGTTTTTACATGTAAACCAGTAAAACCAGTATAATGCAACTTAATAAGGATTTTTACAGGGGGTTTTTACATGTAAACCAGTATAAAGCAACTTAATAGGGATTTGTACATGTAAACCAGTATAATGCAACCTAATAGGGATTTTTCCATGTAAACCAGTATAATGCAACTTAATAGATATTTTTCCATGTAAACCAGTATAATGCAACTTAATAGGGATTTTTCCATGTAAACCAGTATAATGCAACCTAATAGGGATTTTTCCATGTAAACCAGTATAATGCAACCTAATAGGGATTTTTCCATGTAAACCAGTATAATGCAACCTAATAGGTTGCATTATACCACCAGACCAAGACCCAAACGAAGACTCAGACCACCACCAGATAATGACCACAGACCAGGTTTCCTTAGTTACAGGAACCAAATTGTTTCAGCGGTGAGGGGATTTTTCAGTTTCAAGGACACTTTCAATACATTCAGTAGTTTCAAGGATTTCAACTGTTTAAGAATTTAACCAGTTTCAAGGATATCAGGAGGTTCAAGGATTTCAGGAGTTTCCACACTTTCAACAGTTTCCAGGTTTAACAAAGTTTCAAGGATTTCAGGAGTTTCAATGTTTCAACAGTTTCAAGGATTTCAGGAGTTTAAAGGTTTCAACAATTTCAAGGACTTCAGGAGTTTCAAATATCTATCAAGTATTTTAACAGTTTCAAGGCCTTTTAAAGGATTTCAAGGATTTTTTTTAGCAGATTTCCACATTAGATCTGTTCCGCAGTCAATCGCAATGGCTTCAGCCATTGCAAGTTTCTAGTTTTAAGATACTATTGATTTGTTGATTATTTGACTATAGTTAAAAGCCGGCAAACCATAGTTTAGAACCACTGATCAAGACTCAAGAAATAAGTTATAGAACCCAATATTAGATTTCTTTACAATGTATTTCCTCTTTTTTTGAATGTGTATCTAGGGTCGTTTCAATAAAATGTATAGCTGTGTAGCCATAAATCACAGAAGCAGTCTAAATGCAATAATAGCCAAAGCAATTTCCAATTCTGTGACTTCTTGTTACTTACGTGGCAATAACAATGATTCTGAGCAGACAGATAGAAGGCGTTGGTCTATAGGGGGCTGATGAGCAATGTCCATAAATGTCCATAAGTACCCAGGATCATCGTTGTCTTTACACCTTCCTGCATCAGCAAGGAACAACTCAATTCCATTTGTAAACACTGACCTTTTTGAAATTGACCTTCTCCATTAAATTGATACAAATGTCACTGGGACATCCTGAGCCAATCAATGACTATCGCTGCCCAACGCAATTTTGAAGCACGACAGAAAAAACATTTGTCTTTGTGGGAAAGAAATTTACATTTGTTCGCTTGATACGGTTTCGTGTGTTTTGAGATTAGGTCTGCTTAATTGTACTGCTATTTATCAACACGTTTATCTTCTTCCTCCTCATTGTTGTGCCCCAGTTATGTCTGCTGGTATCATCTGATTCATTTGTCCTTCACCGTATCTCTGGAAACATTTGGAGAATAACAGTTCTGACCTGAATACAGCTCACAGTCTGTTAAAGTCATTACCTCAGGAGAACATTAGGCTTGTGTATCATAGAGTTACCTTAAAAATGCTGTTGGCCATGGAACAAAATGGCTGCATACATAAATACAAACGCATGTTATGGATGCGGTTATAACTTAATGTTTTACTTCAACCAATATCCACCGTCGGAAAGTTAGTATGTTGTTCAATGTGAAATTAATGACACTATCGCAAGCCTTTGTTTTAACCCCCTAACATGCACTCCTTGAAGAAAGCAATGTACATTTTTCTTTTTTCAATTTTCTATAGGAGCACTAATAACACTAATAACTTTTCTTTTTATTACCCCTATTTTTTTTTAATTATTATTATAGGCCAAATGATTGAGATGCAGTTTGATGCTAAAAGTTCCAAAGAGGTATATTTCAGTTCCAAGCTTTAAGTAGATATAGTGACTCAAAAGGTGATCCACCAAATGCTTCAAGAAACAAATTAAAGGGTTAAAGTTGATAATTGGCTCACAGCTTGGAAAATAACGATAACAACTGATTTTCACCTGTGTGTGCTGTGAAATGTGATTCTAACACATTTACCATATGTCACTGCTATGGCTGCAAAAAATATCAGAATTTCTCACATTTGCAACATCACAGCTTTAGCTCCAAGGATTTTTTTTTTTAACGGTTTTTAGGTCCGTAGATCATCTCCAGCTCTCACCTCGACTCCCTTCCATAACAACAGTATGCAGGGCCCTCCCATGATTCAGCCCCACTTCCACCAGTAGATGGCGGTGTTAACAATTGCTGCTGATACCTCTTTTTAAAACACACACCATAATAATTGCACATGTTCAGAGCTATTTTTGCAGTGACTGTTGTTAGGTGTTGATTTTATTCTCCAAAGGACAAAGGGAAGCAGTTTCTCTCGACAAAAGCAAAAATAACATCATTCAACAAGACGAGTGACATTTTGCCAGTTTCCCTTGAGCAGCAGTTAGTGCATTTGTCACCTCTCATGTTTAATTCACATTCACTTAACACAACACATTTATTCTTCCCAGGCTATGCTTTCACACCCTTATACTTATGATTCTCCGCTCCCAGCATTTTTTGCAGCTACAGCCGCCATTTGAAACACCATTGATTTCCTCGTGTTTTTCTAAGGCAGAAAATGTCAACTGTTTGTGAGTGCGACCTCTGATAGATGACCTCAGAGTATATCTCCTCCATCATGTGACTGTGAGCCAGTATCATAGTGTGGCAGGATTAGCCCATGAGCAATAAAATATGTAATTTATATGTAGTTTTCACCTATGGAATTTTTAAATGACCAATTTTAAGTTGTATTGGTAGGATTTGTTGTTCACTCCCCTTTGTGTTGCTATTAAGACATTCAGGCTTCAGCGTCTGTTTTTTTTAATTAAGTGAAATATGTCCAAATCATGAAGTCAAGGTCAGTATAATGTTGAAAACCGTGCAACAACGCATCAAAAGTGTATTTTTTGCTAAGCCAGTAGTCTATTTTAGTACCATACAATTAAAGTTTAATCTCTTGTTGAACAAATCTGTTACAGTATCTTCGTTTTGAAAATTGCATCTGTTTTGGCCAAATAACTCTTCATATTTAGGGCGTCAGTTCGGACTTTTATTATCGATTTGGAATTAAATGGAATTGTTTCGAACTTAATATTGAGCTTCTTTCATAAAACGGGGACACACACTCATTCACACAGGTCCTGAACACTCTATGATAATAATGATAATGCATGGGTTTTATATAGTGCTTTTTTGGACACTCAAAGACACTTCTCATGGCGTTATTTTGCACTCCATACACAGTGGTGATGGACACTTCCCAGAGGGCTCCCATCACATTACTAACCAGACCATGGCCTGCTTAACTTCAGAAGTCTGAAGGGCTCTAGCTTCCTCATGCAGGTGGTACCACAAACTTACCTGTCTCTCTTCACTCAGTTGTGCAAGTTGAGGGGTGGTGAATACAACCCCTGATTTTTGTGTTTTTCTGGAAAAGCAAAAGTGTTTCCATAAAATAAACGTGGGCGTGTTAAACTGTGGAACTTTCCTATGCAATAACAATATTATATATATATTTATGTGATAACGTATTTGTTCCGTTTGTGCGCAGTGTCGCTTCAGGACATCACCATGAGGAAGGCGTTCCGGAGCTCCACCATCCAGGACCAGCAGCTGTTCGAGCGCACGTCGCTGCCCATCCCCATGGAGGAGACGTACGAGACCTGTGAAGAGCCCCCGCCCCTCCATATCCTCACCCCCTACAGGTCTGCACACATACTGCGCCTTTTCCTTTCAAGCCTGGGTATTTCACTTATTTTTTTTGTAAATGATGCATGATGTTTTCCGTAAAAAATAAGTCTTGTAAAAATAACATGAACAAATCGGACCACTCCAAACTGACTTCATCTTAGTAGAAAATGAGTTATAGATTGATAGATAACTTTATTACGGACTCAAGGTCCAGATCAACACAGACAAAAAAACAGACAATAAAAACCTTTCAAGATGCAGTCATACCAATGTTTCCACAGCAACGAGTTGTAACGTAGCGCGCTGAACACAACACTGTAGAACAAAACGATCACAGCATAATTTTATCTTTTGCGTTCTTGTGAGAATGAGTTTTTGACACTTTGTCTTGCGAGCTGAGTGAGGGTGGTCCTCTCTTTTTCTTTAAAAACTGATGGGAGGCTTAAAATACATGTGACACAGCGACAGAACCAAACTGTTTTGAGAGTGAGGTATTGAGCAAAGCACTTTAACGATCGTGCACTTGTAATCCAATGGGGTTTTACTGCTAATGGCAAATAAAAATAATGAATTAGGTTTCAAACTCTATTGGATTGGCAAAGACTTGTGCATCAGTGAAAGTTAGTCATGAAACCCAATAACTTGATTTTGTACCTAATTCTTTCTTCTTATTATAGAGGACCACAGAATTGTCATGTGGCCCTCTGCCTTACTAACCTACAGTAGCAACAGTGTCATCCAGCCAACTTCAGCTCTGCCACTATAGGCACGCTGCACCTCGATGTGGAATCCATAAATGTGTAAATGGAGAAATTTCAGTGTTTCTTCACCAGTTACAGAATAGTAGAAATGAGCTCACAGCACAAGAATAAATGAATTCATTCATTTTTTACTCGTTTTGAAAGATATTTTCTTTCTTATACAATTGTTTCAGATGACATTAATAATTGCAGAAAGTTAATTAAGCCTTTGAATGAAATTGAGGTTTCACAGAACACGGTTGAGGCCCTGTTTAAAAAAAAAAGGTCAGGAGGGCTAAAGGCCCAGAGGTGATTTGTGGTCGCACTTTGCACCATTGTGCCACTCAGCTCAGCGGTGTGTTTTGTTGTTTATTCCAAAAATGTATTGATCTTTGTCAGATTCCAATGCTGTGGAAAACGTCAACAGTGAAACTTCTTCCCAAATCCAAGAACTCAAAGGATTTGAGCAATTTCAGACCAGTTGCTTTAACCTTACTGGTTATGAAAAGCCTTGAGCACATTTTAAAGACTCACATCCTTTTCTTAACAGAAGGACAGCAGGATCCACTGCAATTTGCGTATCAAACCAAAAAAGGAGTTGTTGATGCAAAACTGTTCTTATTGCATCTCATTTATAAACACCTGGAGAAGGCCGGAGCCCATGTTAGACTTTTATTTGCAGACTTTTCATCGGCTTTTAACAAAATGCAGCCTCATATTCTGATTAGCTGCTGATTTCAATCTCCCAGATAAACTTTTTTTACTGATCTTAAACTTTCTTACTGATCGTGTTCAGCATGTTTTAGTGAATGGGAAAATTGTTGTCGATCATCAGAGAAGAACAGACTTCTGCTTACATTTTCAGACGACACAGTGCTGGTGTCACTGCTTGCCGGCTCAGAGACGGGCCATGGTCCTGCACTAGCACAATTTGTCTCCTGGTGTGAAAACCATTGCTTGGACTTAAATGTTGCAAAGACCAAAGACATGATCATTGATTTCAGACGCGTTACATCCAATGACACCAGCGTCATCCATGGTGGGAATGTTGAAATCGTGGACAGTTAATATATCTTGGAACAACGATAGACAACAAACGGAAGTTTGACATAAACACTGAGTCTATCATGAAACAGTCGCAGCAGAGAATGTACTCGTTGAGGAAATTGAACTCTTTTAATGTAAACAGGACAATTCTTAATTTTTTTTATTGTTCTTTTATTGAAAGCCTTCTTAGCATTTCTTTTATCTGTATGTTCCAAAGCCTGACGCTGAAGGACAGAAACAGGTTACAGAGTATTGTGAAAAATCACTGGAGGAAAACTCTGAGACCTTCACTCTTTGTGGGAGGTGCTGAATAAAGCAAAATGTATTCTGGCTCAGCCAAAACATCCTCTGATCGCTGACTTTGTAATGATGCCTTCAGGTTGTCGTTTTTATGCTCCAACACAAAAAACACATTCTTTTGTGCCCTCTGCCGTAAAACTGTTGAACTCTGGTAGAGGTGGTTGACTTTTTGGGAATTCTGTTAATTGTTGTTTTTTATTTTGTGTTAACCTGCTGCTGTATGAACTTTGAGACTTACTGTGTGTTTGTGTAGAGTATGTGTGTTCTGCTTTGAGTTTATGCTGCAAATGAATTGCCCTTTGGGATCAATAAAGTTTTCTGAATCTGAAGACGGATGAACACAGCACACGATAAGATAAATGAACACAGCTCTATACTAAACTCTATGCTAAATAATTCTATACTAAACTCTACTAAATAAAATGGCATAAAATAAAATGTCTAGCTTTAGCGTAATAAATAAGCAATCTATAATAATTTATAATAAGCAAGAAGGAAATACAAAATGTCATAATCAATTTCAGCATTATAAAGAAGCAAGTATAAATAGCACAATCCTCTTTACTAACATAGCACATTTTACAAAACAAGTTCTCTTTTTACACATACAGTTAAGAATAAAAGCATGTTCCATCTGTGTGCACTCTATATTAGATGCTCCTTCTGTCTACACTTGATGCATCTCAGTCTTGCCGAGTTCTGATTGTTTTAAGCTGAGTAATCTGTAAAGATTTATCCACAGACACATGCTGATGCAGTGATTTTAACATATTAATTAGCGATGAGCAGGCTCAAACACGGCCTTCACACACAGAAGACGCAGATTTCATCTTTCTTTAATATTCCTGCTCAAGGCCAGAGCTCTTTATTTACTCTCTCACTGTCTCTCCTCACTAAAAAACCAACTGTAACTAAAAATCCACAACCAGCCTCCAGGTCAGTTCCCACGCTGCTTCCTGGATTTGGAGGCTTTCTGCCCTGAGCGTGTTACCGTGGTGATTCAGAGGACACGGGTATAAAGTCAGGAAGGACAGCAGTTGATTTCATTATGTGACTCTGCTTTTTATTTTGTTTGTTTGAAATTATATTTTTTGTTTGTTTTCTTGTTATGTACTCACTTTTTTTGTAACCAGTTCAGAAATAATTAGGATTTCTATTTTTATCCGTCATAAAAGGCATAACGTCCCAATAACTTACCCTATCTTTAAAAATAATAATTCTGAAATATTATGTGCAATAGATGGAGCTCAGAAAATGTATTAGAGACGGATGACTCCGAAAATCAATAACAGAAACAAATACAAGAAAAATGGGAAACACTTTCTGGAAGCCAGGTCGCTTTATAGAAAGTGACCTGGATTCAGGAGTACATGTTTGAATTCTACTTCTCTGTAACTTTTTTTCTTTTTCTTTTTGGCTTTTTGTCTTATTTAGCCCAAAAATATACATCATTTTTGACACAAATGTTAGAAAGATATGTTCTAAGTGGCCGATACAATATATTATCAATTGAATCCATAACAATTTCCAGGCTTAAGGGTTGAGTAAGCATTTTGTTTTTGAAATATGTTAAAATATGTCCGTCCCTCCCCTTGGCAAAACCACTGGTAGAAAAAGAGGAGTTTGTGCATTTCAATCAAGACTTGATATTTTCTGTTGTCCAATCAGGAAGCAGGGTAGGATGGGCATGGGCGTGTCAACCTGTGCTCATGCCACAATTTGAAAAGTTACCGACTGTTTTTGTTTTGTTATTGTTATTGTTGTTTTTCCGTCTCGGTTTGTCCGTAGTCTCTCTCTCGCGGCTTTCCAACAGATCCACGCTGTGTTCCGTTGATTTTTCCATCGCACTACAGACGTCTTGTGCCTAAGTGTCGTCTGACTCATCTTCAGTGATCCTATTGTTGCTTTGTGTCTCCCTTTTGTTGATTGCGTGTCATTAAAATGTGCGCTCTTTTCTGTTTGAAGCTGTTCCTTTTCATGTTCGCTCTCCTCACACTAGTCTGTCATCATCCTCAAATAACACAAAGGGAGGAGAAAAAAAATCACATGCCTTCACTTTAAAAAGAGATAATTATGATCGGAAGTGATCATTTGAAGTTTTACCGTTTCACCTTCACCATTTTCTATCGTGACAGCAGCTCAGAGCTTTGGACACGCACAGTACCCCTCAATTTCATTTATTCGTACTTGGAAAGATAAGATTTCACTTCTTCTTTTAGTCTTCTTATAACGGCCACGGTTACTGATAAACAAAAACGTCTTTCTTCAGCAATTCCCCTTGATTTTGAACAATACAGACTTCTAATCAAAGCCTCAAACACCACTACAATGTTCACCCGGAAAGCACATACCCCGCCAAGACCACACATTATCTGGAGTGTTCCTACCGCCCCATCCCATATACAACATAGACTGTGTATTGGGAGTGGACTGACTGAGTGCTGACGTCGCTCATTAGCTTGAATGCAGAAGAGGCTGATTCAGAGCTAGCTTGAACAGACTAGTTGAGCGGGAATGTGGAGCCAAATGTATGTATGTATTTGTTTGTAGCAACAGCTGTGTTACCAAGCACCAATCGGGAACGATGCTGGCATGTCCCACTCCCCTAAAGGGTCAAAGAGGGCACGATACAAACCAATACTTTTCAATTAAGTCAATAGGAGCCAGGGCAAGTTGGAGAAAAACCTATTGGGCAAAATCCATCTGTAAACTGTCCATGGTACGTACCAAATTTCAGCTCAATCCTGGCCATAGAAGAACACACATGCGTAATGAATACTTTGATTTATTTTAGTTTTTCCCAAGTACTTTCTTTTACTGACAGAATGGTGTGATCTTCCCAGACTGCAGCGATGATTGTTGCAAATGCCTGAATAGCGATTATAGTTCGACTAATTGCAAAAGCGTTTTCTATACGACTTCATCATCAATGCGCTATTTTGACAAGACACAATTATAGTAGCCAGAAGTCTTCTCTTATCTACTCCTCCATCCAGCGTGTGTGTGTGTGTGTGTGTGTGTGTGTGTGGGTGTGTGCGTGTATAATGTATTTTGTATGGAGCGGAATAGTTGGAAGTAAGAAAATTACAGTCTTGGTATAATCCCCAGGGAAGAACATTTCTAATCAAATATTAAACCTTCGTTGATAGCGCAGTGCTTTGCTGTTGGGATGCTAATTAATTACCCTGTATGCATATTTGATTTTCACATGCCAAACATTTGTAAAGGATGATGTAAAAAGGGCATTTCCGCACCGTGACTTTGATCTGCTTTTAAAGTTTGACTTGATTTTTACGGAAAATCTGGTCCATTCTCTTCTCCCCTTTGATAATTATTTTCTCTATTTTTACAGGGACGATGGTAAAGATAGTCTCAAGTTTTACACCAACCCCTCGTACTTTTTTGACCTGTGGAGAGAGAAGATGCTTCAGGACACAGAGGATAAGAGGAAAGAGCGACGAAAACAAAAGGTACAGAAATATCATGATTCTCCACCTCTGATCCGTCTGCCCCTGATCTCTTTCAACCTGTATAAACCTTATCTTCTATACAGGGAATTATGTTTAGCTCGGAAAGCATTAATAAGCACTTCAAATAAAACTGACTTCCTTTATGGAGGGTTCACCATCTGCTTGTTACACTGTTGTTGCGATCTGGCCATTACACATGACTATTAAGCATTATTATATTCAAAGTAGAGGCTTAGTGACTCAAAGTAGCAATCATGCCTCACAGCAAGAAGCCTACGCGTTCGACATCTTTCGGTTTGCAGTTTGCATGTTTTCTTTAAGTGGGTTTCCTCCGGGCGCTCTGGATTCCCCCATCAACACAAACATGTGCCATAGGGAGAAAACATCTGGAGAGGGTCCTGAGCGCTGGTTCTGAAAGGTTTCCCCAGTAGCATTGGAGGAGAAGGTCAAATGTTTCAGGACATATTTCCCTCTGGAGACCGTACAGTAGTTTTACTTTTGTTGTATACCCTCAGATGGACGGGATATGCAGATTCTTGTTCAATAAATGAAAGCTGTCCATAAGTATTTCACCCATATGCTGTATATAAACTTGTATATGGGTATAATAAAATCAGTATTTACACGTTTTATAAGTTGTATCTTTAGAGTTAAGAAATTCATTTGAAATAGAACCTTAGGCAATTTTAGAAATGATTCCTGTTGCAAACCCCGTTTTGCATTTGATTAACAAGCTCATTATCTGTTTTTGATTTAAATTATCTTTCATTTGGATCGTCTAGTGACCAAAAATAGGTCCATAATGCATTACAAGAACATAGTTTTACACTTCAAAAGGTGTTGTTGTTACTAGCCTCATAAAGTGGAACGTTCCAGGATGATCTCCATGGTAACGGACATTCTCCACTAACAAATGTATTTAAAAAAACTTTTTTCAATGCTCAAGAGTGACAGTAAATGGGTGAGCGGCACTATACATATACAGTTAAGTTAAGTTCCAATCTGGCAGCTCCATCAGTGCAGGTTATTGGCTTCATACCGTTTATATCACAAATCCATGTTTTCTTAATTAGGCCAGACGCGTTCCTCCGGTCGACCCCTGTGCTCCGTGTTCATTACATCTAATTAATGACAACATCAGCCGGTCCGTCGGCCCTCTCCACCCGTTCTGCTCGGGCACAACCGAATGCACGCATCAGCCCAGTCACCTCGGGCCAAGGGGTTTCCCGCCCTCTGATCCACAGACTCTAATTGTGTGTGTGTGTGTGTGTGTGTGTGTGTGTGTGTGTGTGTGTGTGTGTGTGTGTGTGTGTGTGTGTGTGTGTGTGTGTGTGTGTGTGTGTGTGTGTGTGTGTGTGTGTGTGTGTGTGTGTGTGGGGGGGGGGTAATGTTATACACGTGGTTGTAACAGAAGTTGCTCTAGGCCGGGTATTGTTTTTTTCTATACTTGGAGTGGGCAATATATGGAGCTATAGGCTAGTACCGGGGTGCCCAAATTTCTCCAGGAATTTCCCCACTGTGTTTCTGTACCAAAAAAAACACAAGGGCAACAGCACTAAGGTTATATGAAGATATTCAACATTGGGGTTACTTTAAAAAAATAACCTGCAATTAGTAAAATAAGCAGCTACATGTTTTGAACGGAACCACCTGAACTCACGACTGCTGAAGTGTGATCGCAGAGATTTCAAATTCAATTAGTTGTACTGTAGGTCTGAGTGCTGCTGCAGCTGTCAAAAGCCGGACATACAGAAATCTACAAATCAGCGAGGACGCGAAAGATGAACCCAGAGGGATAACTGTACATTTCTACATTTGTTGTAAAATATGACCTCTCAGTATAATGTGCCAATTCGGGGTGATTTCTACTTTTGTATTACACATAATTAGTTTTGTTTTTAACATGTGTTAATCCTGCAACAACAAAAAAGCTAATGAAAATCAGTTAAAATTGCCAATTACATCCTCTTTTTATCTCACATTTGTCTTATACATTTGTCAATGTTTTAACCTTTGGGATATTTGTCACATGAAGTACTTTCTGATCATTATTTTGAATAAACAACAGTATGTTCCCACTTATAGTCTGATATAAGTTGTCAGCAGGAGATGGGAAGTTGGAGGGCGATTCCACTGTAATTGAAGCCTCAGGTTGGGATTATCTTCTATAAAACACTTCATTTCCCACAGTGCTTAGCTGGCAGACAGATGGACCCCGCTCTGTTCTCAGGAAAGCTGGGATTTAAGTAGCAATGCAAGATTACATTTTTTAAATTACCAAATCAGATTTAATTCAGCACAGTACTTTCCAGCTCAGTAAGAGGAATAAAACAGTTTTAGAATTATGAAAATCGGATAAGTGGTTATGATTTTATTACCATATTGATAAGTGCTTTTAGGCGCTTATAGTGAAAGTAATTTGGTTTAAAACAAAGGGATACTGTGGAACCTTCTATTCAGCCAGTTCAAGCCTTTATTCATCTTCTAAGTGCTGTAACTTCCCTATTTTACTAACTATAAACATTAAAATTCACAGTAAAGAAGGAAACAATTCAGGGATGTTGAATTCGATATTCATTTTACAATTTGGCCGACCCCGATTCCAATATGGCCGCCAGCTTATCCAAGATGGCTGCCAACATGAAATCCGGAAAACATTTTTTTCAAACTACTATGTAATATATCAAAATAAAGGTAATTGATGGAGCAATCTAAATATGATGCTTAGAAATGTTTTTGGCATATGCACACACACACACGTGTTATTTATGAGACTAAAATTACAGACCTCAGCTTTAAACATGTGTTATTTATGAGACTAAAGTTACAGACCCGAGCTTTAAACATGTTATTAATGAGACTAAAGTTACATACCTCAGCTTTAAACATTTTATTAATGAGACTAAAGTTACAGACCCGAGCTTTAAACATGTTATTAATGAGACTAAAGTTACAGACCTCAGCTTTAAACGTTATTAATGAGACTAAAGTTACAGACCCCAGCTTTAAACATGTGTTATTTATGAGACTAAAGTTACAGACCTCAGCTTTAAACATGTTATTTATCAGACTAAAGTTACAGACCTCAGCTTTAAAAATGTGTTATTTACGAGACTAAAGTTACAGACCTCAGCTTTAAACATTTAATTAATGACACTAAAGTTACAGACCTCAGCTTTAAACATGTGTTATTTATGAGACTAAAGTTACAGACCTCAACTTTAAAAATGTTATTTATCAGACTAAAGTTACAGACCTCAGCTTTAAAAATGTGTTATTTACGAGACTAAAGTTACAGACCTCAGCTTTAAGCATGTTATTTATGAGACTAAAGTTACAGACCCGAGCTTTAAACATGTTAACAACCCAAACACCCTTGTTAACATGTAAAATGGATTAGTCCAACCAATGGCATTGGTCCGTTTGGGCCACGTGACTCGCGTTTCTACCCCCCGGAAAAGTGGACTCGCCCGGACTTGCGTGCCGCTTCAGCAGCAGAGCAGAGTGTGTGATGAGCGCGGCGGTTTTTCAACTTTATTCACTGATCCGCGGGTCAAAACAACCGTGACATGATTCAAATATACCATCATTCTAAAGCTTATAATCTTAGATGTATGTGTGTGGTGTTGGTTTTCCAAAACCCCGGTTACTTACCGTGTATTTTGCTATTAAGTTCGTCGGATTATATCTCCGTAACCGCAACAGCTGGAGAGATGCCGCTTTCACCGTAATGCGCAGTAATAAGTGATCTGTTTACCTGGTAAATATCACCTCGCGGCGACGTCATTAACCCGCGCGGAATGCCGAGGATAGCCCGACTCATTTTTTTTCAGAGTCCAGACTATCTGTGGCCCACTCTGCCTCATATTCGTCAACTTTATTAATTCATATCTCAGGAAATAAACGGAATATCAGAACAATCCACACATTTATGGATTCTATGAATAAAAATATGTTTATTGATAGTGGTGGTAGCTATATATTCTGATTATTTAGCTGCTCAGAATCAAATGAACTAAAGTGAGTAAGACAGCGACCTCTTTTCACCACAGCGTTTCCACTGAGTCTTGCATTGCTAATTTAAGAAATGCAAGTCAGTGCATGCATTGTTGTGGGAGGACAGCTGAAAATAGATACTTTGACAATATAAAAGTCTCAAATGTTGCTTTTCCCAAAATATTTTTTGCATTGCTTTCGATACAAACTCTTCAAACTTTAGTTACGAAGTGAACAGAGGTGGCGTATTTCACTTCAGTTTTAAGATTTCTGTAAATTTTAGGTCCCGGACTTTCAAACCACTGAAACTTGAATCCAGCTTCTCGCTCTCAAAACAGTTGCATGTATGTTTGGACTCACTTTTTTAAATTATCTTTGTCATATGGAAAAGCTGTGGACCACCAACTTGTAGCCCAAAGAGTCAATTAGTGACTCACAGGGCTCTTTCTTACAAGTATACAGTAAAGTTTATTGATCTCACAAAATTACGTATCACTTGGGATGTGCAAAAAAGACAGGAAATGTGCAAAAAAGTGAAAAGATATGAAAAAGATAACATGTTTTTTAATGTTATAGCTATAGATAAACATTGTGAACAAACAATGTATTACTTGGAAAATGCTTTCTGTTGGGGCAAAGACAATGTACGGTACTTGTGACACATTTTGTTAGGTACCCCAGCTTCAAAGAGCTATCGAATTCGCCTTATACTGGAGACATCGATCTGATATTTCACGAAAAAATCCATAAGCCAACTATGTTATGATTTTCTTTTGAACCATTTGACTGTTATCTAACTCATAATTACCTGCTTGGGAAGATACATAATTTCCTTCTCCATTTAAAATAATTGTTTCTTCCCAGCGTTGAATTTACCGTATGAAGGAAAACCATTCTCGTCTTTGTCTAAAGAGAAAGTGCGCTTCTGCAGTTAGCGTGATTAATGAGCGCGCTCTCGAGATAAGGATCTTTAACGTTTAAAGACGGCAGCAGATTTATTCAAAGAGGAACTGCGTGTTCTTGAGGCTTTTATTTTTTCCCCTTACATCACATTATAAATCTCGTCGACCAGAACAGGACACTGCGGATCGCTTCCATAAAAAGCTGCCGGGTTCAAATCTGTGCATGTTTTGGAGGAAGTAATAATATTTAGCCCGCAGCTCCAATCGGAACAGTGAAGGCAATTGTGTAAACTTTAATATTAGCACAGCTTTCGTTTTGGTCACTTGGGGATTTTTCAGGCTGGAAATACTTGGACACAAAGTTAATAATGTTTGGCTCCGCATATTACATCAGAGATTCACTATCTCACTTCTTTGGGCTATTGTTTTGTGGTTTTGGCCGGAAAGTTTCACCCTTTCACATTCATCTCTTTGGACGAATCCGTCAGACAAACATGTGAATGCGTAAAGTTATAGGGAAGGTCTGTGGAGAGGCATTTTGGGTTCATAAAGTATTAATGATGTGTGTACTGATTTCTGATTAAAAAAAATTCTTTGTTTAATATACTATACTTAATTTATATAATAGAAAAAAATCATCAATCATAACAATAATTCTCATTATTTACAAAACTTCAAGTCATACTCGTACTCTGAAGTATTTCTAAAGTTTGTACGTGCTTTGTAAAGGGGGTCTCCCTCTCGGCGACTCATATTTAGTATAATATATATTTAGTCCCTCACACTGTTCTTGCCACATGATTGTTTTCTTTTGGTATCGGTATCGGTTCTGTTATTCATTGTAATTGTGCACATTTACTAATGAATAAACTCACACTTCGTTTGGAATTACAGCTCTTGAGTTGTTTACATTATTTTACTCTCGGTATGTGCAGAATTTCCACAACAACTGTATTTCAGGTGTCGATAATTGCGACAAAAGTTGAGATTGTGATCTTTCGATGTTTGGCACAGCTCCAGTCCTGGTTTTAGTCTCTGTTTAGTCCCGTTTCACGTCCCCCCATGTAGTGCACCAGGAGATACATTTTGGGCCGCCTGAGTGAGTGGTAATGCAAAAGAAACTCAGTCTTAATCTATTTGACTGTGGCCTTCTCTCTTAAAGCCTTATGTGATCAAGTGCTGTGGAAATACCAGTGGAGCCGTGCAGTTATAAAAGAAGGAAGCATCTCATTCTCACTTGACTCCAAACTGAATTAGCAGCGACTCCCTCAGGCTCCTCTCTCTGTCTGCTGTTTGATTACAGCACTCATGCTTTCCTAATGGAATACACTGACATTTATATCACAGCGCACTGGTTAAAACCTGGATATAGCAATTCACAGCAGTGTTGGTCCAAGCACTATGCAGACGAATGCACACATTATTATATTTTATTTCATTATTCATATTTCCCAGAGGATGGCAGATGTGAACCCTGTACAGAGTTGGTGAGGATCCAGAATGACCATGTTCTAAAGCAGAGGTGTCTAAACCGGTCCAGAAAGGGCCGCTGTGGCTGCAGGTTTTCTATTAGACCCAGCAGGGGCAGGGCAGACTCCACCCACTTCCTCAAGTAAATTCAGTCTTAACCTAAAGATTTGAGAAAATGGGAGGAGTCTGCTCTGCTCCTGATGGGTCTGATAACCTGCAGCCACAGCAGCCCTTTCTGGACCGGTTTGGACAGCACATTCACATAGATGGCCTCTAGTGGCCATCTGGGAGAATGCAACATGGTCGGATTGCACTGTTTTATGTATTGTTGATTTATAGTGTATAAGATGAAAAAGAGAATTCTTATCTGACCGTTTTTTTCACAATATGTATTTGCAGTTTTACGTAAATTAATTTGGCAAAGTTTTTGAACGTTATGTTTGTGTTAACTTGAAATAATATGGGTTAAATGTTCATCTATAGTAAAATGTGTCATAAATCTATCAATACATTAAAAAAGTATGTCTGTATCATTCACATAAGTATGCATGTATGTATAAGTATGTTGTATTTGAGGCACATCTGTGGCATCAGACATGAGTCGTTTGGCGCCCAGATGTTTTCAAGGTCAAGGATTGGCTTTGACCATAAGGCACTGGGAGCTTTTTTGAAATTGTATTTATCCAACAGGGATAAGGCTTACTCATGAACTTTCAGAATTAATCTATTGCCACTTAACAAGATTTCAGATTTTGTTAAGTAGCACAAGATAAAAAGATCAAAGTCCAAACAGTTTATATCCTTGAATCAAATATGTACCTATTATCTTAATGTAACGCTACACTTACTAAAAGCATATTTACTCTGCTCCATCTTTACCCAGCTAAAATGAAAAGTCAGTATTTCCTGTTTCCTTATGGCTCTCCTCACTCTCTGCAAACAGCCGGATCTGCCTTATCTCATGTGTCCCAAAGGCTTTCCGTCAGACTCCCGTACTGCACATTTCCTCTGGTCCTCGGAGGTAAGACCGTACGTGTCCCTGCGGTCTGCTGCCTCTGCGTCCTCACTAACCTATAACTTATGAGCACAACAACCCTGGACTTCACCTTTAACTGCACTGCATCATACTTACACAGCGGTTGAAGTGCATTTTAAATTGGCATGACAGTGCATTTATGTGCCACTACTAACAGCACTTGGAAATTCTGTATTATTTGAGGAACTACAGTGCCTTGCGAAAGTATTCGGCCCCTTGAACCTTTCAACATTTCGCCACATTTCAGGCTTCAAACGCCCCACTTTTCAGTTTATTTGTTAAAAAAGTTTAAATTATCCAATAAATTTAGTTCCACTTCACGATTGTGTCCCACTTGTTGTTGATTCATGACAAAAAATTACAATTTTATATCTTTATGTTTGAAGCCTGAAATGTGGCGAAATGTTGAAAGGTTCAAGGGGGCCGAATACTTTCGCAAGGCAATGTATGTATTCGTCTTCTTTAGATATTTTACAATTGAATTCATTTTTCTGGATTTTACAGTAGATATTAAGGTTCTATCACCTCCAACACCCTTTCATTTAATATCCTTCAATGATATACACTGTGCTTGAAAGTTTACACACCCAGGGAGGAATTTACTGACCTTTTTTTTTGGATATTATGAATGACAACACAGGTAGCCGGTTTTCAGAAAACGCCATTGGAAAAACCCCTACTCTCGTAAATAGGCAAGGCCATCCAGTTTCTTTTAAAGGGTGAGAGCAGTGTCGTTAAAAAAAAATATATATCAATTTCCTCAGACCAGGATCTTCAGACAACGTTCGAATCATGCTGAAAAAAATAAAATGTAGGATTACTATAACCAGACAAATGTTTTTCTTCATAATCATTCCTTATATCGCTTGATTTACTTACAGTATGATAAAAATATATGACCCAACACATATACTATAGCTGGACCCAGATCTACACATTTATCACAGTTAATTAAATCATATCTCATACTATCTTTTAGTAAATAATCCATACATGCTTTGCCCTGCTGTTGGTTTTTTGAGCCATTACGATCCCTCGTTTATACACGTTATCTTCACCCTCGTTTTGGCTTTATTTTTCACTCTATAACGAGTCCTTTCACCTCTTCCCAGTCGGTCACATCCCGAAAGCGCACACTGCAGCAACACACTACAGCTACACACACATGACACACTTTAAATGGCTTCTGCGCTGGCCATAACTCCGGGGATGCGTACGTACACTGTCGGATAGTTGGCTGTTGAGATGAGAGATGGAGATTTCCCTGCAGGCTCGACGGCTTCCGAAATTAGCCCCATTTATAAAAGTCCTGACAAACGTGAACCGATTTGCCATCTCTCACTCAGCGCCCGGCTCGCTCACTTTTAAACTCTTTTTACGGTGAAAAATGTGGCTTGGCAGAGTTTGCACAGCACTCTGCCACAGCGACTTGTCTAATTATTTGCGCGTCTGCCTAAAGTCATTATAATGCGTTATGTTAGGAGGGGAACGAGGCTATCTAGAAACAAACCAGCAGATTTCACTATCCATATGTGTAACTGTTTTCTGTAGCTGCCGATTTGGATCATTCAACAGATGCATTTGGATGTTTATTGCATCATTTCACAAGAAAATACATGAAGACTTTGAATTTGAAATGTAGATGTGATCTGGAACAATAAACATTAGTATTTCTTTTTGATATCTTACATTATTATGACTTGGGTTTTAGAGTTTTTCCTTGCAGATGCAGGAGGGTCTGTCAGACTGTTAGTGGGTATGAACATTGGTCAACTCCCCTTATGGACCAATACCTATATTTTCTATATTTTTGTTTTGTTAAGTCCTCTGAGATAACTTTACTGTTGTGATTTAGGGCTATACATGAATAAATTGGAATTAATTGAATATTTTTGACTGTTTTTATTCAATTCAATGTATTCTTGTATAGCCCTAAATCACAACAGTAATCTCAGAGGACATTACAAAACCATTGTATTCGCCAAGACAGATCAGATAATCAAACCGTTCAAACACATGGTATAAGGGTTAAGTTTGTATTACTAATTATTTCTATGCCCATTTACTTGCTTGAATTAAATACATAAATAAAACATGTAGGGAGTTGATCAATAAGTCCATAAGTGTTTATAAATGTCCATAAATGTTGTTGAATGTTGAGTGTCCTGGATCATCACCACATAATTTGTTTTTATTATTATTACAGTATTGTCAAAAGAAAGTGTAATGTGCCTGGTATTAGAAAAAAGCTGTTTCTGAAGTCCATGAACAGCTTGACGGTATAATTAAAATCAACCTGGCATGAAATATTAGACATGAGCTCATAAGTTGGTATCTCCAAATGAACAATATTGACTTTGCGTGTCTGTATTTATGATTGTGGGAGGAGGCAGGCTCTATGTGGAGACCAAAGCCTGGCACAGATAATGGGCCGTGATGAATCAGATCTTAATCAATAGGCATTAGCGTCGGAATGATCCCCGCGCTCCTCTTCTCCGGCCGAGACGTGGACGAGCCAAACGGGACGGGGCTAATCCTGGAGAGGACATGCATTTGTTGAATCAGCTGTCAGTCAGAAAGCAAATCTCTATTTAGTTTACGGCTGTCGTGTGCTGTGGTTTCTAACCAGATTTATATTGGCTAATGTTATGGATTAAGATTTTTTTTAATATGTCCAAAATGTGATTCCTGTTATGTTTTGATTTTATTAAGGCACAATTAAAATATATTTGACTTACTTACTTACAAGATGCAACATTTCAGGAGGAGGGTCCGCTATGTGTTTATCTCCATGAAGTCGTTTGTGGTTATATGTTGAAATAATACACAAGTTTGAAATAACAATACAATCATTTAATTCAAATCCATCTTAGTAGTTTCTCTCGGTCCAACCCGGTTCTTTTGCTAGTTTTCACATGCATCTATTTTGGCCTCTGTCACATCTTTTCGATCAGCTTTTTCAGACAGAAAAGTGAACAATAGATTTATTGTATTTATTGCAGGTGTGCAGTATAGCATGTTTTCTACTACATTAGACTTTTATGAGCTTCTCTGTTGTAATTAAGTAAGTAATCTTTATTTATATACCACCTTTCACAGACCAGTTTACAATTTTTATATTTTGGGCATTTGTCCTCTCACTCCACACAGAGATGGGAGCGGGGTCGCCGAACAGGAGGTGCATGCCAGACCTATTGTACATATTTTTAGTGTTTTTTTTAGAGAACCTAGAGGTTTTTAGAGAACCTGGAGGAAACCTACGCAGACACGGGGAGAACATGCAAACTCCACTCAGAAAGGCCCTGGTCCGACCGGCATTCGAACCAAGGGCCTTCTTGCTGAGAGGCGAGAGTGCTATCCACTCAGCCACCGTGCCGCCGTGTTGGTACAAATGACACATGTATAATTTCCATCCATCCATCTTCTTCCCCTTAATCCAGTTCTGGGTTGGGGGGACATGTAAATTTATGAAACTTACTAAAAGTTGGGTCCCTCAGTTTATAGTATCTTTGAAAACTAACATTCAGTGAGGGAGAAACTGACCTGGAAACGAGAAGTTTAAATCCATATGTGCAATATAGAGTCAAGCAGGTGATGGAGCCTCAGCCAACTAAGCGACATAGAATAGGCCTCATTCACACCAAGACTCCCAAAACTCTAGAACTACTTCAAATCCCAGAGTTCCCAATCAAACCAATGAATGGATCAAACCAATGGATTTTGAAAAATTATTCCATTGATGACTTACTTTTATAGTCTATTCACAGTCTATGGTAGTCTATAAGGTTTTTTACTCTTTACTTGCTTTTAATAAACTTGCTAAAACTGGTGAGTATAACATGAAATAAAGAAACGACAAAAAATACTAAGGCGAACTTCTTTTTTTGTGATAAATTCTTTATTGATTTTTCATTCTTGTTTCCGTCACCAAATACATGTGATCCAAGGTGTTACATTATTGTACTTTTATGTTGTCTACTCACACGTCAAAACAAATACATGCCTACAACACATTTGCCCTCACCACACGCACACCATTCATTCTCATCCGTCCATCATCATACTTAAAGTACACACATCAACAACATACGAAAAAAAAATAAATAAATAAATAATAATAATAATAATAAATAATAATAAAATAAAATAAAAGAAATACAACCCATGGCGGCTACCCTCCCCCTCCCCCCTCCCTTCCCCAGGTGTCCAAGTTACATACATCCATACGTTAGTTAGGTTACATTACACATTATACTTTCTGAGTTCTTTTCCAGTTTCAACTCCTTCCTACTTATCCACTTATGTCTTTAATTTTCTCTATCTGTTCTTGCCACGCCATAATTGTTCCCGTCTTTGCTCCATGCATCCTCGCTACTGACAGCTCCATGTTTGTAATGTCTATGAAAGTCCTGATCCACTGCTGCCTGGACAGTGTGTGAGGTGGTTTCCAGCGGAGGGCCAACATTTTCTTGGCCGCTGTGACTCCAGCCAGGAGGAGACGTGTCTGTGCTCTGCTTAGGTCCATGCCTGTAGTGTCATTCAGTAGTAACAGTGTAGGAGAACAGGGCACTGCAAGACCAAGCACTTCAGTCAGAGATGCACACACTACCCCCCAAAAGTGATTCACAGGTTTGCACTCCCAGTACATGTGCATAAAGGTCCCCATCCGGTTCTCCTTACATAATGTACACTGTGGCTTTGCCACCAAGTTCATATGATATGCCTTCTTTGGTGTCAAATATGTCCGATGAATGTAATTAAAATGTATCATCTGATGGTTGGGGTTCCTGGAGGCAGCTCCCCCAGATCTCCAAATTGTGCTCCAGTCCAGTGCCCCTCTGTCATATTGTTCCAGATCTTTCAACCATACTTGGGTAATGGGTAAGTTGAGCATGGTCGCTTCTGATAGTAGTTTATACGTTTGGGTGACCACTTTCTTTTTCCCTGCTCTGCCTGCCACTATTGTTTGCATCGGGTGAGTGGGTACTCCTGTGTACCAGGGAACACCATAAGCCTTCAAGGACGCACGCAGTTGAAGGTAAAGGAAGAATGAGGTCCCTGGTATATTGTATTTTCCTCTCAGCTCTCTGAATTCCAGCAGTCCCCCACTCCCCCAGATGTCAGAGAGAGTATGGATCCCTTTTCCCGCCCATGAGCATTAGTAAAAGGCTTTCCCCCCGTCAGCAGTGAATGATTATTAAATAGTGGGCTTTGAGCATGCCACCGACACTGAATGCCTGACCTCTTCTCAATAAGGTGCCAGAGACACAGTGTGTGTGCCACTATGGGGCCCATTTTGTTTTTAGCACGTTTGTTAGGAATTGCTGCATACACCAGATCCTCTATTCTATAAGGCAATGCAAGATTCTTTTCTATTTCCCTCCATGAATTATCCCCTTTCACGTCAGTCCATACATTAACTGGTCGTAGTCCGTATGCCCAAAAATAAAACTCAAAATTAGGAACAGCTAGGCCCCCTTCTGTCCGCAGTCTTTGTAAGGTAACAAGTTTGACCCGTGGACGTTTCCCAACCCAGATAAACTTAGATATCAAAGAATGGATCTTTTTCCAATAATCGGCTGGAGGTGACAGAGGAATCATGGATGAAAAGAAGTTAATCCGTGGCAAAATGTCCATTTTAATAATTGAAATACGAGATTGCAGAGATTTTGGTAGGAAAGACCATCGTTTCAAATCCATTTCAACCTTTTCGTAAATACCTTGGAAATTTTTGTTAGCAATACTCTGTAAGTTTGGGTGAATTTCAATTCCAAGATATTTAAATTGTTTAACTACTGGTATATTCTGGGGTATTAAGTTTGTCACAGCCTTTTCATTTAGTGGGAATAAAGCTGATTTGTTCCAATTAATTTTATAACCCGAGATTGAGCTAAACTTCTCAAAGATATCCAAGATATTGGGTAGTGACATTGGCACTTTGTCTAGATACAGCAATACATCATCTGCGTACAGTGATATAGAGTGGCTAGTATTGCTAAACACAATGGGAGTGATTTGTTGATGTTGTCGAACCTTCTCTGCCATTGGTTCTAGAGACAAGGCAAATAATAGTGGGCTCAGTGGGCATCCTTGTCTACAAGATCTTGATAAACTAAAAGATTGTGATGTCATATTATTAACATTAATCATTTCTTTGGGATTGGTATATAACAATTGTATCCATCGAATGAATTTTTTGTTTAATTTGAATTGTTCCAATGTCTCCCACAGATATTGCCACTCTAGCCTATCGAAGGCTTTTTCCGCATCCAGACTTAATACTGCACACGGGGATTGGATATCTTGAGCTGCGTATATGATATGTAGTAATCTCCGAACGTTGTCTGCAGCAAATCTGTTCTTCATGAACCCTGTTTGATCTCTGTGAATTAATTTTGCCATTAGGGGTTCGAGACGCGTGGCAAGAACTTTAGCAAGGATCTTAATCTCAGCATTTAACAGTGAAAGAGGTCTATAATTCTTGCATTGGGTCGGGTCTTTCCCTGGTTTTGGTAAAACAACAATAAGTGCTGTGTTAAGATCATTACAGAAGCTGCCCAGGTCAATAGAGGTCTGGATCATAGCCAGTAGGTGGGGGCCTAGCTGTTCCCAAAATGATAAATACACTTCAGGGGGGATGCCATCCCACCCAGGTGACTTTCCTCTTTTCATACCTTTCACAGCCTTCTTCAATTCAGCCAGAGTAATCGGATCCCCAAGACTCTCCGCTTCAGTCTCGGATACGTGGGGCAGGTCTATTCCTTCCAAAAATTCATCAAATTTGGGCTTTTCCAGGCATATTTCAGACCTGTAAAGTTCCTCATAATATTTTTTGAATTCATGGTTAATTTCACGTGGTGAAGAGAGCATCCCTTGGTCTGATTCGATCGCCAATATGTTGGAGTATTTGTTGCATTTTTGCAGACTCAGGGATAACAAATTACTTGGGCGTGCTCCGTTGAAGTAATAGTTCCTACGTGTTCTATGCATTTGCGACTCAGCCCTTATTTTAAGTAGATCCTCAAGCTCAACTCTGGCTGAATCGATAGCTTTTTGTCTAGTTTCATTCAGTCCCTCCCTTTGTTGAGTTTGTTCTAGTTCTTTAAGCTTCCCCTCCAATAATGTGATTTTCCCCTGTCTTGCTCGTTTGAGGTTAGATGCATATGATATGGTTGTATTGCGTATGAACCCTTTTATTGCTGCCCACAGCATTCTCGCATCTGCAACTGAGCCTATGTTCTCGGCGAGAAATAGCCTCAGTTGTTCAATAAAGAATTCACAAAAATCTTTGTTGCTAAGTAGACTTGTATTGAATCTCCACCTTCCAGGAATCTTAGGTCCTTCTGAAATACTTACTTGTGAGGTGATGACACAATGGTCTGATAGAACGTTTGATTTAATTTCGCACTGGTGGATTTGTGAAAATGCTGGTGCTGTGGCCAACAGATAGTCAATTCTGGTATAAGTTTTATGTCGATTTGAAAAGAAACTATATTCCCTAGCTGTCGGGTTCATATTCCGATATAAATCAGTCAAGCAAAAGTCCTCTAATAGTCCTTGAAAGGCTGTAGTAGCAGGGGATTGGCTGTGAGTGCCGTCACTTGTTTTGTCGATCAATGGGTTCAACACTGCGTTCATATCTGCTCCTATAATTATTTCATACTCCTGTAAGTTGTTTAAAATATTGCCTAAATATTGGTAAAAAGATTCTGAGTACACATTTGGTGCATAAATACTGATAAAGGCGATCTTTCTTCCGCTAATACTTGCCTTAATATATGTTAATCGACCGTCCTCACTTTCAAAACTCCCAGTAATTGATATAGGCAAGTTCCTTTTAAGGAGTATCAGAACGCCACGGCTTCTTGAATTATAGCAGGCCGATGAAGCAGTGTAATAAACCCGGTTTGCCAATTTCTTTTTGTCTAGGGGGTTAAAATGGCTTTCTTGTATAAATGCCACATCAACATTGTGCCTATTTAGCCAGTCCAAACACATAGATCGTTTAAGCTGCCCATTAAGACCATTTATATTCCAACTTGCTATAGTAATCAATGCCATATCAACCGAGCAAAACAGGTTATAGTCAACATTTTAACCATAATATTAGACAGAGTATACTTTTTACAAGACACCTGTGAGCCCCTCAGTCGCGTTCCCCCTCCCTCCCCCCCATCAATAACATCTATCAAACTCACACACATACACATCTCACCCCGTTCACGCACACATACACACACACCCACACAGGCATAATACAAGAAAAAAAATAAAATAAAACCCAAAGATAATTGACACCTGATCTAGAGAAAGTTGGCTAAGAGTTCACCCCAAACTAACCCCCCTCCTTCGTAGTTGGTTAGTGCATTAATCCACCTCCAATATAGTCCCATTTTTCCCAGCTCCAGTGCAGCTTAGTGTACGACTTCCGACAAGATACAGCAGAGTTCATTTGTAGCCTTTACAGCCTCAAGTAGTTAAAAATTAAACCCATACTGATCTGTTGTTGTATTTCTTCTTTAAGTCATATTATTCATTCAGTACCTGCATCAGCTGGCTGCTCATCATCTTTCTCACCCTGTGCATGGCCCTTAGCGTTGGGCTCCAAGAAAAACTCTGCATCCACATGCGAGTTAAAGATGTAGGCTTCTGCGCCCCGGGTCAGCTTTAGCTTGGCTGGGTAGATGAGGAACGGTGTGAATCCACATTTCCTGGCTGTATCCATGGCTGGAGCGAAGACGCGCCGTTTCTTGACAGTGTAGTTACTGTAGTCCGCTGCGAACCGTACTTCTCTTCCATTCACCTCAATCCGCGTGGCCCTGGCCGCCTTCAGAATGCGGTCCCGGTCAGTATAGCGCAGCATCTTGCATATGACAGTGCGGGGGCCCCCGCTGGTAACCCGCTCCGGACCGATGCGATGGGCTCTCATCACCTCGATGTTATCACCGGAGAGGGCAGGGAGCCACTTTTTGAGAGAAGTTAGGAGGTAAGTTCGGACATCCCCACTCTCCACGTTCTCTGGCAGATTAATGATGCGTATATTGTCTCTCCGTGACCGGTCCTCGAGTTCGGAAATACTCATCTCTAGTGCAGACCACGAGTTGTGAAAGTTATCTTCAACCTTAGTGATACGAGAGCTCGTTCCCTTTTGATCCGCTTTCAGTCTCTTTATTTCGGCAGTGTTCTTTGCCACCTCAGCCCTGAAGTGCTCAATCTTACTGTCGAGTTTTGAGAACTGTTTTTCGATGAAAACACGCTGCGCCTCGAGCGCCGGGTTAAGCATAGAAGCGAGGGCTTCCTTAATAGGATCCAGCTTTTCGTCTATGCTCGCTGGCTCCTGACTTGCTTTGCTTCTTGTTCGTTCAGCCATTGTGACAACACCTGTTTTGGGCGATGTTCCGTGTCTTAGTTTGTTTTTTCCAAAGGAGATATAGTGGATTTTCAGTTATAGTTTGGGAAGTTTGTTTGGCGTGGACGCTTCACGCAGCCATCTTGCCTGCAGGTCACGTGGCCCCCACTAAGGCGAACTTCTAACGATAAACAGTGTTGCCATGGTAACAGCTCTGGGAGTTAGTTGTAATTCCTCACGTTTCAAAATACAATAACATAAAAATAAACTATCTTTACAGAAAAAGTCAAACATCGTAGGAAGATCATAAAAGATTACACACGTTGAGAAGTTACACATCCAAAACTATAACCCGTCAATTTGACTGCTCCCAGGGTTCTAGTGTTAAGAATCATTACGTGTACATGTCTTTGAGGCTGTTACTGGGTATAATTTTGCGTTTTGCTCTTGGGGAGGTGCAGCATGTTTTGGTGTTGGCATGTGTGACCACCGGCTCCCCTCTGATTCCAGCAGCATCGGCCTCTTTCTAAATGGTTTTGTGAGCGATCGGCTGGTGCTAGCTTTGTGCGATGCCCTTTGCCTGTGAGCACACGGCCATTGTGTGGTTTAAAAGCCCTCCCTTTACAGTGTGTCACCCACTACTGTTGTTGTTGTGGCTGCTCTTCTCTATTTTTTTATTTTTTACAAGCCCCCTCACCCCAGTGCCTCTCTTGTGTTTTTTGTTTTTCCCTAGTTGCAGGACCCCCGCATGTATGATCAGGTCTATAGGTATTTAGACCTTCCAGGGCAGGTATGTGGACAAAATATTGATCTTTTTTATTCTGTGTTATTTGTGCTTCTTCTGTTTGTCCATTATTCACTCTTTAGGAAACAATGTCATGAGATTGTTTTAAATTCTGGAATGGAGGAGATTAAAATGTTCAAAAGTGTCATAGATTGTCAGATTGCGAAATGCGACACAGATGATTTAAAATGCTATAGTACATTACGCTAGAAATTACTCAAATTGACTCCATTGTAGAATTTAGAATGTGTCTTTTTACAAACTTTTAAAAGATTGTGATCTTTTATATATATATTAGTCTGAATATATCAGTCTTGATTTGGCCCTTTTATGATGTTTGCTGTTATGTATAGCTATCATGATTTTAGTTTTGGTGTGAGATACAGATGTCAGTGTCACTTTTGAATATCCTGGTTTTATACAGAACAGAGTTTGTGTTACTAAACTACACTTTTTTGTTAGATGAGATAGTTCAGTTCTAAATCAATGTATGTATTCACTACAAAATACTTGATCTATATTTAATTATGTTGAAAATTAGATTTGCCAATGGAGTAAGGAATAATCTTGTTTTACCAAAAGTAAATTCTCACTTGAAGGCTTCTGAGTTGTAATTCAAATTAAACATTGGCAAATCTTATTTTAAGATCATTTATACTAGATTCAGTGTTTGATTTAAAACACAAAATCACACAGTGTATGGTGTATTGTCCAAACGTCTCACCAGCTGCTTCTGTCTTTGTCCTCACCGTCACCTTGTCCTCCGTTTGTCCTGTGTGTCCCTCATCGCTCCCCGTCCACAGCTGAAGGCCATAGATCGGCCTTACGAACCGGAGAAGGTGCCGCGAGCGCCACACGACCGGAAGAAGGAGTGGCAGAAGCTGGCGCTGGGGGCGGAGCTGGCCCAGAACGTCCTGGACGACAGACACAGAGAGGCCAACGGCTCCGCAGGTTTCCACGACAACAGGTCAGTCAAAAACTTTGACCAATCTTGTGCAACTTTTAGTATTCTGGTGTCTTATATGAAAATAAATACAAATCTATTATATCACTATCAGCATCTCTCAGCTAAAGTAGATTGATACAGGAGATAGATGGATAGAGTGTGTCCAGCATCCAAACAAACATAAATAAATGCATAATTCTAAAAGTCATTAACTCTAGTAATAGAGTAATATAGAGCATGTTATGGCCGAAGGAACAAAGGATCTCGTATTTAAATGTGGATTTACTGCAAATGGCAAACAAATTGAATCTTGAATTTTTTCATAACTATTCATTTCTTGGAAAATGTATTTAAATAAAATCACATTCACTGTTGCAAAAGTTACAGGTCAGGTCTTGGGAGAGGAAACACAACATCAGGGATTGAAACAATGCAAGAATACAATGCTTTAATTTGAAAAAATTCTTGAAAAAGAATATCTCCATGGAGACTGGTAGAAGAATTTGTATTTGATAAATTTGCACAGAGCTCATTCAGGTCATGGAAATAACTAATAGTCCTCTTTTTCAACCTCTTTCTCGGAGGCTGGAAGCAGTCTGTCCAAAACAAAATGGGTCCCCGCTCCCCAACAATTGCTCCTTATAATTTACACTTCATTTGCAGAGAGAAAAGCAGCCGTGACAGCGCTGATTACAATCCCTCACAGTTATGATTACATTTATTGTGCTGAAAGTCTCCAGAGCCGCTCGTGTTCAGCCGTTGTCATGTCACTCCACGCCATTAATCAAAATTCTATTCCCGACGAATTAGTGCCTTTTTAGGACGTGTCGCTGTGAGCGTATTCAGACCATGACGGCTTGATTGTAGTTCTAAGTAAAAAAAAAAAAAACATCGTATTTTTCAAAAGGACCTCATGAGCAGTTGTCGTTGGATTTGTAATAGAGTTTACTTTGATGTGTAATTACTTTTTAAAAAATACAATACATTCATTGTAGAACAAAGATCCCTGTGAGTCACTATTTGCCTCTTTGGGATGAGAGTTGGTGAAGGTCTGTCCGCTCTTTTTCACTTTTCGGTCTGAAAAAGCTGACCGGTCACAGTAAATGGACAGAACATTGAAGTGGTTCACTCCTATAAATATCTGAGAGTCCACTTGGACCACAGACTGGACTGGTCAGCTCAGGCCAATGCCATCTACAGGAAAGGTCAGAGCAGAGTTTTCTTTCTGAGTAGACTGAGGTCTGAGCAGTCAAATGTTGCACAATTTTTTCCAGTCTGTGGTAGCTAGGGCCGTGTTCTTCGGGGTCGCGTGTTGGGGCGGCAGTAACCGGCTTGACAGGCTGATCAGGAAATTTGTCTCTGATGGGGAGAAGTGTGGACTCTGTGGGAGCTGCCCCCCCCCCCCCCTCCCCCCCCCCCCCCCCCCCAACCCCCCCCCCCCCCCCACCCCCTGATGGAGAGAAGGAGGAGGGCTCTAACGCAGGGCATCCTGGGTAACTCCAGACAGCCTCTGCATGACACTATGGCCGCTCAGAGGAGTAATCGAAGCAACAGGCTCCTATCTCTACGCTGCCGAACGGAACATTTCAGCTGTCAGACTGTACAACAAACCTGACTGACTGTACAACAACAAAAAAGTCTTCTGCTACTGGATACCTGAACTTCTCCTACGGGGATCAATAAAGTATCTATCTAAAGATGTGGCAGAAGCAAAAAATACATGAATGGAAGATCCAAACCGTTAGACAGCGAGGAACTAAGTTGTATTATTTTATTGCAGTAAATGTTTTGTTGGTTTGAAAGTTAGGTACACCATCTTGAAATTCACCATATACAGGTGAAAATCAAAATATCGCTTAAAAGTCCATTTACTTCTGTATTTCAAATTAAAATGTGAAACTTGTATACAATATGCCAGAGTTATTACACGCTGTGAGCCTTTTATTGTCCAGGACTTCCTTGAAAAAGAGGTTCTTAATCTCATTGGGACTTTCCTGGTTAAATAAAGGTTAAATTAAAAAAATAAAATTGATCATAGGCTCACAGCTGGCAAAAACCACATGTAAACCATCGCAGAAAATGTTGATTATGGACTGTAGTAGTAAGGATTTATTTCAAACGTTATGCCATAGAAAATAGAAACAATAAAGAAGATACAAAATCTCCTTTATTGGCGGCACGGTGGCTGAGTGGATAGCACTCTCGCCTCTCAGCAAGAAGGTTCTGGGTTCGAATCCCGGCCGGACCAGGGCCTTTCTGAGTGGAGTTTGCATGTTCTCCCTGTGTCTGCGTAGGTTTCCTCCGGGTACTCCGGTTTCCCCTACCACTAAAAATATGTACAATAGGTCTGGCATGCGCCTCCTGTTCGGCGACCCCGCTCCCATCTCTGTGTGGAGTGAGAGGACAAGTGCCCAAAAAAATATAACAATTGTAAACCGCTTTGTGACTCTGGTCTGTGAAGGCGGTATATAAATAAAGCTTACTTACTTACTTACTTATACAAAATAAAAACAAGACACAAAATTAACAGAAATAAACTGTTTCTTTTTTTTAATGGTGAGGATTATGGCTTGGCCTATGTCCCTTCGCATGTAAAGGAATCATAAAAGTGGTCAGTGGAATTTATGAAATGAATGAACTTTTGAATGATATCCATTTTCCTGAGGTTGTGTTGGTAACATCTCCACTCCTTTTTATTTGTGCGTCCTGCAGGGTCAGGCCTGCCAGGAGCACATGGGACGGGACTTTCTCGTTGGCGCCGTTGCCCTTACACCCCGATGAACGAGCTGCTAACAGAATGGATACGAATGTTACACGCGCTACATCACGTCGCCCAGCCCCTGCCCCCCGCCTTGCACCCCATGGGGGACATCAAAGCCCCCTCTGTTCTCAGGTGAGCGTAACAACTCTGACGGCGATTACAGAAGCACCAGCGGAATCCCGGATAACTCGCCTTCTGCCAATGTCATGTGATTAAACAAGGAGTGTGTGAATTCATTGGAGGGGCTGGGGGCGGGGGGTGGGGGGGTAGAGGTGTGAAAAAAACTTGTGTGTTGGAATAAATATCTGGAGGGAGTCGTGTCTACTGCCGATTGTAACCACGTCAACCGGGTCCTTTTATGGACAAAGGGTAGTGATGCTTTCGAGGGCATGGGGAAAAAGCATGTTTGTATTAGAAATGTATGTATTATAGACTTCTCGCTAATTTTGTGAGTGCAAGGCAAGTTTATTTGTATTGCACAGTTCATACACAAGCAACTCAAAGTGCTGAACAAAACAAGAAAAGAAACATTAAAATACATTAAAAAAATAATAACAAATGAGTACAATAAAACACATTTCGTCACAATCCCTCTGAGTTGTGTGGACAGCTAAACAGAACTGTTTTTAACCTGGATTTGAACATTGTTAGAGAAGAAGCCTGTGTCACATTTTCAGGAAGACTTTTGATTTTTGCTGGATTAAGGGAGCAGCATGTGAAAATCTGGCCAAAAGTGATACTGCAACCTCACCCTACTCTCCCTTACTCAGGTTGCCAGATATGCAGACGAATCCAGCTGGGACCATAATAGCTGAACACACATTTTTGTCAACAACAAATCTATAACCAACACCTTTTTCACAAAGATAGAAATCCTCGTTTTATTCCTTGTTTTGTCATTAATGATTTTAGTTCTGCGGCCACATGTTACTTTACAAGTGAGATTAGCTTGACACAGTGAGTTCTGGCAAACCGGATCACTGACTTTCTGATTGGTAAAACGGTGGAGGGCGTCACATCGAAATGAAAATAATAACAAGATTTAGGGGCTTAAAACTAATTTTGAAATTACTATTTTCAGTTAAAGGAGTAATCAGACAGAGCATTGTTTATTAATGCCTGTTGACAGATTAGGGCCATTTAATGATGACTTCATATGAAAATCTTACATATTGCTACTTAAAATCTATAACACTGCCTCCCTATGTGTCGCCCTGACTCTGGGCACCAGCAGGAGTCCTGTCCCTGTGCTCCTCGGAGTCTGAGTGGGTTCATATGGCTCTAACATGTCTCTGATTTACTCTGGCGCGAGGCCAGGGAGCGACTCGAACACAAGCGCAGTACAGTCCCTCGCTGCATGTGTGTCATTGTTTTTCTGCACTTAATGAAACCGAAATAAAAGCAGGAAGCACGGTGCGTTTAATTGTGCTGCGGAAATTAAATGACTTTCTGCTGCAGTTGAGCCTGTGGGAAAAATCAAAGGCTCAAAGTAAAACTAGATTTTGTGTGATTTGCCTAAAGTTTACTTAGACTGTCTGATAGCACTTTCATATATGATTAAAGTATCATAATTTAAATGCTAATGTGAAGTTAAGACGTGCTTTCGAAACCGTCAGTAGGCAAAAGTAGGCATGTCCAAACTTAGGCCTGCGGGTCAATTGCAGCCCCATTTGTTTTGTCCCTCTGCCGTTCTAACACAATGCAGGGCTTAAAGTTTTCCGGCACCGTGCCGGAAATCCGGCGTGAGAAAAAAAAAAAAAAAAACATCACTTTTTTTTTTTTTTTAATATATATATAAATAAATAATGATTGCTGTCATTTGAAAAAGGTTCAAGTGTGTTCTACCAATTGTATGAAAGGATTGCATGTGTATAGCGCAGGGATTAAAGAGTTCCGTCTAAGTGACGGATTTCCGTCAAATGAAATTGGTCTGAAAAAAAAACAAAATATATAATAATAATATAATACACACAATGAAATGGTTAATTATAACAAAATATATAGTAATACGTGTGAATCTGTTGTATATATCTAGATATATATTAATAATTTGAATATAATTGTATTTATATGTATATAGAAATAAAAAGTAATATAATCACGAGTGGGCCTTGAACGTGCCGTGGCTAGCTACATGAGCGCTCCGTAAATGATTCAAGGCAATGGGACGTAGCCAAGTTAGCGATGGTAACACGGAGGTGAAAGTTTCTGAAAAGTGCACGGAGCTTTTGAAAAGGAGAAGAGGACAAGGAAAATGTAATCCCGAACGGAGCAATAACAGCCAGCAGCCCGCGGACCGGTAAACTGGGCGCGTTATCAGAGGAAAGGTAGGACATAATTAACGTTTACCAAACGCAATGCTTTTTTATTTAACGGAATGTACAATATGTACTGTGCTGTGACTGGGAATGGGGACAAGCATGTCTTGGTGAGCTTTTGATAATATCTTGGTGGCGATCCGCATGCAAAACTGCGTGATAAAAAAGCCAATAAACGAGAGCGAACGGAAGAAACTCGCAGAAGAAAGGTGTGTGTTAGCAGGTCTTATATTCATTCATCAAAGCTAGCCTAGCATTCACGCACAATCACAATCATGGATCGTTGTTTATGGAAGAAGGAGCTGTATAAGTTGCTGTTGATAACGGAGTGAAAAATAAATGGAGGTGGGCATGGCTGGATGAGGTGGAGACGATGGGATTCTGTTGCTTCATGGTGCAAAAAGATGAAGGTGTCCGGTGCTTGTTCGTACTTCGCTATTATTATTTTTTTATATGGGAGTAATGAGAAAACAAATCAAACAGCTTTGGATTCACCACCAGCTCAAAACTGCGCACTTGGCAGCTGTCCGTGCACTTTCCCACACTTCTTTACCTGGTGCATCAGATTCAGCGACAACTGAGACTAGGCTTGCTCTGGTGGACTGTGTCTGTGACCTAAAACTATCTGTGGCTTTATCGCAGAAAATAACCTGTCGTTCAGAACCATCACTACCGCTGGTAGATTTAATTATCATTAATCATTTGCAGTTGATAAAACTGCGCTGTGCACTAGCACCAAGTTGATAGGGAAACCTTTTTCTTAAACATTGAGTGTCCACAAACAAATGTGGACAGAATTTTGAATGTCCTTTTTAACATGTTGGGCGGAGGGTTTAATGAGGAGGCTACTTTGTCTGAACAATTAAATAGAGGGAAAAAACCGCATGGTCCAGAGGAGGAAGCAGCTGGTGCAGAGGAGAGTTGTCTGGCTGGTCCAGAGGAGGAGGCAGCTGGTGCAGAGGAGAGTTGTCTGGCTGGTCCAGAGGAGGAGGCAGCTGGTGCAGAGGAGAGTTGGGCTGGTCCAGAGGAGAGGCAGCTGGTGCAAGGAGAGTTGTCTGGCTGGTCCAGAGGAGGAGGCAGCTGGTGCAGAGGAGAGTTGTCTGGCTGGTCCAGAGGAGGAGGCAGCTGGTGCAGAGGAGAGTTGTCTGGCTGGTCAGAGGAGAGGCAGCTGGTGCAGAGGAGAGTTGTCTGGCTGGTCCAGAGGAGGAGGCAGCTGGTGCAGAGGAGAGTTGTCTGGCTGTCCAGAGGAGGAGGCAGCTGGTGCAGAGGAGAGTTGTCTGGCTGGTCCAGAGGAGATGATAAAAAGGCTGCAGCCCCACCGCACCAGCCAGACAACTCTCCTCTGCACCAGCTGCCTCCTCCTCTGGACCAGCCAGACAACTCTCCTCTGCACCAGCTGCCTCCTCCTCTGGACCAGCCAGACAACTCTCCTCTGCACCAGCTGCCTCCTCCTCTGGACCAGCCAGACAACTCTCCTCTGCACCAGCTGCTTCCTCCTCTGGACCATGCGGTTTTTTCCCTCTATTTAATTGTTCAGACAAAGTAGCCTCCTCATTAAACCCTCCGCCCAACATGTTAAAAAGAAAGCATACAGATAATTCACACCCTAAACAAAAGAAAAAGAAATGAATATTTCAAACAGTACTGTTAGCATTTGTGTTGTTTTGTAATGTTTTACCAAATCAAAGTCTATTGAAAGTTAACACAGGTGCTTTATGAAGACACACAGCACAAAGCTCATTTGCACTTTAGTTTCATTTATTTGTGTTGAAAGCTAAATGTTTAATAAGTAGAATTTAAAAGTTAAGGTTTATTTATATATTTAAGGTTGAATCTGGAAGTGTTCTTGTTGCCTGATCCAGTGTTTTTAGTTTTTGTATGTCATATCTGATGTCTAGTTTGGATGTTTAATCAGTTTACAGTTTACACATAAAATGTTAGTAATAACATCAATAATAATTAAAAAAAAGAAAATAGTATATTCACTTACTGTGATGTGGTATGTTTTTTTTTTTTTTTACATTATCACACAAATCCAAACTAGGGGTACTTGCAGAAAGGTCTTGGCAAGGTGAGGCTTTACATTTAAGTAACAATTCAATAGTCAGATGATGTATTTATTGCCAACAACTGATGTTTATAATAAACATCAGTTGTTGGCAATAAATAGATATAAATTATATGTATGAGCGTATAAAGGCGCTTATAAAAAACGCTTATTAGTGATCATTCTATGATTCATATAGATGGTTCAGGCTCAGGAATTTTTTCAACTTTAACCCATGACAATGTATTCTTTGAGATCCTAAACACAAGTTAACGGTGTCATCCAACCAACTTCAGCTCAGTCAATATAGCCATGTTTTACCTCGTCGTAAAGCAAACAAGTGAGATGGCAATTCATCCAACTTCGGACCTGTCATAGCTAAAGTTGAACGATTAAGAACAGCCCAAATCTAGTCAAAACAGTTTTACAATCTGGGTCTGAGACTGTCTGAAGTCTGGCAAACTAAAAAGGCCCTCCTGCTAAAAAGTTTGGACAAAACGTTTTAGAGGGAGCACACAGAGAAGGATCCAAAACTCGTCAGACTGGTTGATAAAGATTAAGATTATTTATCCCACAGATGGTTTGGAGAGTTTTCATAGTCCATATATTCATGCTTTACAAACATAACACTCAATGACCGATTGTGTCTCTGTCTTTGAAGTTACTGTAATACCATTGGTCCACTGAGGTAAACCAAGAAACTTCCAGCCATTCTGATTGAAGCCCTGCACGCCTCATTAGGGCATGAGGAGCAGACATATTTAATTGATTTCTCCAGGAGCCTTCGCCGCTCTGCATTTTCCCAGCCTTCCATCACAGCTTTGTCTGCCTCTGCTCTTTGAAGTCCCTCTCTGACATTTGGCTTGGGATCCAATGCACTTTTCTTTGAAGCTATGGCTGGTGTAACGGGCTGCTGTTGGTGGATGCAGAAGACATTAAAGAGAATCCAATAAACATTTACTCGATCCAAGTCAGAGGAAGGTTCTCGAGTGTTGCAGCGATCCATAAACAAGGTTAAAGTAATAATATTGTCCTAACCTAATTAGTGTTGCTTTGAAGGAGACAAGTATATATTCACAAAGCAATGCAGATACATGTATGTGAGTAAATAGTGATGGAACAAAACTGTTAAGGAGCCAGGAACTAGAGATATGGATTTTACCACATAGATTCATTTCAATTCAATTCAATTACTTGTTTTTTTCTCTAGCCCTGAATCACAACAGTAGTTATCTAGGACTTTACAAAGCCATCGATTCGCCAACACAGATCAGAGAATCAAACCGTTCAAACACAGTTAATGCAATGATTAAAAAACACATAGAGCCATTGGTCCATAAGGGGCGGAGACCAATGTTCGAAATGTTATTGAATGTCGAGTGTCCTGGATCATCACCGCTGTGCTTAGACCCTCTTGCATCGGCAAGGAAAAACTCTTAAAAACCCAGTGGGAGAAAATTAGAAACTTCGGGGAGGCCCACACTGAGGGAGGGATCCGCTCCCACAGACGGACGGGCATTTACGTGATGTGAAATATGGGTACCCCAACCATAATCATTCCTTTTCTTGTGTTTACGTCAGTTCTGGTTCAGGTTTCTCGGACAGCCGACCTCAGTCTCCCGCGCGGACAGGCCTCAACAACACTCCACCTCCTCCTCCTCCTCCGCTGCCTCCTCCCCCGCCTCCGCTGCCCTCTGGCGCACGGGGCACCCCTCCACCCATCCCCCCCCTGCCCACGCAGCAGCCCCCGGCCATCCCACCTCCACCTGCGCCTCTTCAGATCGCCCCGGGAGTCCTGCACCCGGCTGCTCCCCCCGTCGCCCCGCCTATGCACTCCTCGCCAGCGCGTCTGCTTCAGGGCATGGGATCTCTGGGCTCTTCGGACGGCGCCGCGCTCCCCCCGCCCCCTCCTCCGCCTCCCCTGCCTCAGCCCGGAGCCCGCACCTCGTCCCCCTGTCCTCCGCCGGGCGCTATGGCTTCTCCTCAGCCTCACGCAGCCGCCCACGATGTGATTCCCAAGAGGCATCACCCAGCGAACCTGCCCCCTATCAGCGACGCTCGCAGTGTGTTGCTAGAAGCCATCAGAAAAGGTACCTGGGTTTTCCACCGGAATCTTTACTCAAAACTGATTTGTTTTTTTCTTGAGATTTGTTGTCTATTTGAGTCTATGTGTACCTTATTATTTCAAAGTGAATTAGTCTGAGAACCTTTTGGAGCACAAACAAATGGCTGGAGACTGAGGCCTTGAAGTTTTAGCCTGTAATGACTTGTTTACTCCAATTGGATTTGGACTTTTTATTTCTCTGTGCAGAAAGTTCCCACTTATCTGTGCACATTTTCTTGAGGAGGGTATCGGGGATAGGATCTAGTAAACACATTTTGACTTTTACCAATTTCTGTTTTACAGCTGTGACAAAAAAAACACTGGAAATAATTAGATGTAGGGATCTGTAATTAGGAAAAAGTCTTCAGACAGAACTGAAAATTCATATTTACTTTTATGATAATTTTTGGACTGCATTTAATTTGTGAGTTGTGAGTGAAACTGGTCCAGGTTCATCCCAGAATGTTAGATTTGACTGAATAATACACCGATTTAGGTATTCCAACGTGGTTAAGCTGCAAATGACGAAAACATGAAATCTGATTTGTTTTAATCTTTCACATTTTCAGGAGTTTAAAAGTTGTATTTTAGCAATTGATTGACCAAAGATAAACATTTGAGTAAAATACATTTGTATCTGTGCAGGCACATCAGTTCAATCTTTACTCTTTAGTATGACGTCTGAATGTGCACAATCACGTCTCTTGGTATTTGTTTTTTCTATAACCCCTAACCCCAGACAAATATAAAATAGCGTTGTTAGTACCTTGACTTGTTTCAACGGCAACTAAACTTAATGTACTAAGGAGACAAACCTTCCTGAGCCATGTCCACCGTGTCCCCGCAGGTATTCAGCTTCGGAAAGTAGAGGAGCAGCGGGAGCAGGAGGCTAAGCACGAGCGCGTTGGCAACGACGTGGCCACCATTTTGTCTCGACGCATCGCCGTGGAGTACTCCGATTCCGAGGACGAGTCGGAGTTCGACGAGGGGGACTGGAACGAGTGACGAGGCGGCGGCGGCGGCGGCAGCAGCAGCAGCAGCAGCAGCAGCAGCAGCGGACAGTGGACAGTGGACTCTGCACACTCTGTCTCTCGCCTCCGTAGAAGCAGACAGAAGGACTCGCCGCGGACGCTTGTTTATCGTCATCTGTCTTGATGTGATTTGTGTTGAGGAGATGTGTCCTTGTGTCCCTGGTGTCTGCACTAGCACACAACTTTAACCCGTGATTTTGTGGGGGAAAAAAACCTTGACTAACTCTTAATATACATGAAGATTTCGGTTTGAAGGCCCATTCATTTTGGTTTCATGTCTGTGTGTCTATATTTTGAAAAAAATAATAACTGAAAAGGAAAATTGAAGGCATGTTGCAGCTTTCCTTTCACAGCACATCGCCCTCTTGTGGCCGGCGATGGTGCTACGAGTGTTTTTTATTTTCTACTTACATTTTTATTTAGTTAGACTATGGTTGAAATGGGCCATTAATCTACCAAATGTAACAAGCGCTGAATTGAAGATCAGCCGAGCATTTCTAGATATTATGATTGTGTACGAATTGACTTTACCGACACAAAACAAGCAGAATCTCTACTCGTGTTCTTGTTGTATGGATGGTAATGAAGGAGCGCTTCACGGTTGATGTGGCAATATAAACGTTTGTTTCCTCAGCTGAGTTAGTTTATGAGGGAAAATACAATCAGAATTTGAATAAGTTTAAACTGTGTAAAATGCAATTGAACAGGAAAGTCATTTTCACCATCAATCAGCACATCCGGTGTTAACACTTTTCCTTTCCCTCTATTTTTTATTTTTGAGAGAGCTGAGAGCTGTACTGAAAATCTGTGGTTTTTTGTGTGTTAGTCATAACTAAGAAAACAACTGAAAAACATTAGAAAGAAACGGCCTGTTGTTAAAGGGACAGTATGTAATATTATAATTTAATTATTGCACACATTTTTGACATTTTTGACAACAGTTTCAAGTGGAGTTATTCTTAATTTTAAAATACAATGGATATGATGCATAATATTTATGTTCACAACGGTCAAGCAGATTATCCAATCAGAGCGCAGATAGAGGCTCTTGTTTGGGATGCCAGTTTGTTTGGTGAAATTAACTGGTTTTGGCTCTTTGATTTTATTTCACAAACCATTTAAAAATATATATTCATAGCACCACAAATAATATTGAAATGAAAGCTAATACAGAAGAAGTCACACAAATACATACTGTCCCTGCACATGTCTACTTTTCATACAGCCATGTGAGAACCTTGGATTTGATCGTTGACTTTAATTACAATTGTATACGTTCGTCCCAACAATAATTATCAATGTGTCTCTTACCAAATCGAAAGCATCGGGCATTTTCATTCGTATTACATTTTACAACATTGACGGACTTATTCAGATTTGAAAGTGCGAGACAGAGAGGTTGCATATTTGTCTGTGTGCGATGGTGTATTCCGGTGTGAAAATCTTGTCATTTAAATAATCCTGAGCCATGTTTTTTGTAATCTACTAATCTCTGTCCCTTCAGTGCCATTATTATTACAGAAGGAGGAGATGAGAGGCTGTAGATACACACCAGATTTCTTGCCTCCACTTTGATAAGCATATTTTGCCCTTAGCTGATCTGACCAACACTACTCCGTATCCAAGGCAGCTCCTCCCCCAGATCCCTATCGGTGTGGGTCCATTACCCATAAACACCAAACGCAGGTTAAAAATAAACCCGTTTTCAGCGTGAAACTGCCTCGAGGCTGTGACAAGAAAATTACGCATAACTCGGCCTTGTCGTGGGCTCATTGCAAAAGAAAAAGCCGGCCATATCTTGTTCTTTCTACTTCTGGCCTTATTGTTAGTATTGTTGAGTTGATGAATGTATTTGTGCTGTTACTACTTAACTTGCCTGCGCTTGTATGGATTTGCTGTTTCTATGTTCAGGGGGGAGAAAAGGGATTTAATGAGACATGAACCATTGATTAAACAAAAAAGACAGAGGTCAAAAAATGTATACCCTGTAACTTATGTAACTGTTGACTGTACAGTTTGCTTGAATTAAAAAAAAAGTTAAGTCTTCTCAACTCTTTCAAGTCTTTTGTTTGTCATGTTTTTCAAAACCAGCTTTAGTATGTTTGAGTCGTTGTATTTATGCCATAGACAAGGGTCTAAAACTGAATTTGGTCGGGGGCCAGATTTAAAAACGTTAGAGCCAGAAGTATAAAAATGGTTTACTTTAATGATCCTTTTTTTTTTTTTTGACTTTTTGATTGTACAGTAGGTAACACAAGTTTGGATATTATTTTCAAGCAGATTTGGTTTCAACCTAGCCTGGCCTTAGCCATCCGTACACTCTGAAATGTAATTTGTACTATGGTGTGGTACGACTAGGCTAGTTTCAACCAAAGCTGGGCCAAATATCAAGACACTTATTTGAAGACTGATATTTAATTATTTATATAACTGAAATGTAATTAGAAGTTAACCTTGGTGGTTTTTTCTGAGAGAATAGACTTTAAAATGAAGTATAACAAGCATTGATGGTGATTAGTAGCCCATCACCATCAATGCTGCAAGTTGATACTGTGACAAGGGGCCACTAAAAATGGTCTTGCGGTCCAGATTTGGCTCACGGGCCTGAGTCTGACATACAGTACCTGCCATAGACTGTAAATCCTCATGCTTTTCAAACATAGTTGAATAAATCAATAGTTCTTATACAGTACATTTGTAGATATAGAAGAAAGATGTGTGAGCCCATGCACCCAAAAGCTTCTGACTGCAACGTTAGAGAATCAAACTGCTACAGGACAAAGGAAAAAAAGCTGTAATCCAGGATATGGTTGAATAAACAATTGTATTTTCATTCAATAAAGATTATAAATAAGAGGAAATGAAAGCGGTAACAGATGCTGAAGAAAGAATGTGAGCCCAACAAAAAAGGACAGCAGACACAGTAGAGGAGAACTGAAGAAGAAACATCAGTTATTTTTGTTATATATTAGTCACATTGTTAATATTTTTCTACATAATTTTTTCATATTTTTATTGTTTTATTAGCTTGTGTCATTATTTTATTTTTTCTTTGTTTTATTTATTTATTTTGGACACAAGGGAAGCATAGTTGGAAAAAAAAATCTTTATGCTGTATGTATTATGGGACATAATAAAGTATTACAAAATAAAACATTTGACCTTTTGCCGAGACAAGGTTTTCAGAGCTACAGCCTTGGCACCCTTCTTTCTATGATAATTATTATGATATATCTACTTTAGTTCATTCCCCACTGTGGGATAAATAAAGCTTCTCTTCCAAGTTTATTGCAAAACATCCTACAAAGTAAATCTGGGAAAAGCTGTTGTAATTGGCCCTTTATTGTAACCAACACCACTCCAGTAAAGTTGCCTCCATCTCTATGGGAGGTCTGATGAAATGGAGATACACTTTATATTATGGGCTGTTCTCATGCAGAGGAGAGTTGAGGATTCACCTTGGTGGAAAATAACCAGTTCAACCTGTATCTCCGAGCTCCATTTGCTCAAAAAGCCACTTCTTCACGGTGGACATTTGCATTTACAGCCTCGCAGGTTATGAGTGTATTTATCGAGCTGCTTTTAATCACCGGCTGTAAAATGGGGCCTTCCTGCGGCTCGGTGTTGGTCGGTTATCAGCACAGAAGCAGAAGCTGTTTTGCAGAGAAGGGAGTCACACACAAGACTTTAAACTAGTTTTAATTGCTTGATTCCCTTTACTTGAAACATGCATAATTATTAGCAATGTTGTGAATGGCAGCAACCTTTTGGCATCAGTGGTTCTCAACTGGTGGGTTGTGGGTCGGGATTAGCCTGGCCTTAGCCATCCGTACACTCCGGTCAATCATAATTTCCATGCATGTAATTTGTACTATTGTACTTTAAAATATCTTGGAAGAAGTAAAAATTTTATTGAAAACAATTGTCGTGGATTTATGAAAGTGTTTGTCCAGAATGCACATTTGTACACAGATTTTTTGAAATGTGTTATTATTATAACTTATTTTAAGATTATTGTGATTTTTTTTGTATTATATTTCCTTGATCTTGTTGGTGTTATCTTGTTTGTTATTTCAGTTTCAGTTTCACTCCCACCACACACTAGGAACTCTGTCTCACTGCAGAACTTCAGAATCAACTGTTTATTTTCAGCTTTTAATTAATTTTTTCTTATTTTTCTTCTGTAAAGCGTCTTTGAATGTCCAAAAAGTGCTATATAAATGCAAAGTTTTATTTTAAATTTTATTCAATGCTTATAAAACGGGGTGACAGTAGCTCTGTTGGTAGAGCAGTGTCCTTTGGGCCTGAAGGTCGAGGGTTCGAGCCCACCATAAGACCTACTTCACGACTCCCACTGATGACTGCTGTCGTTGTGTTCTTGGGCAAGACACTTAACCCCACTTTGCCTGAAGCCCCACTGAAAGATCTCAGCTCCTCTGGACTCACCACCTGCAGGAGGATCAGTGAGGGGCTGGTGCTCTGTGGACTGGGTGCAGCTCTGACTGCCACCCCTCCGACCCAGAAATGGATTAAGGGGAAGAAAATGGATGATTGGAATATAAAACAATAATTTGTGAATAAATCCAATATTTTTCATTCTTTATATACACTCCATCCATTGCCCTCTACAGGTAGGTGGAGAGGTCCTTCCTCAAGTGGAGGAGTTCAAGTATCTCGGGGTCTTGTTCACGAGTGAGGGAAGGATGGAGCGTGAGATTGACAGGCGGATCGGTGCAGCGTGCGCAGTGATGCGGTCTCTGTATCGGACCGTTGTGGTAAAGAGGGATCTGAGCCGAAAGGCAAAGCTCTCGATTTACCGGTCAATCTTCGTGAACGAGAACGAGATCGCAGATACAAGCGGTCGAAATGAGCTTCCTCCGCAGAGTGGCTGGGCGCTCCCTTAGAGATAGGGTGAGGAGCTCGGTCACACGGGAGGAGCTCGGAGTAGAGCCGCTGCTTCTCCACGTCGAGAGGAACCAGTTGAGGTGGCTCGGGCATCTGTTCCGGATGCCTCCTGGACGCCTCCCTGGGGAGGTGTTCCGGGCACGTCCCACCGGGAGGAGGCCCCGGGGAAGACCTAGGACATGCTGGAGGGACTATGTCTCTCAGTTGGCCTGGGAACGCCTTGGGGTCCCTCCGGACGAGCTGGAGGAAGTGTGTGTGGATAGGGAAGTCTGGGCGTCTCTGCTTAGACTGCTGCCCCCGCGACCCGGCAACGGATAAAGTGGAAGAAAATGGATGGATGGATGGATATATACTGTACACACACTAAACTAAACTAGTTCTGAAAATTAGCTTTGGCTATATTCTCCACGATACTTGCACCACACTACTGTACGAGAGAGACTGTCTATGTTTTCTTCTAAAATAAAGATTGATAGATAGATACAAGAATTTATTTACCATTTTCAGTAAAACCGGTGTTAGTATTAGATAGCAATATGGCCTACGTGCAGGACTGTACAAGGACTCTACAAGGACTCCATGTTATGACTATGATTTGACTGTCTCTTTGTGACACGTATGTCTTTCGATGTGTGACGTGACAATGACTATATAAACTGTGTACTGCCTTCATTCTGTCTGAGAGAAAGAAACAAAGTAAACCAGTGGAACTTGAGAGACACTTAAATAAACTTCCAGAGTTTGGCGCACCACGATCGTCTGTCTGCTAAATCCTCGACACCACATTGGAAAAACTGTCCAAGACTACCCCAGTGTGCACCAGAGTACATTCCAGAGTTCTTGCCAAATAAAAACAAAAAACAAATACTCGTATTTGGGTCGCAGCTTGGCGTTATTATACATATAGTGACATTAATATACAGATGGTGTGTCCTGACTCTGTTCCAGTTGATGACCACTGGCTTTACCATTATTTCAGCTATTGTCAGGAATGAACCAGACAGAGACGGATCGTGGTGCGCCAAACTCCGGAAGTTTATTTAAGTTTCTCTCAAGTTCCAGTGGTTTCAATTGTTTCTTTCTCTCAGACAGGATAAAGGCAGTACACAGTTTATATAGTCATTGTTACGTCACACATCGAAAGACATACGTGTCACACAGAGACAGTCACGAGTATATCATAGTCAAAACATGGATGCACCATCAGAAGAGTCCTCTAATCCTAACACTATCTCTAACAAAGATGACATATACACAATATCTGCATCATTTAGTGGCACATGTAGCCCCCTTTGCAGATGCAGCTAAACTTGAAGAGAGTTATTCTTCCTGCGTGGAACTGTCTTGTGGACCTGCCGGGCTCGAGACCCCAGACCCAGAGACTGCAGGGTCTCAGCGACAAAGTGCTGAGTGGGAGAAACACACAGCATCAACAAGAGCTTTGCATCGCCACCTAATGGACACAACGAGACAAACGTTTAAAAGAAGTGAAATCAAGTTTGTAAAAGCTTGAATATGCATGCAGTACCTATGGCGTCCTGAAGGAGGTGTGTGAGTTTGCAGTTTCTGTAGGGAATGTGGGGTCTGTGTTCAGCCAGGGCTCCCAGGACATCAGACAGAGCACACAGAGAACGGTTTATACACGACACCTCCCACAAGGCTGGCCCTGAGACCCCCGACAGCCCTGGACAGCACAAACAGAACAATTCTAATCAAAGATGTTAATTCTGCGTATGGTTGAGTTTATTAAGCTCGAGAATGTAAATGTAACAGAAGCTTGACAGTGTGAAAGAATAATTATCATATAGAAAAATAGATGAATCAAAGTTTGACATATTGAAAAAGCTGGTTTGTAATATTTATATTCAAAACATATTCATGAACTGTGTCCCAGGATAGAAGATCTCTTAACCAATGTACAAATGTTATTCCATCCAGTAAATGTATGTTGCCATTTTGTGTTACTTTGAAAATAGAGGCTTTAACATTTTAGGATGGAAAACCAAAACTTATGGGCATCAGATATTTAGCAGTTACCACAAAGTCTCTGACGTGCTTTTAAAAACTTTGAAAACATTTTATCTTTTGTTCTACGACCAATCACACCGGCAACAATATGCACAACATGAACCTTTTAAAACATTGTTTCAAAAGGTTTCTGTTCATTTTTTGACTACTAATGTATTTCATGACATACATTTGACATACATCGATCATTGATATCGAGCCTACAATTATGATCAATATATATATAACAAAGTGATAAGTAGTTTCTGCTCTGTCTTGTCGAGTAAAAAACCACTGTGGTCATACAAAAATAAAAATAAATTAAAATTGTTGAATCAGAAGATTATTATTATATTATTGGACGATATAAGTAATTCTACAATAATTCAACAGACGTTTATTGACGATTGTATGGTAAAAAATGTAAACATGTACAAATCGGCCAATGAGGGTTAAAGCATCTTCAAAACAACTATAAAGATTGTATACATATTTCCAAATTGTTTTACCCAAGAATGATGGAAGACTGTTATGTGTGTAGGTAATAATGAGTTTCTCCACATGATTCTTGATCACTTTGGGCAAACTCTACAAACTCTAACAACTCTACCAACTCTACCCTCTCTACCAACTCTACCAACTCTACACTCTCAACCAACTCTACCAACTCTACCATCTCTACTAAGTCTACCAAGTCTACCATCTCTACCAACTCAACCAACTCTACCAACTCTACACTCTCTACCAACTCTACCAACTCTACCAACTCAACCAAGTCTACCAACTCTACCAACTCTACCAACTCTACCATCTCTACCAACTCTACCAACTCTACCATCTCTACCAAGTCTACCAACTCTACCAACTCTACACTCTCTACCAACTCTACCAACTCTACCAACTCTACCAACTCAACCAAGTCTACCAACTCTACCAACTCTACCAACTCTACCATCTCTACCAAGTCTACCAACTCTACCAACTCTATCATCTCTACCAAGTCTGCCAAGTCTACCAAGTCTACCATCTCTACCAACTCAACCAAGTCTACCATCTCTACCAACTCAACCAAATCTACCAACTCTACCAACTCTACCCTCTCTACCAACTCGACCAAGTCTACCAACTCTACCAACTCTACCAACTCTACCATCTCTACCAACTCAACCAAGTCTACCAACTCTACCAACTCTACCATCTCTACCAACTCAACCAAGTCTACCAAGTCTACCAACTCTACCAATTCTACCGTCTCTACCAACTCTACCATCTCTACCATCTCTTCCAACTCTACCAACTCTACAAACTCTACAAACTCTACCAACTCAACCAAGTCTACCAACTCTACCAACTCTACCAACTCTACCATCTCTACCAACTCAACCAAGTCTACCAACTCTACCAACTCTACCCTCTCTACCAACTCAACCAAGTCTACCAACTCTACCAATTCTACCGTCTCTACCAACTCTACCATCTCTACCATCTCTTCCAACTCTTCCAACTCTACCAACTCTACAAACTCTACAAACTCTACAAACTCTACAAACTCTACAAACTCTACAAACTTTACAAACTTTACAAACTCTACAAACTCACCCACGCACTCGCTGCCGGCTAGGTCCACCAGCTGCAGCTTGGTTCTGAACGAGTGGGGGCTGCAGGGGCGAGGGGAGGGACAGGGCGAAGGGGAGCGGCAAGGCGAGGGGGCGGGGCTTAACAGACGCTCATCAAGTGGGTTGGCACGGCGACATTGGGGACTCCAATACTGCTTCCTGTTGGAGCTGAGCAGGTCCTTCTTAGCGCTCTGCAGTCTATGGGCTACAAGGGAAAACAAATATATATATAATAATAATGTTTTTTCTCCTGTGTCCAAAACAAAAGCAGCACATTGGTTGATCTTCCTCACCCAAAGCCAGGGCGTTGGGGCTTTTGGACGAGAGCGTCATGGTGACGATGAGGTGAGAGCGTGAGGAGTCGCTGTGGATCCGGGTCGGACAGTGGGCTCGGAGTGTTGACCCTTTGGTTACAAAATGCATCACCTCCGCAGCGCTGCTCACAGGCCTGTGCACAAAGATGAAATCAGAAATATAACCAACAACACATACAACTAGACGTCCTTCCGAGTGTCAAAGAGTTACAAATACATTCCAGGCAGCAATCCGGATCATGGAGATATAAATAAAACATACTCTTTCCCTCATAACTTATTGATTTGTGTGGTGGTTTAATGCTTGTGTGCACATGGGAAAGAGACCAGCAGTGAATGAGTTTTGGTTTTGATGTTAATGTATTATTTATTATTGGTTATCAGATTACAAATAAGTTATTTATCTCTTGAAAAAATAATCAATTACTAATTTAGGTACTTTAATTTAAAAGTAATCAACAGAACAACAAATATGCCTCAACACTACAATACTGGCAGAGATATGTAAGTAACTAATCTCTATTTATATAACAATAACAATAATAATGCATTAGTTTTATATAGCGCTTTTTTTGAAACTCAAAGACGCTACAGATGTTATTATTCATTTTCTCCAAACACGGTGGTGATAAACTACAACTGTAGCCACAGCTGTCCTGGGGCACACTGACAGACGCGAGGCCAACCGAAACGTGCCACTCCGATCACCACCACCAACCATTCACACACACACCAGACTCATTCCAGGCAATGTGGGGTAACCACAGTTTGGCACTTTACAGCTGCAGCCGCCCCACTGTGGCATCTGGTGTTCCCATAGGTCTCCCACCACGGTCCTAACAAGGCCCTGCCCTGTAGTTTAGAGGCTGGCTTTCACATGCAGGTATGGCCACATAGAGCGCTTTTATTTTTACGTTTTATTTTAAATGTTGCAAAACAGGAGAAAAAGAAAATGAGGAAGATAAAAATAATAAAGAAAATAAAGAAAAAAATAAAATTTAATAAAAACAGATAAATATAATAAAATAAAAGATAAATAATCCAAAATAGCGCTTTTCACAGACAGACTCACAAAGAGCTCTGCAATTGTTTATCATTTTCCTCTCACTACATAACGTGACAGCCATACAGGAGCAGCATGGCGTGTCTTTAGAGGGTAGGGGACACCAGAGCACACTGAGGAAACCTACACAGACACAGGGAGAACATGCAAACGCCACACAAAAAAGCCCTGTCTGGAGGTGGAATCAAACCCAGAACCTTCTCGTTGTGAAGCATAACATCCAGGCTACTAAAGCGTCCTTACTCGTACGTCAGCCCCGGGACCTGGATCTCTCCTGATGAAGTGGTCACGATGTCGCGCCTCTGTCCCCCACCGCCGTGCTCGTCCTGGGACAGCAGGTCAAACACCTCGTTATTGTAGATCTCCCTCACTGACACCTCCACCGTGTGACCCTCTGTGGGCCGCTCCGAAATCAGCCTGGACTCAAACAAACACATGATCAAGTCACAGATACAGACATGTTTTCTATAAGTAAGTCAGATTTATTTATACTGTACTTTTCACAGAGCAGGGTCACAGAGCGCTGATGACTGCGTGATGATAATAGAATTTAGTCAGACGAAAAAATCGACCTCAAGCGTGTTCAAACAGCTGAAAGTGGTTCTAACTGGCTAAGATAAGATAGACTTTATTGATCTCACACAGGAGAAATTTACATGTCGGATTTGGCATGGATAAGTTAACTCAGATTTGTGCAAAAGACAGAAGTGTGCAACATGGTAAAGGCAAAAAATACATCTGTTCAGGATTTATTTTGTACAATTAAAAGTGGCAATTAGTATGTTCTTAGTCCTAGTGCAAGTGACTTAAAGTGACTTATTGTACAGTCTGACAGCTTACATTTCTATAAAGCTTTTACTATCACTATTACTATTGTTATTATTCATTAGTGAAACGCAGTAAACGCACATAAAACTGTGATATACAAAATATCTAGACAACCAGTAATGTGAATGATCAAACCGACTATGTCATTAAGATTATCATAATATAAATTGTGTCTTAGATAATCTACTTAATTTTGACCATGATTTTGTGGACATAAATATGCCGGATTAGAGAACTTTGCGCCACCAGTTGCACCACTTTCATTTATTTTGTTTTCTGTACTATTTTCATTAACATTCTATATTTTGTGGAGGAAAACAACAAAACAGTCCATGGGAAAAAACTAAAATCAGCATTGCTCCATCCAAAAATTGCTGAATTTAGACTAGACTTGGATTGGCCTAGTACCGACTAAATCTCAACCAAGTATATACATAAACAATACAAGATTATATATGGACATTGATTCTTCATGCCTTAATTTGATCTGACCCCACAGGGAAATTGCCAACAATGATTGTAAAGCGCTTTGTGTATGTCTGTGAAAGGTGCTATAATGAATAAAAACGTATGTGTTCATTTTGTTCAGGGATCATTGCATCTACTGTAGCTACCTTAGCCATAGCCTTTTCAAACCTGTATTAGTGTAAAGATATGTGACAATGTGTTCTGCAGGTTTGAAATAAATCTAACTAATTGAATAACATGATACGTGTCTGTTTGCAGGTGGAGTATTATCTCTCTGATGTAGAAATGTTGCTGGCTTTCAACACATGGAAGAGCTGTAAGAATTAAAAGTATTTGGTTCTTTTATACCAGACAATAGTAGTTTAGCAATGGTATGTTGTTCTGACATCGCTAACCTACTATTGTCTGGTATAGAAGAACCAAATACTTTTGATTCTACCAAGAAGACAAGTTCCACAGTGGGGAAATTGCAATGTTGAGGCGCACATATAGAACAGTAGTAAGAGCAAACAGGGAACTCTCAAAATCTACAATATAAGTAGCTGCTATGTTTCTTAGCTATCTCTAAATGCTTTAATATCAGAAGTTGTGTTCGGTGTGCAACATTAAACCGTGTCTTATTCCACACATTCTCCGCTCTCACCTGGTTTTTGAGATGTATGGACAATTTGCTACATATTATGCCAATTCAGGTTTACAGGCAAAATATGTGTCAAACATTAATTTGTAAAATTGTAAATCTATGAAACTTTTATGAACCCCAGGTCTTGTGCTGCCCAGTACCAGTCTCTTATAATCTTGTCTGTATATAATATATACTTTTATTTTTAAGTTTCTGTCTGTGTTTCTTTTTCAAGTATGCACCTAGAGTCTGAATAAATCCATGTTAATGATGATGATTATCGTCTGTATGACATTATTACAGTTTCTTGTTCTTAAAGAATGACCTAAACCAGTAAACAAACAATAACCAGGAACTGAATCCACTTCCTTCAAAGTAAAGCTTCCATAATCCTCTCTCACTACAGCACTTGCCCCGAGCGTGTGTACAGAAGGCTTTTTACCACTGGTGTATCCAGCGTCTCACCGGAACACATGTGCAGCAGCCTTAGGGACCACCCCCTGCTGCGCCTCCTGCTGCTCCTCCTGCTGCGTCCCAGAGAGCAGCTCCGCGGGCCCCAGCATCGTGTGAGTCTTCCCACTGCCGCTCTGGCCGTACGCCATCACGCACACGTTGTAACTGCAGAGACACAAAGCTCCTGCATAACACGCTCCTGTCCAAGCCGAGTCCAGTCCAGCAGCTGTGACTTCATGTGTGTTGATTGTGTGTTAAGTTTATTGATTATTTTTACTTTTAGATTTCGACTAGAGGAAAGTATGTAGTGGTACCTACAGTACATAGACTGTAGAAGGAGCAGGTTAACCGAATCTTTTCCCATTATATCACATGCATTTATATCTATATTAAAATACATGTGGGCGGCACAGTGGCTGAGTGGATAGCACTCTCGCCTCTCAGCAAGAAGGTCCTGGGTTTGAATCCCGGCCGTACCAGGGCCTTTCTGAGTGGAGTTTGCATGTTCTCCCCGTGTCTGTGTAGGTTTCCTCCAGGTACTCCGGTTTCCCCTACCACTAAAAACCGCTCCCATCTCTGTCTGGAGTGAGAGGACAAATGCCCAAAAATGATAACAATTGTAAACCGCTTTGTGACTCTGGTCTGTGAAAGGCGGTATATAAATAAAGATTACTTACTACTTACTTACTATATTAGATGTGCGCCTCCCTAAGAATTCTCATTTCTTTCCCACTGAGGCGGTGATGATCCAGGATATTTAAGGACATTTATCAACATTTATGGACATTGGTCTTTCTTTATGGACCAATGTCTTCTTTAAGTACTTGGATATTCAGATCAAAATACTGTAGAAAGTGGAAACCAAATCAGACCTTGAGGAGCACAGGGAGTAACCTCCTGCTCGTTCCCTGAGTGAGAACTAAACATGGGGAGGCTGCATTACAGATTCATGCAGCTAAAATCTGGAACAGTCTTCCTGAAGATGTGAGACAGGCTTCTACTCTGGCAATGTACAAATCCAGGTTAAAAACAGTTCTGTTCAGCTGTGCATACAGTACAACTGAGGGACTTTATCTTATCTCTTTTTAATGCACTGTGATTATGTATTATTTTAATCCCTTGTGTGACTGTCTATGTCTTGTTTTGTTCAGCACTTTGAGTTTTGAGTCCATGAATGGTGCTATACATATAAAATTGCCTGAGTGATGAGGCCTACGTGATATGAAATACATTTAGTGACTTTTCCCACTCACCCATCCAGCAATGATCTGATGAGCGGTTTGACTTCTTCAAACACGGCATCCTGAGAATCTTCCGCTGCATGTACCCTGAAAATGATATTTGTTTAAGTAGGTAAAGACTCGGGGTGATACAATTTCAACAACAGTCAAATAAGACAAGAAGAATCACACAAAAGATATAAGCGACAGAGAACTATTTAAGTCAAGATACATGTAATTAGAAGAACAACATGTAAGACAAGGGAACGCTCATGTTGCCATACAATGCAATACAAAATTTTTATTACATTATTTTACCTTTCAAACTCAAAAATCTTGCTTTGCGCTCCTGTTTTGTTGCTGTTCACTATCACCGTGTCCTGAAACCAAATTAATAAAGACATAAAACACAGATATTACCAGCAAAAATAGTCTGTTTGGATTGCACTCACATCACTGACTGCTTGAATTACTTCCTCCACTGGTGCGTGTCTGTAGATAATCGAAAGCAGAGATAATTAGTTCATCACGAGGCCAGGCAGCAGTCTCAGCTGGATGCACTCACCCTGATCCAGATGTGGAGGGTTGGAGATGATCGAACGGAAGAACGGGACGTACTCGACAATGCACTCTTATGTTTCCTCTCAGCTCCTGTCACATAAACAACAGATCAATCTTGTTTTGGGAGATTTGTTTTTTTGAACTGTATTTTTTTTTCTCACCACTAGAGTATTGTGGAGCTCCTTTCTCCTTTGCCTTTCCTTTTTCCACTGCTCTCTTTCCTCCTCCAGAGAGCGCTCAAGTTCTGTAACTCTGGCCTGCAAATCTGACAGCATAGTATTAGAGGAATAAGTATGTTTGGTCAATAGTTCAAAAACAAACAAATAAATGAGGTATAGAGTTAATGGGCATATTTGCACTAATATGTGTGTATGTCATTCATCTGCAAAATGTAATTACAGTAATTATGTGCAATACTGCAATTTCAGAATGTCCATTGAATGTTATTATATATACTTGTTTTATTGTGTGCTCCCTGTCTGCTCTTTCTACTGTCCTGTATGTGTGCTTCAACCTTGAAATGTCCCCACTGTGGAACAAATAAAGGATTTCTTATCTAGTCTTGTTGTGTATTTAGACTAGATTTATTAACTAATGATAGAGATTTTTTTGTTTTAAAATATAGAGTTGTGATACACTAATATTCACTTATGTTTCTCATTCCTACTGTTCTGTAACTGGAGTCGGAACCACAGTGGGATGAGTAAAGGATCTCTTAATCTTAATAAACAGGATGGTGGACTACGTTTTCATTTATCACTACATTCATGTTTTCTCAGGGAATACAACTACTATGTCTTCGGCAGCTCAAGGGCAGTGTGTCAAAGAGATTAGGATTAATGAAAATTGAACAAAAAAAGAACCAATTGTATTCATATAAGATGGATTCAAGGCACACTTACTTTGAACATCATCCACAGCGCTACCTTTGGAAACTTTGTCCAACAAGATCTTGCTCTGCTCCTCCAGCTCAGTGGCAAAAGTCACATAGACTCCAAAAATCTCACTTAGCTCATGTTTTAAATCCTTAGAAAAACAGATATATGGTTTGTATTTATAATTCAACAACTACCATATTGTACAAAGCCATACCTGCACTTCAGACAGGAGCTGGGTCAAGCTACACGTGTTAATCTTTTGTGTATTATTTTCTTTCACTGGAATCTGATGCAGTTTTCCAATACACTGAAAAAAAAAAATATATATATATATATACAATGTATTTAACCACTTACACAGTAATTGAAGCACCCCACAGTGAACCGCCACTACTTACTTCTGCCAGCCTTAAATGGAGAATTGCATTTTCTGTCTCCAATTCCAGTAAACGCTCCTCTTTACTCTGTGGTGAATACATTATGTAAACACAAAAGAAAGCCCTGTTTACACCAGCCCTACTCTACTCGACACAGCCGTATTCTACAATACTTTGCCCTTCTCTACTCTATTCTACTCTACTTGGCCCTACTCTACTCTATTCTACTCTACTTGGCCCTACTCTACTCTATTCTATTCTACTTAGCCCTATTCTACTCTACTCTACTCTACTTAGCCCTATTCTTCTCTACTCTACTCTACTCTATTCAACTCTATTGGCCCTATTATACTCTACTAAGCCCTATTCTACTCTATTCTACTCTACTTGGCCCTATTCTACTCTACTCTACTCTGCTTGGCCCTACTCTATTCTAATCTATAGTCTACTCTACTTGGTCCAACTCTACTCTACTCGGCTCTTCTCTACCTGGTTGCTTTTCCATATGCTTTAGTATCTGGCACCGTATTCTACCAACCAATCCATAACAATACAGTATCTGGAGATAGTCCTTGGTAACCAATCAATCAATCACAGTCAGCTAGAACCATGGATCTATAATAATAACCTAGAACACTTTAGTATCAGCTCGGGCTTGCAAGAACCAGGGTCAAGCAGGTACTAAAAAAAAAATACCTGGTAGCAGTTAAACAGGTGGAAACGCTCCCAAACAGAGTAGAGTAGAGCAGAGGAGAGTAGAGGAGAGTAGAGAAGGGCCGAGTAGGACTAGACGTTCGCATAGTTACCCTCAGCTTGTGTTCCAGGAGATGCACCTGATGCGCATACATTTTGTCCTTGTTGACAAAAAGATGGCATGTTCGTGAAAAGAGAATGCCGCGTTTGTGTCCTGTCTACAGAGCATAGACTGTGGCCTTTCTCCTCCTTCAGGCTTATAGGAAGTGAGTTTAAAACAATTTAATCCGATTACAGTACTCAGGACTGTCCTATCGCCCTGTGCAAGAAGAAATAGAAGAAATAGACCAAACGAACGTCTCCTCATATTAACTAAAATTGTTAGGTTTTTTTTTTTTTTTTTACTGTGGGGTTAAACATTTAGAGTAAATTGTATATGTAGTATACATATATAATATGTGTAACGTGACTACGAAATGTTGTAAAATTTGACAACACAAGGGGGCAGCATAGTATCATCCCCGAGTGTGAAGGAAGAAGAAAAATCACTTCCGCATTTAAAGTACTGTCATCAAAATATCGTGTGCAACAAAATGCCTAAATTAAAAGACAAAAGGAAAGAAAACTACAGTGTCGCCTCTGAGGTAAGACTATGGGCTTTTATTCCTTGGAGTGCATACACAAGTAGAGGAACGTGTCTATTAAAAATCATACGGAGCACGTCGCGTTGGCGTCTAGGACATGGCTGCGTCTGAATAATAAATCATATTCTTCCTTTTCCTTGTTTCTCCCCTGACTTTCTCTGTGGAATTGAATTTTATCCACGTTGCATTGAGTCGATTGCATAGTATTTCGTTTTAATGATCCAAACCTGCAGCTGTTTCATAAAAGGGTCATTTGTAAAGGACAGGGAAGGATATGAACTCTGATGCAGCCCATGTTCCAGTCAATGCATTAACGTGTGAAGAAACATCATGTTGTTTCCAATATATATGTCACCAGATGATAGTGGTTGGTACTATTTTGAATCAGGAAAATAATGTACCCAAGACAAGCTCCAAAGATTTTGTGGTTCTTTAATTTCCGACTGCCTCTAGAGAAAGACAGCATTAATTCAGGTATTTTTGGCTTTTTCTTTTCTTTCTATTTAACAACGTTACTCAGTTCACATAAAATTAAAATAAACACTTCATTCTCAAAAATAAGACAAGACAACAGTAGTGGACTACAAAACAACTGGTGTAGGCTCACTATAATAAACAAAATAAATACATGTAAAATGTTCATTTATAGAATGGAAATTGAAATATCAGTTAACATTCTGCACTCACTTTCAGTCTGGTAGGAACACAGCTCAAACCAAATCCAGAACAACTGAGAATATAACAGTGGTCTTTCTCCCCTCTGCATAAAGCAAATAGTGAGTACATTTCATGAATAACCATTTAAAATAAACCTTAAACATGTAACTAACATAGTGATCTGTCAACTCACGCCAAAACATTGACCAACGGCTTTATACACGCAGGTCTGACAGTGTTACGTATGTATGCCTTCTACCAACACCAGATCTACAGATATATAGAGCAGAAATCATCAGATATAATGCAGATGATATACAAAAAGATAATTTTATCATTAAATCCTTTTTTGTTATCTCTATTTACCGTTTTTGGTGCCACAACTTGCCAGCGCACCATCCAACGTCTCTCAAGGCGTTGCCAGGGTAACGTCTCACGTGCAGCACCTGACACCTCCCAACCACACGCGCTGTAACAGCACCCTCTACTGGCCAAACCGGGGACAGTATCTGCCGTTCGTCCTATTATTATTTGACCCGGCTACATATATATATATATATATAATATATATATATATATATATATATATATATATATATATATATTACATTTTAATCTGAGCCCTGTGAGTCACTATTTGACGCCTTGGGCTGAGATAGGATTTGGTTGTAGTTGGTTCTTATTAACCTGAGTGTCCAGAAAAGCTGACCCACAGGTATGACAGAGGCAAAAATACATGTTTGTGGTAGTAGTTGGATTTTATAGTCACATACAGACTCTGTATTTCAATATTTGTATCGCCTATAAGGGTTACCTTTTCTACATCTTTTTAGGAACAGCGTATGAAGCATGGCTATTTCCTTTACATTATACACACATTCCTATGATTGTGCATTGTCTCTGTTAGATAAATTCAATAAATAGCAGGTTTGACTACCCGGGCAACTTCCAGTTAGGTGTGTGAAAAGAAGAGCTCATTCACTGTGAGAATCTAACCTTTTTCCTAATTCTGAGAAATTAAAGAAGGTGATGAAGTCCTCATTATAAAAAGTTGCGCATAAAAGTGCTGGGAACAACACACATAGTGACACGCATTCACAAAAACACCAGTGTCAGAGTGCTCCCTGATCAGTTTTATTGGAGTTTTGAATGCATTATAGCACTCTATGTAAACACTCTTTGGAAAGGCTATGCAAAAAGTTACACACTGCCTGTTTATGTGCATGAACTGAAAGTCTTTTACAACCGTCAGATTGACCGGTTGGAGGTGCGGCGAGCCCAGTGCCAAGAGAATCTGGAGCAGGCGGAGTTCAAGCACCGGCGAGATGAGCTGTCTGAGGAGCAGAGGTGAATATATCATAATGTTCTGTTTTGTCTCTGAGTCATGAGGTCAAAATATTTTTTATGATCATTATTAGGGGTGCAACGGTTTGAAAAAATCACGGTTCGGATCGTACCTCGGTTCAGAGGTACGATCCTCTGAACATCCTTGTGTGGATGGACGGCATATTCCATCCATCCATCCAATTATGTCTTTTTAACATAATTAATGAAAAACAACACAAAGTGCAACATAAGAAGGCACTTTATGAGGGTATTTACCCTCATATTAAACCACCTTCCTGATTCTCCTAAGGAGGCGCTCCATCCTGGGCCCAGTCCAGCCTCATTCACTGCATTTGTTTAATTTTTGGCATTATCAATTGTGACTGGGATATTGGATACTTTGTCTTCCATTCCTCCGCTTCTTGTGTCAGTACCTACGCTGTGTACCTTTGTGACTTTCGTAGAGGGGGCGTGTCTGCAGCACCGGATTTTTCATCTCCCAGTCTGCTGTGATGAGTGAGCGGTTATCGTAACATAGCACTTTGTTCCGCTCATGGATCTATTATAGGTTCCGCGGGACGTCCAAGCGTCAGTCGTGAGCGCAACTGTGGATACGCGGGAGAGTTGACTTTAGCCCGGTCTGACTGTGCATAAAGGAGCTGCTTAAATGCCGCGGCAATAAGCGGTCGTTGAGAAGCCTTTTTTTCACTCATGTCTTTCTTGTGCCACAGTATTTACACACTGTGACAGTTTTGTCGAAAATTAATTATCAGTATAGTTACAGTGAAGCCAAAATGCTCTCATACTGGGGATTTAAATGACGCGGGGCTTTCAAGTTCCTCCGTTCCTCTGCTCGCCATGACCACGCTGTGTGTGGACTGAACAACATGCGCACAATTTTTTTTTTATAAATCAAACCGCGGATCACGTCTGTACCGAACCGAAGACGTTGAACCGAACGGATCACGGATCAGTGATGAACCTTTGCACCTCTAATCATTATTAGTCACAGTCCTTAACTCTAACACATTTTGATTGATACATTGAGACAGGGGCGACAGTGGCTCAGTTGGTTCGAGCCCACTATAAATATTTGAACACCAACACCACTTTTTTTCCTCAGGCAGGACCTGGAGCTGGAGATGTCTTTTATGAATGAGCGAGTGCACAAACTTGGTAAGCCATTACGAAGACATGCACACACTTAAGATAGAATTACTTTAAACTGTATATTATTGATTTGAAAGCTCCTCATTTCATATTTTACTTTGTTCTGTGTCCCCAGACACAAGGTACACATGTACAAATCCGATAACGCCATTTCTGATCAGACGTTTAATGTGGAGTTATTTCGTAATTGAAAATACTAAAGACCTCATTTATGTTTACATTTCATGATTTGGTTGTCAAGTAGAAAGCAGAGTTTACATTGTGTGACTCTGAGGTAAACTTTGTTGAATTCTTGGAAATTACAGGCTTATAAGCTTCTAGAACAAGGATGTCAAAGTCAAAGACGTCAGAGGGCCAAAAAACAAATTTGCTACAAGCTGAGGTCCTTTAATGTTTTTTAAAATATATTCAAATGATTGGATATAACCTATAACCAAGACATAACACTGTGTACCGTATTTTATTTCATGATTTAAAATATTTTTGTATGGCTCTGTCTGTACATTTCAAGTTAAAACATTATTCAACAGGCTCACAGACAAAAACAAACTTCCATTAAAGAGAAAGAACACGTCCTGAACATAATAATGGTGTAACGATGTGACAGTGATCTCCAAGCACTGCTCTCCTGCCCTGGAATATCTTTTCATTCATTGTAAACCATATTACTCCCCGCGCGAAATTGTTTCATTCATTCTTGCCTCTGTTTACATACTGCCATGCGCGGACGCGCGCGAGGCTCAGCGCGCACTCGCAGAGCAAGTACTGTGTATGGAACGCTTATACCCGGACTCTCTGATTATTATCCTGGGGGATTTTAATAAGGGAAACTTGAGCCAGGAATTACCCAAATACAGACAGTTTATCAAATGCCCGACCAGAGAGGAGAACACTCTGGATCACTGTTACACCACCGTGCGCGGAGCTTTTCGCGCTGTTCCCAAGCCAGCCCTCGGCTTCTCAGATCACTCCATGATACATCTGGTTCCTGCTTACAGACAGAGACTAAAGCTCTCGAAACCTGCAATGAGGAGCTCCAAAGTGTGGTCTGATGAAGCTGTGGAAGAGCTGCGCGTATGCATGGAATCTACAGACTGGGACCTTTTCAGAGCTGCCACAGATAGTTTGGATGAATATACGGACACTGTGACGTCATACATTCACTTCTGTGAGGATAGCATCATTCCAACAAGGACCAGGGTCATCTATAAGAACGACAAACCCTGGTTCACTGCTAAACTCCGGCAGCTCAGGAAAGCAAAGGAGTCTGCTTTCAGGGAGGGGGACCGCAGCGGCTACAAAGCAGCTAAATATCAGTTCAGGAGAGAACTGAAAGCAGCCAAGTCCCGGCACAGAGAACGACTACAGGAGCAGTTTGGTAACAACGATACTGCTTCTGTCTGGAGGGGCCTACGGGATATCACCAACTACAAACCCAAAGCCCCCCCCTGTGCTGACGACCACAAGCTAGCTGACGATCTGAACTTATTTTTCAGTCGCTTTGATGCTGCCCCTGACACCTCTCCCTCCCCCACCCCCCACTACTCTAACGACCCACCCATCAGCCCTGCCCCCAGCCTAACAATAGCCGCTAAAGAGATTAAACAACTCTTCCTGAGGCTGCACCCCCGCAAAGCTCCTGGCCCGGACCACGTGTCTCCGGCCACTCTGAGACACTGCGCCAGTGAGCTTACTCCTGTGTTCACTGACATTTTCAACACCTCTCTGCAGTCCTGCCATGTCCCGGCATGCTTCAAATCCTCCATCATTGTCCCCGTCCCGAAGAAGCCCAGGATCACAGGACTCAATGACTACAGACCTGTAGCACTTACGTCTGTCGTCATGAAGTCATTTGAACGCCTGGTTCTCTCCCATCTCAAGTCCCTCACCTCCCCCCTCCTGGACCCCCTGCAGTTCGCCTACAGAGCCAACAGATCTGTAGACGACGCCATTAACCTGGCCCTCCACCACATCCTACACCACCTGGACTCCCCGGGGACCTACGCCAGGGTCCTGTTCGTGGACTTCAGCTCTGCCTTCAACACAATCCTGCCATCCCTGCTCCAGGACAAGCTCTCCCAGCTCAACGTGCCCGATTCCACCTGCAGCTGGATCACTGACTTCCTGACGGACAGGAAGCAGCGAGTGCGTCTGGGGAAGAATGTCTCGGACTCTCGGATTATAAATACAGGAGCCCCACAGGGCTGTGTTCTTTCTCCCCTGCTCTTCTCCCTGCACCTCCAGCCACGACTCCGTGAAGCTGATCAAGTTCGCGGACGACACCACCCTCATTGGACTCATCTCCAACAACGATGAGTCCGCCTACAGGAGGGAGGTGGACCGGCTGGTGTCCTGGTGCAGTGGTAACAACCTGGAGCTGAACGCCCAGAAGACAGTGGAGATGATTGTGGACTTCAGGAAGAGCACAGTCCCCCCGCCCCCACCCTCCGTGATGGACTCCCCCATCACCTCTGTGGAGTCCTTCCGTTTCCTGGGCACCACCATCACCCAGGACCTCAAGTGGGAGCCGACCATCAGCTCCCTCATCAAGAAGGCCCAGCAGAGGATGTACTTCCTGCGGCAGCTCAGGAAAGCCAAGCTGCCTGCACAGATGTTGGTGCAGTTCCACACGGCCATCATCGAGTCCATCCTCACCTCCTCCATCACCGTGTGGTTCGCTGGAGCCACAGTCAGGGACAAACAGAGACTACAGCGCATTGTGCGCTCTGCAGAGGAAGTGATCGGCCGCAGCCTTCCATCGCTGCAGGACCTGTACGTCGCCCGAGCTCGAGGCCGGGCTGGTCGTATCACAGCCAACCCCTCTCACCCTGCACATGGACTATTCCAACCACTCCCCTCAGGCAGGAGGCTGCGGTCCATCAGGACTAGAACCTCCCGCCACAAGAACAGTTTCTTCCCCTCTGCTGTTGGACTCTTGAACACTTCTTAACCTGTCCCCCCGCCCTTTATAAAGTCACTTTACTGCCCATCATACGTCACTTTACTTCACTGTACTGCTGTCACCTTACATTGTGTGCACCATGTGCACTTGTATATTGTAAATAGTAACTGTAACTCTATTTTAAATTTAAATTTAGAAGTGTTTTTTATTCTTATTTTTATTATCTCTTTTTGACTGTTGCACTGAGCCAAAGCAATTTCCTAGTCTGTGACCTCCTGTTACTTACGTGGCAATAAAAATGATTCTGATTCTGATTCTGATTCTGATAATAATACAATATTTTCTTATGGCTCTGTGCGGGCCGGTTCTAATACTATCAAATATCATCCCGGGGGCCAAGATGATTTATTTACTGGCCGGATCTGGCCTGTGGACCTTAACTTTGACATCCATGTTCTAGAACTAAACCTATGATGCAGTATGAAGTTCTGTCTGTGAGGTAATAAAGTAATGTGAAAATTGGTCTGTTAGGGCAGAGAGGAAGTGTTTGTGCTGATTTGTGCCAGAAATTCCTGAGCGTGGATGGAACTACAAAACAAATCCAAATATTCTTCAGCTGAGGGAACAGTGCAACCTGTTAACCGTCCCAAAAAGACAATCTTGCTTCATATATATCGTCTTGAAACCTGAGCTGAAAGGTGTTGGTGATATGAGTGCTGTGTGTGTTCCAGACCAGGAGCTGCAGGTTCTGAGGGGGGAGAACCGGAGGAACATGGTGCTGTCGGTCGCCCTGCTGGCTGTGAGCGCTCTCTTCTATTACGTCTTCATCTACAGCGAGGACCAGTCATGATGCGACGTCAGTAACGTGGATCAGGGACACTGCAGTGGACCCTTTTGAAATGCCTACATGTACGCCATTCCACCACCAGGGGGCGCCTCTGGTAAACACTTGCACTGTTTTACAGCTGCAGCCATGTACCAGCTCAGCCCAACATTGCCAAAGCGAAGGAGACCTGAATAAACTATGCATGTTTTCACGAGAACAGGGGTGTCAACATGATCTCCCACACCAAGAGTTTTATTCCAAGGCCTGGCACAATAATAAAAAAGGGAATATATTACTTTAGAGATGTGTTGAGATTATTGATAATATTTAAACTACTTTATACCACTGACACAATAACAACATAGTAGGATCATACAATACCTACAATACAATTTATTCTCGTATAGCACTAAATCACAACAGCAGTCACCTCGGAGGACAAAAAAAATCTAGAACACATATGCATTGGTCCATCTGGATAGACCAATGTCCATAGATGTTGAAGAATGTTAGTGTCTTGGATCATCTGTAAATGTTATGATTATCAAAGAAAGCCTTGAGTTGAATATTGAGCCATGGTTCCAGCTCCGTGAATCGAACAATTATTTGATATATGTCATGTTACTGAATTCTGTTGCGGTAAAATATAGTTATTAAATGCCAGCCCGAATAATAGTTTGGACACCCCTGGTCTCAGACTTCATCTCATAAAGTGCTGCTTTTTAAAAGATTTTCAAAGTAACACAAAAAACTATCATCAAGGTGTGTTAATATTTATTGTGTCGTTGTTTCATTTGGGAGTTATACTTTTTTAAGTTATGTATTTGTAAATTTCACCCTTAAGAGTTTTTTTGTGGTCAAATATTCCTTAAAAATGGGAATTGTCAGTGTGAGATGGCTTCAGGCCTTTAACATGCCTTGTTTTTACCATTCAAACAATGCTGCAACCGATTTAGCATGTTGTCACTTTGCAATAGTTACTACTGTAAATTGTATTCAGTAATTGGGGTCGAGAGTTTTTATCATGTACATTGTGAGATTCCCCACAATATTCAATCATGTTTAAAGTTTTACCACTAAATATTGGTTTCTTCTTTTTGCATTTTACAATTATAGCATTTCTATTGGAGGTTTTGTTTTGCTTGAGTTTGTATGTATGATTAGACAGCTTAAAATGTACCTCATACCACATGAATGTATTTTTAATACACAGTTCATTGGAAACGTATTGATGCACTTTGAACGCTTGCACATTTTGTCATTTTACAGCCACAAAGATATATTTTTATTGAAAGACCACAAAAAGGTAACAAAGAAAAAAATTAAAAAATATACATGATTTTACATAAAAAGCCCTCATTTTATACGTATGTTGCTCAAAACTAACACTGCTCCTCTCTCTCAGTGCACCTTCCCCTGTTTGAAATATGGGGGGGGTAGCATCATGCTGTTGGGCTGTGTTTCTTCAGAAGGGACTGGGAAGAGTGTCCGAGCGATGAAATAAAGGACATCATTGGAAGACAAGCCGCTGGAGCTGGGGACTCCTCGTGGATGGTTGGTTTTTGATTATTATTTTTTTATTAGCTACATGTATCATTCTGCTTTTCCTCCACGGTCGGCTGATCCTTTGTTGTGGTATTTCAGTAAAATCTTTTTAAAAAACTGTCTGTGGATGTGACATGACAAAATGTGCAAGAGTTTAAAGTATGAATACTTTTAGCAAAGCACTGTATTCTCTGCTTCGCCCATATGAATGTATAGTGATGTAGTGCTCATCTAAATGCATGGACCTAATTAAATGCACTTTGATTTGCATCTGTATTCCTGTCCTTCCTAGTTTTGTGGCAAAAATTACACAAATTCTAATCAGGGGGCTATTATCTCTATCATTTCTGCCTCCTCGTCACCAGGGCGATTCTTTGTTTTGGCACCTATGCAGCCGGGCGTGTGCCATGATCCCACTCTCCTCTCTGATACAACAAATCAGCCTTATTATGTAACGGTCCCCACAGAGGATTATGGTACGAAAATGTGATCAAATAGGAAAGTTGTGGACACCGGGAGAGACCTGGAGTCCTGGAGGGTCTGAGGTCTCGGCAGGAAACATTTTAGAAAGGAACAATAAAAGGCCAAACGTCATGTTGGATTAAGAAATGCTTTTGAGAGAAGAACAAGACCTTGGGGTTTGATATTTTAGTCTACTTTCTTATTAATTTTTTGTGGTCACAATTGGAAGTTCACAAAGACTGCAATTATTTAAGTTCTTTGCAAACTATGGGTTAAAGATATGCAAACCATCACTTCAGTTTGGGAATTGTCCCTTAAGTTTATATTTTGAAGATTTGCCACAGGATCAAGGCAAGTATCGTTCATCTTGTTTCACAGAAGTATAATTTTCTATTTCCAAAGAAAACTTTTCCATCTTTTTCCTCATTTATATAATCCAAAACAAAATATGTGGGTCTGACTCATGACTATAAGAAGAACCAAAATTGTTGTTTTTGTCAATGTCCGCTTTATTTGTATAGTATACTCGCAACAAGTCACATTAGTCATTCATCATTTTCAACCCCTTCATTAGTCCATTTCTGGGTGGGGGGCAATGAGAGCTGCCACCCAATGCTCAAAGCACTGGTCCATCATTGATCTTGCTGCAGGTGTTTCAGCAGGAGCTTCGGGCAATGTGGGGTTAAGTGTCTTGCCTAAGGACACAACGACAGTAGACATTTGTGGGAAAAGTTGGAGTGGATCCCGTTATCGGCTCAAACCCACGACCTTCCAGCCCGAAGTCCAACGCTCTACCAACTGAACTACTGTTGCCCCAGCGTCACAGCCACACATTATAAAATATAAAAAAATAAGATGCAATTTACTTGAAGGAGATGTCAGGAACTTCTATGACCATTCATTATTTGCTATCACGTACAATAATACAACATTAAAAAACATCCCCTAATTAGCATAACTAAACCAGTAACTTCTCAACATTTGCTAAAGGAGAACAGTTAGACCAATGACAAGGGGCCTCAACTATTTGAATTCATTTGGACCAATCAGGAGGCTATATGGGGGTGAGCTCGGGCGGATCTAACCAGTGCGATTTTTCAAAAAGTTCCCTCTTCTCAGTTTGACTTTAAGTGTTTGTATATATTTCATTATTTTGCATTGGCTGGAAAGAAAAATACACAAACATTTTCTGAAATATGTTTTGTATGAGATAATTGCTTAATGCCTTCATAGGTACATGTTTTCAAATATATCTCAAGTTTTTGTTTTTACTTTGAAAAAAAAAAAAAACTTTTACATAACTCGCAATCGCAGCATTGGTCAGAAATTTCCCGCTTACATAATTGTGCGCAGACCTACTAGTTTCCTATATTTACATTTTGCTTCACATTATATGACGGAAATGTATGAGTTTTAATGTTACCAGCAAACTACTTCTGTTCTTGAGTAAATCAGTCATTTCAGTTTGGGAAACAGTCATACATTTAACATGGTAAAAACTTCTCCGACCCTCTGCCTCCGCCCTGCTCAACATCCATTCACAAAGAGGCCTGGTCCTGTCCATACTATTGTAACAAAAACTTCAACCTCACCAAGGCCTCTGAAACGGATTGTCACTACAAAGATACCCTATAGTAGGAGGCTTGCATTTTTTTCTGTTATAGAGGACCAAACCCCACTTAAAGGCATTTATCAATCGGTTGTTATACAGTAAGTGTGAGAGAGCCCAGTTGAGTCATCATGAATAACTATAATAATTGCAGTATACGAGTCCACGTGCGCTGCCGTGACTCAGTGAAGGGCCGCGGTTCAAATGGAAAAAAAGAGGTGTCTTGACAAAAGCTTGCAGGAATTCAATGAAACAATGGGGGAGGATTTAAATGAGCCCATGTGAGTGTTATTCTGATTGAGCAATGACTAAAAATGAAGAATGTTGCAAATGAGAAGCAGTTAAGAGGCTATAAAAGTTCGAGCTGTGAATCTGAGAGGAATGGTTATTTTTATTCCCTAATCCTGCAGGGCAACTTAACCTACTTTAAAAATTTGTGTTTTCTTTTTGTGACCACATTGGCATTAGACCTATAAAATTAACAAATGTTCACGGGTCATTGTGACCTGGATACAGCTTTTATGGGAAAGGGAGGGAGCACATAAACACTTAGTTTAATCTCTAAATTATGGTACATGCTGAAGTTGGTTTGGATTTGGAATGTTCAGATCTCCTTTGTGTCACTGTCACATCTTCATGAGATTAACTTCCCTGACCAAAGAGAGACCAGAGACAGCGCGACGACAGGACCTCTGAACCTGGCCCCCTCCATCTACACCTGCGGACTGCTCTATCCGACCCGCCTGGGAGCTGCGTCAGTCCTGCACCGGACCTGTCCACGTCCTGCGGCTGCTGCGAGGCCTTGGTCCTCGTTCCATATGTGGCAGTCGGAGTGGATTTTTAACTTTCAAATAAAACTGAGGAGTACCAACAACGCCACCCAGGGCCAGTACCTGGGAAAAGGTGAGCTAATTGAATTAAACAAGCGCACAGAGCCGTGGACATTGACGAGACGTGAACAGTGTTAGAAATGTACAAAATTATTTATTTTATTACAATGATTAAAACACTATAGGCCTATAGGAATAGATAAAAATGGTTAAACAGCATTAAATTGTACAGGTTGGACAAATTAAGCAAGCAAAATAATGCAAAAAAACAACTTACGGGAAGCAAAGGAAATTAATGGGAAAACATGCAAACAAATGACAAAAAGGCAAAACAAGCCATGCAGCAAGACACGCATGCAGCAAAACATTAAACGCAAGCAAAACAAACAAACTCAAAACACACAAAATAACTCACCAAACAAAGGGGGTTAACCTAGGGAATGCACAAAAGTGTTAAAATGTCCTTCCCTGTAATGCATGGGCTATTTAATCATCACTCCTGTTGAACGCCGTTTAGTCGGAGCGCACCTGAACGCCTCGCAGAAGACGCCCCACAGCAGTGCTGGTGCGTGGGCGAATCAGAGTGCGCCTTTCACGGCACCGTGAGGACAGTGCACAGTGGTGAGTGTTGTGTATGAGGACAATGAATGGACAAAACAACGATTTCTTTTCTGGGGCGGCGGCCCCCACTTGGGACCGCACGTGGACAACCGTGCCTGCAAAAGGAGAGATACGAGTCTTAGAAGGATTGGAGGAAACTAAACTAAACTTTGTGATCTTACCGGCCAACGCAAGACTCGTGTGCACGGACAGCGGGAGGAGGGGGAGAGCCAGTTGGATTATTGGCTGGTCCTTACTGCAGCTCGAAGTCTGAAGCAACAGTGTTTGATGGTCAGCTTTGGCACAGGGCCAACCGATAAAGGATGGACAATGAGCAACTTACCGAGGAGGAGGACATTCACACACGCACAACCCAGACTGTGGCGCCCAAGCCCACAAGCGTGCTCCACAGAGGAGGCAGCCGGTCACCAAACGCCGTGACCACCGCACCCAAACAAAGACATATGCGTGCGCGCTGCGCGTTCCCGTGTCTTTATGGGCACTGCTCGGTGACGCCCACCAATCAGCTCAGGTTAGGGTTAGGTAAGGTGTACACCGACATGCCACATTCTACCCCCCCTTAATTTGTCGCCGCCCCGACGACAACTAAAGACCAAAAACTCACAACGAACACTAGACCAAGACAGCAAGTGTGATATCCAGTCAGTCCCCGAGAGTGCGAGGGAGACGATAAGGGTTAGGATGACGTCCAGCAGTTGTCCTAGTGGTACGACGTAAGCCCTGTTCACTAGTGCTGGGTTCGGGCACTGCAGCAGCTGGGTCTCCATGAGCCTCCACTGCTACATCCCCTACTGGAACAGGCGCGGGTCCGCTGGAAGGACCATCACGGGGTGGCAAGTTGGATGTTTGAGGAACCAAATCTTCGCGTCTGGTGCACAGACGCCAAGAACCACTAGGAGAAGAGCTGCTACTGGGAGTTTCAGGGGGAGAAAACTCTGGCATAGAGGCCTCCGGTGGGGGACAGGATTGTATATGAGGTTTAAGCATGTCCCTGTGCACAGTGCGCGAGGCTAGTAGATTGGTGACCGGGGCCACAGTGTAGGTAGGGCCATTTCCACCAGGTGCCTTCAGCACCTGAAAGAGATTTTGATGCCACAGGTCCTGGATCTTATGACGCCCTCGTGCACTATGGTCTCGAAGGTAAACCAAAGAACCAACTTCCAGAGGTGCCTCCCTAACATGAACATCGTGCCTTTCTTTCCTCTTCTTCGCATTCAGAGCTAATCGCCTCTGCGCGCTTGCAAAAGCAACCTTGAGCCTGGAACAGTGTTCCACCAACCAGTCCTGGACTGTGCCCACAACGGGATCCTGAATTTGACCCAGAAGAAAGTCAATTGGGAGTTTAGGCTCTTGGCCAAACATCAACAAGTATGGTGACTCCCCGGTGCTCTGGTGAGGTGTGGTGTTGTAAGAGTACAACACCTGTGGGAGACAGGAGGCCCAGTCCTGTTTACGGGAGAATGGGAGCAAATTATGAAGCGTGCGGTTGAATCGTTCACATTGACCATTACCAGCCGGGTGGTAAGGTGTGGTCCGAGACTTCTCGACACCATAGATATGGCAAATTTGATGGATCAACGCACTTTCAAAGCTTCGGCCTTGGTCTGAGTGTATGCGGGAGGGTACACCAAACTTAAAGAACCATTCATTGGTTAGAACCTTAGCAACAGTGGGAGCTCGTTGGTCACGTGTGGGGAATGCCAATGTATACTTTGTGAAAACATCGGTCATTATCAAAACATTTTCCACCCCGTCACGAGTTGGCTCAAGGACAGTGAAATCGATGGCCAGAATTTCGTTGGGTTTTGACGCAAGCAAGTGGCCCATGTAGCTATGAGGAACTGATGCGGAGTCCTTCGCTGCTTGACAGCGCTCACATTCTTGCACCCACTGCTTGATGTCAGAGGTCATCCTGGGCCAGTAGCACCTTTGGCGCACTAGTTCAGTTGTTCTTTCGATGCCCTGATGGCCATGTGCCTCATGGAGCTCCTGGAGGACCTGCTGTTTTAAGGTAGCAGGCAAAAGGATCTGAAAAATCTCCTCACCCCCATCGGGCCGCCAGGAGCGACGATACAGCACCCCAGCCTGTTCGGTCAGCCTGTCCCATTGCTGGAGTAAAGCCAGCATAGGCTTGGAGAGGCGATGCCGTTGTTGAGCGGTCGGTGGCTTCTTCTGTCGCCAAAAGACCAAGAACTCCGACAGAAGTGGATCTGTCCTCTGCAGGGCACCAATGTCCGTTAAGGAGCGACCAGGGAGGGCAGAAATCAAGGCCTGTGACGCAACAGGAGGCTGGCCTTCCTGCTGAAGGAGGAGAGGAATTGAGCTTCCAGATAACACACTGTCCACCAAGTCTGCAGAAGTCACATACTGCCTGGATAAAGCGTCTGCATTTCCGTTACTGCGACCAGAGCGGTATTTAATCTCAAAGTCAAAGGCAGCCAGTTGAGCAGCCCATCTGTGCTCCAAGGCTCCAAGCTTTGCAGACTGCAGGTAGCTTAACGGGTTGTTATCCGTATATACCACGCATTTGTGGCCAAGCAGGTACTCCCGAAATTTTTCGGTCATGGCCCACTTGAGTGCAAGCAGCTCCAGCTTCATGGAGCTGTAGTTTGTCATATTGCGCTCAGTGGGCCTCAAACCCCTGCTTGCGAATGCCACAGGTTGAATGCCGGATTCAGTCTCCTGGGAGAGCACGGCTCCAAGTCCACTGTAACTGGCATCCGTCTCCAAGATAAAGGGCCGTGAAAAATCGGCATATGCCAGCACCGGAGCAGAAACTAGTTTGGTCTTCAAACCTTCAAAGCTCTCCTCACATTGCAAAGACCATAGGGAACTTAGGGACTGCCCGCATCCCTTCCTGGTCTTGGTACCCGCAAGCGCTGCCACCAGTTTGTGCAGCGGTGCAGCCAATCGGGCAAACCCCTCCACAAAACGCCGGTAATAACTGGCAAAACCCAAAAAGGAGCGTAGCTATGACAGGTGAGCAGGACGTTTCCAATGGGCCACAGCATCAATTTTCGACGGATCGGTAGAGACACCCTCACTGGAGATGATGTGGCCAAGATAGCCCACCTCCTGTTTAAAGAAAGCACACTTCTCCAGTTTTGCCTTCAAGCCCTCCTTTTGAAGACGAGCCAAAACAAGTTCCAGTCGCTCCAGATGCTGGGAGACTGATGAAGAAAAGACAACAATGTCATCAAGGTACAGCAACAGCGACTCGCATTGCTTGTCCCCGAACATCCTCTGCATGAGGCGTTGAAAGGTCCCCGGAGCATTGCACAGACCGAAGGGCATTCTGTTCCACTCGAAGAGGCCAAATGGAGTACAGAATGCAGTCTTTGGTCTGTCCTGCTCCGCTACCGGGACCTGATTATACCCGCTGGCCAAATCAAGGGTAGAAAACCAGCGTGCCCCCGACAGCGCATCCAAGCTCTCCTCAATGCGTGGCAAGGGAAAGGCATCCTTCCTGGTCTTACCGTTAAGGAGACGGTAGTCCACACAAAGGCGCAGACTACCATCTTTCTTTCGGACCAGGACGATGGGTGATGCGTACGGACTATTACTTTCCCTTATTACCTGCGCATTGAGGAGATTGTTTATATGATTGATTGTTTATATACAGCTTCATACTCGGATGGTGGAATACGTCGGTAACGCTGCCGGATGGGGATTTCGTCTAGCAGGGGTATTTCGTGGGCAATCAAGTTGGTGCATCCCAGATCACCCTCATGTGCCGCAAACACATTGCTGTATCTTTGCAGCAGAGCCCTCACCTCTACCTGTTCTTCCGGACTCAAGGCGGACAAGTCTGCAATCTCAACCTTACCCTGCATAAGATCGTCTGTCACTTGGGGGGGTGTCGTGGCTGAGATGGCATTAACTTCCACAACTCCTGATGGCAAACTCACCACATCAGCCCAGCTCAAGGCACCTAAACTGGTGCGAGGATAGAGGAGTGCATCTGACGTCCCCACGTTGACAACGGGGATGTAAACTGTGCCCTTGTCGACATGCACAAGGCAGGGGGACGCCAGTAGACCAGCAGGTAGGCCAGACTGAGGAGGCTCAAATAGGACAGACTGACCAGCAAACTGCTCGGGGCAGGTGCTTGGGACCAACTTCATAGTGCCCCCTGATATCCGAACAGCTCGCGGACCTCGCACATTAACAGCCCCGATCAATGTTTCGGTGGAGTGAGCAGCTGCATAGTGGCATCTTTGCAAAGCCTCTACAACTGTCCCTGGAGCCTGGGCCACGGCGGGAGAATCGAACAGAGAGGACCCATGGGAACCAAAGAGCTCCTTGTAACAACGATGAATAACGTTCATCCCCAAAATACCGGGAACAGAACAACCAGTGCCAGGGGGATCGCGCACCACCAAGATGCCACAGCGGGGGACATTCTTACCACAAAGGGCCACATCTAGCTCCAAGTAAGCTATATATGGAATCTCAAGCCCATTACCAGCACGCAGTTGTAACCAATGGCAGGAGTGTAGACGATCAGGCCCCCAGGGTTCGAAATGCTCCCTAAAGAAACGTTCAGTTATTGTGGACACCATAGAACCTGTGTCCACCAAGCTAACAACCTGAACCCCTCCCATATCTACAGTGACTGTTGGGCATGACGCCATTAATTCTGTGTATCCATTTACCTGCGAGCCGGTAGAGGCCCCTTCTGAACGTTGGCTCCGCAGTTCAGAGGGCTTCAGTTTTCCGAATGGTTGGCATTTGAAGATCTGATGGCTGAAGTGGCCCGTGAGGGGCGGTAAACTCTCCCACCATCACATTCACTGGCATAGTGACCAGGCTGTTCGCACCTACGGCAGATAATGGCAGTTCGTGGAGGTGTATTTTGCCGAGGAGCTTTCAAAGAGGCGACTGTTTGAGTCAACTGGTTAAGTTGATCTTGCTGACGTTTAAGCAGTTCCATCACCTCATTTAGCCCCGGGTTTGGAGTAGGTGAGGCCTGAGTGGGGCGTGTGGAACCCCTGACCTCAAACTGGAGGCCACGAACCGAAGGAAGAGAGAAGCTACGCTCTCTAAAAGGGGCTGGGAGTCCCTCCCGCTCCCACCTGAGGGCCTCTGCCCTTACTTTGAGTAAAGTGGCTGTCGGATTGTCCCGAATGAACCGTTTCAAGTCTCTGCGTAGAGCGCTATCAAATACATGTTCAGTGAATTGGTCGCGAAGGAGCACATTGGAGTTGGGCACTCTGTCTGGGGCACGCTGCTTTACCTGGTCCATTAAAGCCATTAGAGCCAGTGAGAACTCTTGTAAAGTCTCGCCTTCCTCCTGACGCCTGGAGAAAAATGCTTGCTGCAGGTTCACATATGGCTGCACACAACCATAGAGCTCCTGAAGTATCTCTGTAACTCTCTTTGGGTTTTCCCGCTCTTCTGCTGGACGAAATTTTATTTCAACTTTAGCTTCACCCTCCAGGTGATCAAAGAGGAAGAATGCCTGCTCAACAGTAGAAAGGTGCCCAGCTCGCATGCATGCCTGTGCTTCCTCAAGCCATTCACTCAAAGACAGGCCAGACTTACCATTAAACAAGGGGCATTTACGGTCACGTGCCATCACAAACACACGCTCTGTGGAGGGGGTACGAGAGCCCAGTGACCGGGCCTGGTCGGAGGAGACGTTGGGAGCGTGGAAAGCCCCAGCAGGGCCGGCCTGAGGCGCAGCCCTCTCCTGGCGAAGACGCTCATTGTCCGCCTCTAGCTGAGCCAGTTGCTCTCTGAGCTGCTGCATCTCCTCCTCCATTCTGACCAAGAGCACCTGTAATGCGACCTTTGGGTAAGCTGTAAACAAAAGTAATTTCACTGACCTGAACTTTTGCGCTCCTGAAAGGGGAAACCGTTGCTTTGTCCAGACAAATGTAACTCAAAAAAAATATGTAAATGTATGAGTGAAGCAATAAACACATTTATAACTTCAACAAACAAGTTTAAACACTGTTCACATCTCAGTTTTAAATGTCCAATCCTGCCAACAGCAACGCCAAGTGTGGCAGTCGGAGTGGATTTTTAACTTTCAAATAAAACTGAGGAGTACCAACAACGCCACCCAGGGCCAGTACCTGGGAAAAGGTGAGCTAATTGAATTAAACAAGCGCACAGGGCCGTGGACATTGACGAGACGTGAACAGTGTTAGAAATGTACAAAATTATTTATTTTATTACAATGATTAAAACACTATAGGCCTATAGGAATAGATAAAAATGGTTAAACAGCATTAAATTGTACAGGTTGGACAAATTAAGCAAGCAAAATAATGAAAAAAAACAACTTACGGGAAGCAAAGGAAATTAATGGGAAAACATGCAAACAAATGACAAAAAGGCAAAACAAGCCATGCAGCAAGACACGCATGCAGCAAAACATTAAACGCAAGCAAAACAAACAAACTCAAAACACACAAAATAACTCACCAAACAAAGGGGGTTAACCTAGGGAATGCACAAAAGTGTTAAAATGTCCTTCCCTGTAATGCATGGGCTATTTAATCATCACTCCTGTTGAACGCCGTTTAGTCGGAGCGCACCTGAACGCCTCGCAGAAGACGCCCCACAGCAGTGCTGGTGCGTGGGCGAATCAGAGTGCGCCTTTCACGGCACCGTGAGGACAGTGCACAGTGGTGAGTGTTGTGTATGAGGACAATGAATGGACAAAACGATTTCTTTTCTGGGGCGGCGGCCCCCACTTGGGACCGCACGTGGACAACCGTGCCTGCAAAAGGAGAGACACGAGTCTTAGAAGGATTGGAGGAAACTAAACTAAACTTTGTGATCTTACCGGCCAACGCAAGACTCGTGCGCACGGACAGCGGGAGGAGGGGGAGAGCCAGGTGGATTATTGGCTGGTCCTTACTGCAGCTCGAAGTCTGAAGCAACAGTGTTTGATGGTCAGCTTTGGCACAGGGCCAACCGATAAAGGATGGACAATGAGCAACTTACCGAGGAGGAGGACATTCACACACGCACAACCCAGACTGTGGCGCCCAAGCCCACAAGCGTGCTCCACAGAGGAGGCAGCCGGTCACCAAACGCCGTGACCACCGCACCCAAACAAAGACATATGCGTGCGCGCTGCGCGTTCCCGTGTCTTTATGGGCACTGCTCGGTGACGCCCACCAATCAGCTCAGGTTAGGGTTAGGTAAGGTGTACACCGACATGCCACACATAGCTTAGGTTCTGGACCTATAGCCGTCAGTCCGTGATGAGGGGATCCCTCTCTCAAAATGTGGATCTCCCTGAAGTTTCTCACTTTTCTCCCACGGGGTTTTACAGTTTTTCCTTGCCGATGCAGGTGGTCTGTTTGACTTTAACATTCTACAACATCAACCTTCATGGACATTGGTCTCTTCATATGGACCAATACATATGTGTATTTTTTTGTTGATTCTGAGACTGTTGATTCTCTGATCTGTGTTGGTGATTTCAATGGTTTTGTTAAGTCCTCTGAGATGACTGCTGTTGTGATTTAGGGCTATACAAGAATAAATTGAATTGTAATGTATTGTATTGTAATTGTAATTGTATAGTAATAGCGAGACCAAAGAGAAATCAGAGGGAGGGATCAGAGAGAGAGAACAAGGAGAGAGAGATCAGAGAGAGAGACCAGAGAGAGAGAGACCAGAGAGCCTCTCTGGCAAAAGGACAAAAGAAGATATTACGTAAGGCAGTTTCCTTAACAACAGTTTTTCACAGAGACAAGTGAGACACAGCTACATTTCTTGAAGTCAGATCCCTAAAACACATTGTTACAGATTATCCTCATAAACTTCTTGGCCTGTTCCTGGTTTTCTCTGCTCACTTACATCATTTACAACGCAGCATATGCCGCTTGTACTAGTTCGCTCTCTCTCAGACATGTGCCAACATTTACTACACCAGTGTCATTAGTATTATTAATGAACTTCAGTGTACTTTGGTAATTGCTTACCGTGGTGCGCAGGTCGACCAGCATCACCGATTACATAATGCACAATGTTCCGGAAGGTCTGTTCACTCAAATGAACGTGTAAACATGACAATAGTGCCACAAACAACCAGTGTATGTTTTAGTTCTAAACTTTGGAGTATTTGTATTTGTAAATATAGGTTTCTGCATTTGACCCATCCTTCCAATGCCACTTGAGAGACCAGTCCAAACTCAATCGCAGCCCTCAGTGTCATTTTATGTGTCCCTTTGCCTTGCTAATCCAGGGTAGTCTTTGAGATCATAAACACAAGTTCACTGTATCATCCATCCAACTTCAGCTCAGCCAATATAGATCTTGTTATAAAGCCCAGTATGTCTGAAATTCAGTCGTTTACTTTATTTGCACATACTGTACTCTTCCGTTAATGATGCTAATGTAGATGGTGAGATGATTAACATTTGTCATTCAGCCAACTTCAGCTCTGTTTTAGATCATCAGGAAGCTTAGACCAGTGCTAGTCTAGACAGTTTTTCAGTCCATGGCGTTGGCCCCTGGTCTGGTGAACTAAAGTGTCCCTCTTACTAAAAAGTTTGGACACCCTTGCTTTAGAGTATTACCTTTATATATTTCTTCTAAGGGTGCAAGTCTGGTTCACTTGGGGGAAAAAGGCCTCACTGTTTCAAAAGATGTATGTATTAATTTATTTCGAGCAAACACAGGAGCAACACATGTTATTAGTATATACAGTACACAAAATCAAAAAAAGATTTTGCCTGAAAGGAAGTGGGAAGAAGAGAACTTATGGATCTGAACAGACTCAAGTTACACGTTCACCTATTTGGCGGTTTTACTGTCCACTTTAAGTGAACCAGACTGACCTGAGTCCTGGATCTACAGACTCAGTCCTGGATCTACAGCTTCAGTCCTGGATCTACAGCCTCAGTGCTGGATCTATACAGCCTCAGTCCTGGATCTACATTGTTTTGTTCAGCACTTTGAGTTGCCTTGTATATGAACTGTGTTTTACAAATAGACTTGCCTAGCCTTGCTCTTATCGGAACTAAAGAACTACATTGAACTAAACTAAATAATGACTACTGTATGTAAACTCATTGTGCAGGGCTGCAGTTGTGCCTGGGCTCTCATTGGCCGACCCGCTGTAGGTGTGCATTGTGAAGGAGAGCTGTGACGAGTGTCTGTGAGTCTCGTGGACAAACAAGTGTTCAGCCGGTGACCACATGTAACATCTGCCAGAGCGCTGAAAAATAAAAGAGAACAAACAGAGTGTGGTCCATTAGTGACGTGCTCTGCAGCTCACAAACAGCCTCATACATGTGTGTGGATCATGCTTTACACAAGAGCCCTGTAGGAGAGGAGGGACTCTGTTAGAGAGAGAGTCGAGGCAGAAGTTCTCACGGTGAAGAAAAGGTTAAGTTGAATACATTTGAAGTCACAAGCAGAGGAAACTCATAGGATTAATAATAATGAATTAGAAAATCAAACTTTCATTCTTTAGACAGGACCTGAGGGAGCAGATTCCTGTCTCAGTATGGGCCTCCCCAAAGTTGATCACCTTTTTACCATTGGGCTTCCTTTCCCTTTCTTGTGTTGCAGAAATTACTTTAAAATAAAACAAATAAAGAAGTAGTGGAGGCTATATATATTTGTTTTTTGTTTTTTTTTGCCGCAAATGGTGGGTGTTACACAAACAATACTGAGCTAGAGGAGTTGGAGCAACACTTTCTCCATCAACTCTTCCCTTTTGGGCTCCATCGCTCTATATGGGGTTAGCAGTGGGTCGGCAATAGATCATATAAGGAATTGGGACGAAACCGGAAGTAACAATCCTACTTTTGAATCAGTTTGAGTGACTGGTTAAGTTTTAGGTGTCTGAGTAAGATGGTTAAGGTTAGGGGTAAGGGTGGGTTGGGGTTATTTTTTGGGAATGGCTGGTTAAGTTTAGGCATGAGTAGGTAGTTTGATATATTTACTTCCGCTTCCGTCCCGCTTCCGTTAATGATCTAGTGCTGACCGTTAGCAGTGTCCATCTATATACAGTCTATGGTTCTGAGCAACAACATCTCCATGGCAACAAGTGGTTAGTCCTAAACAGTTTTTCGATTTGGTCAGAAAAGTTGCACAGAGCAGCTTTGAGTAATTGATAAAAACATGTCTGAGCCGCCCCCCACCCGCACGCCCTCCATTGATGTCTGGAACCCCCCCCCCCTCCCCCACGGTCTCCTCTCAGGTCCACACCTGCACAAACACAGACTGATAAACTGCTGCCAGCTTCATTTGCATCATTACAGCAGCGACGTTTGCAGACGGCTTTATCTTATCGCCAAACTCACGCTCGGCTCCACGTGCCTGCCACGGCGAAAAAACATCAGCCATCCTCCTGCCGTCGCCTCGAACGTAGCTCCGATCCAAATGGCTTTCATACGGTCATTACTGCACTCCAATTATATTATTACTACAATTATACTTGTACCATGTGGATACTATTCATGGTCATATTCACTATTCATAACTACTTTTCAAAATATTTTAAAAAGCTGATTTTCAACTTGATATGACAATCAAGTTTATATGATTATAGAATAAGTAAGTACTGTTGTATTAAGTCATAAAGGTTGAATTAAGACACAAAAGATGAATATTCTCACCTGGAGAACTGGCAATATCCGGCAATAACATGTCAAATTATACTAATATTCACTTCAAAGTAACTATATTATATGAGCTCCTGAATCCATGTTTGCCTCTTTCACATAGCACTTTAGAAAAACCCTGGAGCCTGAACGATTAAGATAAATGTTTTCAGAATAGAGTTGTTCTTATGCTGAAACTAGAATAACATATGTAAATGTATGTACAGTATGTGTATGTATATGTATGTTACCTGTGTGATTTTGTATTGTGTTTTAAATGGTGATTCTTGTGTTTGTTTGTGCCTTGTGTGATGTTGTGAAGCGCTTTGTGTTGCCTTGTGTATGAAAGGCAGTCTACAAAAAAAAGATTGATGGATTGGTGTATAATTTGACTTGAGTACAACTTGAGAAGTACCTTTCTGGCTCAAATATGAAGTGGCATCTTTAATTCCAAAACATGAAACTATGTTGAGTCAAGCTTTTATCCAACATTCATGCAATTTGTTTTTTTTTTTGTTTGTTACTTCTTATTAAGGCCATGTGCTGATATATTAAAGACATACAGCACATGCAGTTTTCACACTGGTGACTCACACAACGCCTCGTGCGAATTTGAACAATTTTCAACACTCAGGGCTTTCTCTCTGAGCCATTAGTCTCTTCAAACACGTCCACAGAGAGAAGGAGAGGTGGGAAAGAACACATGCACTCCACTTAAGGCTCAGGTGTATGTTTTTATTTCTGTTGTAGAAAAATTACAGCAAAGACGACAGTTTTGAACATTACATTGGCTTTACAATACTGCTTTGGCATTTCCAAAAAAAAACAAAAAAAACAACCAATAAATAAAGTGCAAAAACAAACAAAAACTTCCATTCCAGTTCGAAAATACATTCACAGGTTTGTTTTTTCACAGAGTTTTGTTGTTCACAATCTCGCTGACATAAAGTGCTGATGCAAAGATACGGTCGGAGCATCTTCTGTTCGGTCTCGAGCAGAGGTGGGTGCAGTTCTAAATAGTTCATTTGTAAAAAAAGAGATAAGTGCAGTTTGAAAAATATTTGAGAGGTTCCAAATTTGCCTTTTACCAAGTAGATTCTAGAAAAGTATTTTAGTGCCTTACAGAGAAAGTTTCACCCCTTACTGAGAAAATTCTATCAAATGCACAACCAAAAACCAAATATGTTCAACAACTTTTTGACAAATTTTCAAAAAGGAAAAATATCTGTTTTTGCTAATTCCTATTTTCAGGCACCATACTGAGAATAGTGTATGTCTGTAGAGGCAAAAACCTGAGCAGACCATTTTGTAGTCAGCTGTACTTTCACTATCTTTCCATCATTTAAATGTTTTAAATCTGTGCAATATATATATATATATATATTTTTTCTGCCTGGTTACACTCATTTTTAACATGCAAACTGCTACTCCCATCAAAACAAGTACTCCGCCTTAGTCTGGAGTAATACAGCATTTTTAAAGTAACAACAGCTTTCACTTCAGTTGAAAATGTCGCAGCTACTTCCCACCTCTGCTTTTGATACCACATTTTTCCAAGTGAGTTTCAGACTTCACTGGGCGACCTGGAACGATACACTCCGTTGCTATGAAAGCAGCCACAGAGAAGCATGTAGAGCGAGCGTTGTATCTCAGCATTTCTGTAGGCGTATATAATTGGATTGATCATTGAGTTGTAAGTAGCAGGCAGCAGTGTAGCATAGGTGTAAATGGATGGGTAGTGCCTTTCCCCGACCAGACAGTAAATGGCAAAAGGAAGCCAGCTGGCCCCGAATGTCCCTAGTATAATCGCCAGCGTGGAGACTCCCTTCTTAGTGGCGACATAGTGAGAAGTGGCAAAAAAGTGCTGCTGGAGAGCGATTTGATGCGCATGGTGGCACACAATCTTGCAGATCTTGAAGTAAAGGCTAAGCATGAGGATAAAAATGACAAAGAATGACACTGCCAAGAGTGTGAGGTTGCTCCTAGTCAGCGGATAGACGATGCTGCAAGTCGATGTGTCTTTTATGCAGTTCCAGCCCAAGACGGGAAGCAAACCCAAAAACAGAGACACTCCCCAAGTCCCCACCAGCATGATATGGGCATACTGCAAGGTCTTTTCTGAGAAGTACGTCAGGGCGTTGTATAGGGAGAAATAGCGGTCCACTGTTATGGCCAAAAGGCTGCTAATAGATGCAGTAAATGAGGCTACGAGGAACCCAACAGTTATTAGATTGATAGTTTCAGATGAGATGACATACTGAAAGACAAAGTTCAAAATTAATCCCATACCGGCGAGCAGATCGGCCGTGGCCAGGCTCCCGATGAGAACAAACATGGGTGTCCTCAAAGTGGGGGTGTAAAAGATGATGGCTACGACGATGGCGTTTTCACATGCGATCACTGTGCCGGACATACACAGCATGATGTCCCAGGGGTTGATGGGGAAATCCAGGGGAGCGGTGGAGAACTCCATGCTTCTGTTCTGGAGAGAAAAGTCCATGTCCGACCAGGGCAAACCCTCTCCGGACCCCTGGGATGCAAAGGAGTCGTTGGCGAGTAGCGATTCGTTCATCCTGTCTCACCTGCGAAAACAAAGTAGATGTTTTTATCAAGTAAATGCTTGGATTTAGAGCGTGGATTCTAAATACACAAACAAGACAATAAGTAACCTAAAAGAATAGTGGTAGTAGTTTATTTTCTTTGGTCATTATGAACTTTTAGATCTTAGGTCACACATTTTCAAATATCTAACACATTTTACAATAAGAAAAAGCACAAACTTGTAGATTAAGACATGCAGTGCTAAATAATGCCTGACCGAATAGAGAATGTGCAATTTGAAAAAAAAAGTATTGAAAGAACAACCAATTAAGTGGCACCCACATGTAATACATTTTCTCGCAAACAATATTCAAAGCTCCATTGGAATATGTATAAAACAAATAATATAACTAAGCCACTTATGATTGCTGCACATTAAGAAGTTATTAATTTATTCAACGCGTTTTGACTTCAGCGTCTCCATCAGGGAAGTGCTGCAGCTGTTACTCTCAGTATCTTCTTTTCGGTGATAAATGTAATAAAATTGTCATGTATTCACGTAGATCTATCGTTGAGTAACTAATATTGTATGTAGCGCGAAACTGAAGCGCGGTGGACCGGGTGCTGTCCATGGTGCTGAACTAACGTCTCAGCCGTTCTCCCCAACTCACCTCCACACAGACTCTTCCAAACACAACCAGTTTCTTTTCTCCTGCAGCGGCACTTGCTTCAGCTCGAGTCCGTGTCCTGGTGCGTCCTACCCGGAGCAGAGCGCATGGGTTACCGCGCTTTGGAGCATGGAGCATAGGAGCGCACCGGAGGAGGAGGCAGAGACCAAATGATAGGGACAGCGCACAGGACAAAAACAAGGCGTGCAGAAACGTCAACGCGCACGGAGAGAGAGAGCGCGCACGCCTGTGAGATTGAGGTTTAGTTTGTGTATGAAATAGAATAATGTAAAGTGATCTGTAGCCATGCAATCAATCATGTATCAGTTTATAACACACTCTCCGGGATTTATTACAACACCAATGGGAGGAAGCAACCAGTGAAAGAAAGAAAACATCATTAAAATATCTTAGACTATATGGCAAATGTATACAGCTGTTATCCAGGCAAATGACAAATATTGCAGGTGTAATTAAAGAGTCCAGGTTAAGTTTGGAAACTATTAGTGACGTTGTTTGTGCAGAACGCGCAGTAATGTCACAATAGCCGTGAGAACAGGCCGTTTCCGAGCACCGTGTTCTGCATGACTACTACAAGTTACTGACTGTCACTGTTACAAATACATCTTTACAATGGCGGTCTGACTCGGAGGGGGCTGGACGTGCTGCTACAAATTACAATTTTTTTGTGGTGCCATATTTGATCACTGAGCAGGATGATAATAATAATAATAATAATAATAATAATAATAATAATAATAATAATAATAATAATAAAACTAGTATGTGCCATCACCAATCATTCACGCACACACCAGACTCATTCTTGGCAATGTGGTGGAAGTGTCTTGCCCAAAGACACTACAGTAGTGTATGACTTTTCAACAACTCAACAACAGCTTCCCCACTGTGGTACCTCAGAGGTCTCCCATCACAGTGTTGACCAGACCCAGTCCTAGCTGCAGAGGTCTGACAGGATATTTCTTTCACTTGCAAATTGCTTGAAGGTCTACACAGTCAGATATGTGGTGATTTTGTCCATAATCATAAGATTATGAAGGAAACATAACAATATCAACATTTTTCCTCCACTCATTGTTCATGGTTTAAATTAAACCTTCAAACACAACTGTAAGTTAGATTTCTCTACATCCCTTTGTGACACAATTGTAATATTAGTATTGTCTTCTTGTGGAAATAAATACTGAAGTCAAATAGGAAGAAGATCTTAGTCCAGCTCTGCGGAGAGGCAAGCATGCCCATTGTGTACAAATTATTCAACGAAGCTTTATCGACAAAAGCACCTGTTATTGAATGAAAGATATTCTCGGCAAAGAGTCGAGCAGGTACAGACCCTCCACCAGAGTCACTCCTTAATGTTGGCTTGTTATTGGCTGAAACTGAGAAGTGCATTCATTCATGAGGAGAAGGGGTCACATGAAGAGCCTGGTGACCACCACCTATTGTCAGTGTGCCCAAAACCAAAACATCCCGAACCATGAGTTGACTGATTGTGCTTTAATACTAACCAATTAGATTTTATTTTCAAAACAGAAACTCAATACAGTCAGTTCCCCACTTTCCACCTTCCTATTTGTACGCACTTCGCAGAAGCCTGGCCAAAAATAGAGTAAATGCCTTTATTCATCTACACACAACATGTGCACCTGAGAGGCCTCTGACTAACCTGCTCCAGGAAGAAAAACATGCAACAAAAACAACTTCAAAATAGCTGCTTTTTATATTAATTGGGAACTCCTTAAAATCACAAGTGACCAATATTTAATACTTCCAAAAAGTAAATGAAAGAAATGGAAGGGACACAAACAGAATTGAAATCTTAAACTTGACCCATTTTATCCCAGGTTATAAAAAAAAACACATCTTTCGCGACTGAACAGAAAGTAATTTTTGTGCACAAAAACATAAAGTTGACATAATATCTGTGTCTGACCTACTGAATAACACACTGCAGATGTCACCATGACCTTCATGTGCGTCTGATGCCGACATGTTGAACGCTCATCATTGAATATGATAATCACAGTGTTCTGTAGATCACTGGCTCATGGAAACATTGGAATAAGCCACAGTACCAATGTTTTTCTTTTTGTTATTGATGCCAATGTCGTAACCATATAAAACGATACTCAGTCTTTTGGACAAAAGATGCTTGGATTGTTGCTAGCAGACACAAACAGTTTACCGTTATGGAACTTCCCATTTAATATTGATTATTGCACATTTCAAAAAGTGGCTTTTTGATCTATTTTAGCTCCATAAAAGTTTCACCTCATACTGAGAAATTTCTTTCACATCAAAACACTTGACATTAGGAGCCTGAGGAATACAACTTTATGACACATTTTAAAAGTGAGAAATCTGTTTTTGCAAATTCCTACAAATAGGTCTATTCTTATAATAGCTAAACTTTAGCCAGGCTACTATTTATACGTATTTCTTCTTAAATTATAAAGAATGCTGCCCGCTTACATCCATTTTTTATACCCAACTACTACTTCCACTATGAATCGTTATCCAATACATAGTTATAGCAATTTTAAGTAACACAACTTTGACGCCATTTAAAATGAATTATTTTACAATTCAAAAAGGGCTACATACATGTTTACCTGACGACAGAAACAGAACACTTCACATGGCAGCTGGCATCTACACTTTTATTTGAAGTTTGATAAGGAGATAATAGTGTTCCTGTTTTGCTCTATGTGTGAAAGAGCTCACGTGGCTCGGAGCCCACACCACGTCCCAATGCGTGCATCACACGTTTAGATGTGTGGAGTGGCAGCTGAGTTTGAGTGCCAGACAGAGAAAAGAAAAGGTAGAAACAGAAAAGATCAGAGGGAAAGTGTAAAAGTCATAATGGTGGAGGAAGAACGAGAGAGGATCTTACTTGAACCTGTGGGATCAAAACATTACGTAACCATTTAATGGAGAAAGAAACATTGAGGGATTAACGCAGGATTTTATGGATTTTACAGAATGTATGCCATTTATACATAATATTCAAATAATCCGTGAAAGTCAAATTAAAAACTTACAAAAGGCACATAAATAATAAGATTTAAAAAAAATGCACAAATATAAAAAAAAAGCAGACTATTTTACTCAAACTAGTAAGTAAAATATAATTTAAAAATGGTTAAAAATGTAGCCAAACTAAAAGCATTTGCATACAACTTAAAATAGCAAAACAGTCTCTGTTGTTTGAGTTTATGAGTGCTCTTCTTCTCCTCTCACATGTATCTGTTCTTGATGTACTCGCGGTACATCAGCATGTCCTCTCGGCACAGCGCCCTCAGCTGGCCTTGTCCCGTCAGCACATGGCGCTGGAACACGTCGCGACTGTCGGAGTCGACCTGTGGAGCCAGCACCTCAAACACACTGTCGTCTGGGAAACACGAGACCACATCCCTGCAACACAAACACAGAGAACCATGTCATGAAGACTGAACCAGATCCAATCTGGAGTTCTTTTGTTCATGATTATATACAGAACTTTACTTAGGTCACAGCTTTGCGGTGTATGCTGAGGGGGGGTCGGGACAATGTTAATAATAATAATAATAATAATGCATTGATTTTATGAACCACTTGTTCACTCAAATAAAACACGCTATACGTGGCATTACTCATTCCCTCCATACGCATTGGTGATAAGATACTAATGTAGCCACAGCTGTCCAGGGGCAGACTGACAGAAGCAACCAGTTTGGTCGGTCCCTCCGACAACCACCAATCATTTACGCACACACCAGACTCATACAAACTGGGCAATGTGGGTGAGGTTCCAAACAACAGTTTGGCACTTTACAGAAGGCCGACTGTGGCACCTGGTGTTCCCAGAGGTCTCCGATCCCAGGAATAACCAGGCCCAACAAGTGGCACCTGTTCCAGTTAAGAACTACTTTAATACATGATGGTTTCCTTTTACTTGGCGAAAGTGGCTCAGTTGGTAGAAAATTGGCCTTTGAGCTTGAATGTCGTGGGTTCGAGCCCACCATGAAACCTTCTCCACCGACTCCCACTGAGGTCTGTTGTCGTTGTGTCCTAGGGCAAGACACTTAACCCACTTTGCCTGATGCCCCTGATGAAAGATCAAGGCTATGTCATAGAGGGGCCATCCTCCTGTGGACCTACCACCTGCAGGAGGATCAGTGATGGGCTGGTGCTATGTGTACTGGGTGGCATCTCTGACCACCCTCCCGACCCAAATGGATTAAGGGGTAGATAATGGATGGATGGATGGATGGATGGTTTCCTTTACTCTGTTTTGTGGTTGTACCTGTTCAAAGAAAATAAATATGTGTGTTGCACACACAGCTTATTAAACTTTAACATTCTTAACATTTCATATTTATGTCTGGAAAACGTACCTCAACTCCCAATATGTGATGAGAGTCATGGAAAACAAACATCCATCTGTTTTTAATTTGAGAGGACTAGCTTCACAGGGGGGTCATGAACTAAAGAGTTCTCCGGAAAAGCTCTCATAACAGTCTGAGAATAGCCCTGTTGCACAACTGCAAACACACCTGCAGTCCCTCGTGGACCCATCATGGAGCCCAGGGAGGAGATGATGAAAGAAACTAGGAAAAATATCTAGTTTTTCATTTATACTGATGTATAAAATTTCAAATAATTTACATTTTTACCATATTTTTTAGTAATATGTAAAAAATTTATTTCATTATGAATGTTTTTAAATTGTAAAGTGTGTGTATCTATTTTTATTTAATGTCACGATTCTGGAGTGGTTAAAGAAGCAGACTCTATATTCAAGGCTAGGCTTAAACCAGTCCTTTTAGTTTAGCAGATGGCTTGTTAGTTAAGATTCAGAGAGAAATACAACATTAAGTCTAAAAACACAGATTGTCAGTCAAATCTGCATACGGAGACACTTTGCTGGGAGAAGTACGGTAACTTGAGTACAATCCTTTCCTCTTTCCACTTTATCATTATTATAGTCATATTTTAGTCATTATTATTAGTCTGTTCATTGCTATTCACCCGCTGTCCCATGCCTGTTTCGTGGTGTGATAATGGGACCCCCTCCATCGGCACCTGTGGACTGTCTCTCCACAGACACGGGGACTGGACCCACCTCCCTGCCTGGGAGCCGGACCAGTCCTGCACCGCACAGTCTCAATCCTGTCCGTCCATGGGAGCGGATGCCTCCTTCAATGTGGGCCTCCCTGAACTTTCTCACTTTTTCTCACTGGGTTTTCTGTGTTCCTTGCTGAAGCAGGAGGGTCTAAGGACTGAGGTGATGTTCCAGGACATTTAAGGACATTTATTCACATCGTTTTGCATTTTTTGTCCAGGGCTGTTTGGTTCTTAAATATATTTTAAATCTATTCAGTGGTTAGTCCAGCTGCCTTCAGACCCGGCAGACGTTGGGTGCTTCTCTGGAATAATAATAATAATCCACTGGTTTTATATAGCGCACGCTTTTCTGGGCACTCAAAAGGCCTATGTGGTTATTCTTTCACTCCATAAACGGTGATAAACTACTATAAACTGTAGCCACAGCTGCCCTGGAGCACACTGGCAGAAGCGAGGCAACCAGTATGTACCATTGGCCCATCGATCACCAACCATTTACACACATACACCAGACTCATTCTAGGCAATGTGGGTGACGTGTTTTGCCCAAGGACACAACAGCAGTTTGGCACTTTACAGTTGCAGCCGCTCCACTGTGGCACCTGGTGTTGCCAGAGGTCTCCCATCACAGTACTAACCAGGCTGCACAGCTTCAGAGGTCTGACCGGATCTGGCTTATGCATGCTTGGTTTGGCATGCACCTGGAATGGCCATATGTTGAATGTACCTGTGACCATCATGAGTTTGAATTGCTCCTTTTTTTGTCAAATATTACTTGATTTCTTGTTAGTGTAATATTATTGAAATATAAAACTTCAGTCTAATCCTCCTGACAGTGCAAAAGAAGCTGCTTGCACCACTAAAACTGATTACTAAAATGCGCTATGTGTGAAGTGGATTGGATTGACAGTCGTGGCTCCAACTTGAGGATAAGAATAAATAAACAGAGTGACACACTGTGCTTCCACGTGGGCCTGGCTCCGGTGCGGCATGTGCAGTGGGGCCGAGCAGAAGGACCCAGTGGTTTTAAAAGAGCAAGAAAAGCAGAGCGGAGCAAAAGAAACCGAGATCCAACAGTGCACAGTTAGAGACCTTCAGCGAGGGCACTTAGGAGCACACAAAAGCACTCGATCTTCTCAAGGAAAATGTTAAGTGCTTCTAAATTAAACCCACGTGACTAAACATATATCGTTTTTTTTCCCCCGTCTCCAGTTCACGTGACATACAGTACTCACAGAGGAAGGACGCCTGAGACTCTTGCATTCTTATTCTTCTCCACTTGATACTGGTTCTCACCGAGATAAGCAAACCTGCCAGACAGAAATGAGGAAAATAGTAGCATTTTGGTATCGTGCGTCTGTTATGACCTCATAAGACGTAGGACTGGGGAGACGAGAGATTTCTTTTTTTGTTCCCATGTGTCAGTATCGTCACCAAGACAAGGTTTTTTAGTAACACAAAAGACAAAACCAATAATATTTTTGGCATGCTCAAAAGTTCACGACGCAGTCTTTGAGAAGTTACTGTATTCTCCAGGAATGCTTAATCGTTCATGTTTATTGAAGTGAGTGATAATAATGCTTTTCAACCCAAAACAATATAGGCTCATTTGTTTGTGCTCGTAAAGAAAATCAATCATGTAGAAATGATAAACGTCTATTTTCGAATGCAAAATGAGGAAGTATTAGGTTAATGAGTTTGTGAAGGTCTCCCCAGTGGGTATGATCCAATCTGAAATTTTCCCAATGGCCATTTCTTACCACGACACAGTAATATGCAAGAGTTTACGATTCCCTCTGGCGGTTGCTTGTTGATTTTAATATTAATGCATTGATTAGTTTTGGCTTCTACGAACACATCTGGCGTTGATCCAGCATTCACTAATGAACCCTCGCTCATTATGTGGCACAAGAATATGAGGAGAATTTTTCACAGCAATTTGGATTATGCTCGAACGCAACTTCGGGCTAAAATAAAGAGGAAATAATGCTAGGGAAGATGGCACCAATAACTATTCACCAAAGTACATCCGAAACATGTTAGTGCCATACGAAACAAAACTCGGACTCTAAGGAGCACAGGAACTGACCTCCTGTCGGTACCCGGGGCCGGGACTAAACATGGGGAGGCCTTTTCAGATCCTTTAAGGTCTCCCTGAAAATGTGAGACAGGCTTATACTCTGACAATGTTCAAATCCAGGTTGAATCCAGGGAGACACAGTGGCTGAATGAATAGGGCTCTCGCTTTTCAGCAATAAGGTCCTGGCTTCGAATTGCGGCTGGAAAAGGGCCTTTCTGTGTGGAGTTTGCATGTTCTCCTCGTGTTTGCGTAGGCTTCCTCCGGGTGCTCAGATTTCTTCTACCTCTAAAAACACGCACAATAGTTCTGAATGTAAGGAGTGAGTGAATGGATGGTGTTGGTTGGGAGATTTGATTCCCCAGTGTGTTCGGCGTCTTGCTTCCGTCGTCAGTGAATGAAACTATATCTGACTCTGAACATAGTAAAACACTTTGGGTGACCTTGGTCTGTAGAAATGCGCTAAAAGAATAAACATTACCAACATCCTGAAAACAGTTCTGTTCAGCTGTGCTGGGAGAAGTATTGCATCTTCCGTCTTTTTAATATACTGTAATAATTTACAATTTTATGGCCTTGTTATTGTTTCTATCTTGTTTTATTACGCATTTTGAATTGCCTTGTGTATAAACTGCGCTATACAAATAAACTTGCCTAGATGCCTGTGATGTTTGGTGCATATAGAGGCGAGAGAAATGTGGGGGGGGGGGGGGGGGGGGGGCAGACACGGTGGGAGGGGATGTTGCGGTGATTCTTGAGGTCAGAGCGGGGATGGACACAGCAGGGGGAGTTAACAATGTTCATTTTTTTGTAAATCCTCGGCAGCAGCAGCAGAGGCCCGAGGCGGCGGCTAACTGCGGTTCGACGGGTGCATTTTCAACAAGAAGAAATACAAAAAAAAATGTTGCGTGATGAATGAGCCTGAGTGGCGAGCAAAGACAGCGACTCCACAAATGACTCTGCTTTGATTCAACGTGACAGAGGAAAGCATGTGAGCAACAGTATGCGTCAAAGCAGCAGTTTTCAACCTAGGACAAATAAAAACACTTTAAAATCTGCCCGCTGAGCGTGTTCGAGGTTACGCTGCAGGTAACCAATGTGGGCTTTCCGTATCGCTGATGCAGATTCAGTTTACAATTTTGGCTGAGCGACAAAAACACCCGAATTTAAATAGCAGATTCTCATTCTCAAATTTGTTTTCAGGCTGCAAATAAGATAAGATAACCATTTCTTGATCTTACAATGGAGAACTACAATGGTGTGCAAATAGACAGGAAATGTGCAAATATGTAAGTAAGAAAAAAAAGATACAACATATAAGGCACATTAAAGGTATGGCAAGGGATTAGCCTGAATGCTAATTCGCTAGTAAGCAATTTGGATATTTTTAGAGGTTATTACATAATGCATTTATGGGGTGGAAAACGAACGCCTAGTTATACAGGTACTTTTTGTGGAAGTTCATCTTTTTCTGTAGAAGTTATGATTGTGTATTTACTTTTTTAAAATATATTTACAACTTGCTCAAATGCTTTTTGGCGTGTGAGGGTCGCTGAGTGTTTGTATCATTTATATTCTGGTTGGACACCGGTTGCAGATGTGGTTGCAGATTGGTAAGGATAGCAACCAAAAGTGCCAAAGCCGGCTGTCGCTGATGTATGCAATTGTTATGGAACGATAGAAGACAGCACCTTTGTCTTGTTAAAGGTGCATTGCTTTTCTCCTGCGTGAATTGTCTTTGAATGTTATGACACAGATGCACAGCTCAGCATGTGTTTAAAGTTTTTGGTTTTTCTTCAACTTTTTGCCATAAAGTGAGACTCAACAGTGTTCAATACATTCGTAATATAGTCTTTACTCGATGTATGTAAGGCAACTTTGAGTATCTGTCGCAAAATAAATAAAATGTATTAATATTGGTAAAAAAAAAGTCTTTCACATGCATTTTAAATTGGGTGCACAATATAAACCTTACCTTTCATACATGAGTAAGTCCTTATCATCAGGAAGCTCTGACAGGTTAAGTCCATATGGCTCCTTGAATTGCTGAGGCTGCGTGTCCTGAAAGAGCAGAAGTAGAAAATGTCAGGGACGATAGAACTCACATTTATACATACCATAATTGCCAGACCACAAGCTGCTTCTTTTTACGGCCAATGTATGTATACTTATATAGTGGAATCTCCCGGGCACAGGAAAGAATTTGGAGAGAGCTCTATCAATGCATCTATCTATGTTTATGTCGGCTTTGTTTTGCTCCATTCACTTTTACATTACCACATGAAAACCTGCAGCTTATATTCAAGTGCAACCTATACAGTATGTGATTTTTTTTTAGTTTATTTTAAAATGTAGCTGGTGTGGTTTATATACTGGTGTGTGTAAAAGTCCAGCAAGTATAATCCCTCATCTTTCAACAAAGTGAGCAAAAAGAAATCTCTACATAAACCGCATAATTATCATTTGTCATCATCATTTTGGGAAAGCTTGCAGCCTTGGATGATCCTGCAATAACACAGATTGCATTTGCGAAAAAGGGTCCGACGCCTTCGTGACTTTGTGACAGTGGCCGACATAAGATGATCTCATGTGCTTTAACAAAACGCCCTCCTGTAGCTCTCACATGATGTCCCAAGTTTAGAACAACACACAATTATTCCAGAGCAATTTCAGTCAGATGTAAAAGGAAAAGAAATTCAAGGAAAGGAATGAATATCATAAAGATTGACATTTACCTTTATCATCTATGGAATGGGTAATTAGCTTTAAGATACGTTTAATTGATACTTTATTGTGGAGGAACCTATTGTACCGTTTTTAATGGTAGGGAAAACTGGAGCACCCAGAGAAAACCTACGCACACATGGGGATAACATACAAACACCCCTTGAACCCAGGACCTTCTTGCTGAAAAGTGAAAGTATATTTTTTTTGTCTATTTTGTGTTGCATCATTTGACAACATTTTCAGGGGAGCAGGCGTTTTCCCTTTTGATGCATGCAAATAATGAATGTGATAACACTAAATAATGCAGGAGTGAGCCATTCAAAACAGTATAAATCACCACAATACAAATCCATAATTAATACTGGTGAGATTAATGAGAGCCGAGCTTCATGGTGTGTTACATAACAGCGGCCTCAGAACGCCATCAACTGAAACAAACATGCTTGACATAACACATTGGATTTTTGTAACATATTAGTATTGATCCAGAGAGTAAAAGTAATTACCCTGGAAAGAAATCCCGGTGGGTGACAGAATATCACACAGACTGCGGGTGCCTTGTGTGGTTGTTTAAGTGTTTCTCAACCAGGGTAAAAACAGACCCCGAGGAGTAGAGGGGATACTTGAAACAATTTAAAACTTTCAAACATTGATAGGAAGAGGATAATATGGGCTACTGTGGTAAGTTATATGTCATTTTAAAGCTAATTTTCACTCAATCAATAACATTTTCTTTCCTACACAAGGCAACACAAAGAATCTCAGGTATAAATGATACAAATTTAAAACTACAGTACAGACCAAAAGTTTGGACACACCTTCTCATTCAAAGAGTTCTTTATTTTTATGATTATGAAAATTGAAGATTCACACTGAAGGCATCAAAACGATGAATTAACTCATGTAGAATTACGTACGTACTAAAAAAAAAGTATGAAACAACTGAAAATATGTCTTATATTCTAGGTTCCTAAAAGTAGCACCTTTTGCTCTGATTCCTGCTTTGCACACTCTTGGCATTCTCTTGATGAGCTTCAAGAGGTAGTGACCTGAAATGGTCTTTCAACAGTCTGGAAGGAGTTCCCAGAGATGCTTAGGACTTGTTGGCCCTTTCGCCTTCACTCTCTGGTCCAGCCCCAAAACCATCTGGATTGGGTTTAGGTCCGGTGACTGGAGGTCATCTGGCCCAGCACCATCACTCTCCTTATTGCACCATCACTCTCCCCCAGCACCATCACTCTCCTTATTGGTCAAACAGCCCTTACACAGCCTGGGTGTGAATCTACAGTCAATAGTCATGAAAAAAAAAGTACACTCATTGAATGAGAAAGTGTGTCCAAACTTTTGGTCTGTACTGTAAATAAAGATAAAAAAATACAGTTTTAAAATATGGTTAAAACTAATAACCTCATTTGGTTCACATGTGGTGTAAAGTCCTACAGAGTAAAACAATATATAATAATAACAAAATCTGGTGCAAAAGTTATAAACACACATTCCATAAAGAAAACGGAAGGGAACTTGTTCGTCTAAGTTGGCGAGAGCTTCTGGATGAGGACAATGACAGAGGACAATGGAGACACATGCAAAGAAGCACAACCTACACAAAACCCACACAAAACTGCATCTGTACATGAAAATAATTGCATGCAGCACGGACTAATGATCTGCTCTATAAATATTTGAACAGTTTTATGTTTTGCCGTCGCTTTGGAAATCCATTCTCGGAAGCAAGCTTCAAGGCAACGACACGAGACAGAGGAGTGTGCTACACGTGAGGTCCACTGTCCAGCCCCTCCCAGCGGCCATACAAGAGCTACAGACTGGAGGATGAGAGAAGAGCACATGGAGGAATAATACATTATAATAGCGGTATAATGACATGTCTGGGCCGCTGGACGACGTACGCCACCGTGTGCAGCTGGGAACATTTTAATATCGTTCAAAAATTCATTTATTTGCCAGACTGTACAATAAGAACTGCTAAGCCTGTAAATAAGGAAATGCTGCAATCACGTGCAATGTGCAATCTGCAACTTAAGAATGTCCACTGTACAATGTCACTTTACTTTATCTACTTATCCTGCTCTATACGTATGTAACTCTGCACTATATACATATTTTTTTTGCAAGACAGGTATTGAAGCATTTACAACATTTACAGCTCATTCGAACTATATTGTAAAAATACATAAAGAATATTACCAGGTTACTATATCAATTTGTGTCTTTGTATTGTACCTAGGACACGTGAAACCACAAATGGCATGTTATGTGATTTGTCCTTTATTATCAAGGATGGAATCTGAAGATAATTGCAGTTTAGCTAAATTGTATTGACACTTCCAGGACTCTTCTCACTGTTGTGTCATCTCTCTCGTCACTTTGTACAGAGCAGTTGGTCATTTTGTCGGAGAGGCTCGTGACTCATGTCCAGAGGACTTGTCCTCCACAGGCTCCTGTTAAGATTCCAGTGGGCGTTTGTGAATGTGAAAAAACTGACGTGAGCAAATTGAATCCCCCATATTTGCAGCAATTGTGCAAAAAAACCCATAGACATTGTGTAAATCAGCAAAAACAATATGATACCGGTAAATCTCTTCTAAGAATGACTTGAAACAAGTTGCAAAGCTTTAATCTTCTAGAGCCACCAAGCCTGACCATTAGACGACAGAATAGTCACTTGGGCTCTCGCTCACATGCAGAAGCTAATTCTGCAGCTGGAGCATATCAACAGACAAAAGCCACTATTGGGCGGTGGATAGAGGGAAAAAATGTCTGACTGCTACACGTGATATAGTTATAAGAACGTAAATGTAAAGTTATACAGAAAAAACGTATGCTAAATGTACATTTAGGTCAATAAAAATACTAGTCATATTTTGATGTTACCAATAATAGAAACAAGAGCTTTCTAGAGTCAATCTGTCAGATCATTGGTTTTAACCTTCTCAAAAGTAAGGCTATTTGTTTTGAATAAGCTATCAATTGTTATTACTAATAAAACAATACTCTCTGGACCTTTCTTTTGCAAATGGGTTTATCTAATGATCGGGAAAAATAGACGACAGAAAATCCCAAATGTAGCAACAATAGTCAAAGATCTCAAATATTGCAATTAAACAAACAAACAGATGATTATGCACTGACTCTCTGCAGCAGGAAATTCTGCTCTTAAAGTCCATAAAGTTACAAAGTTTGTGTCACCTTCAGTGAAGTAAGATTGCAAGTTCATTTAGTTTCCAAAGTTCTTAAGTTCATGACCTAGAACCTCAAGAGGCAGGTAGTTCTGTTCTCATTACTCCTGCAACACCTCCTTGCACACTGAAAATGAGATACAATAGTGCAATCTAACACCAATAGTTGACCTATATTACAGGACGGGGTAATTCAGGACAAAAACCAAAATGGTGGGTCTTTTGGACACACACAAAAATGGACAAAGAATGGAAAATATGCAAAAGCTACAGCCGCAGGCATTGGCCGAAACAATCTTACTGAATACTCTGCCTATGCAGTCATTTTGAGTATAGCACACACTAAAAACATAAAACATAAAAAGTGTTATGGATTCGAGGGCGTTTGGTTCAAAAGACAGTAGCTCAGTTGGTAGAGCACTGGCCTTTGAGCCAGAGGGTCGTGGGTTCAAGCCCGACTTTCACCATCGACTCCCACTGTCTGCTGTCGTTGTGTCCTTGGCAAGACACTTGACCTCTGGTAAAGTGCCAAACTGCCGTTGTGTCCTTAGGCAAGACACTTTACTCCTATTGCCTAGAATGAGTCGGAGGGGCCGATAGCACATTGCCGATAGCACATTGCTATTGCTGCCTCGTGGCTACAGTAGTAGTTTATCACCACAGTGTATATTGAGTGAAAGAATAATGACATGTAAAGCGTCTTTGAGTGTCCAAAAAAGCGCTATATAAAACCGATGCATTATTATTATTATTATATACGGACGAGGTGTGTCTTTTGTGAGTAACCCAACATTTGGGTTACTGGGTTACTGGGTTACTAAGTTGTTTTCAATATTAGTCATAGTTACGCAGTGTTTTTTGTGTCCCTTGTTTTTCATCTGGTCCTCAGACCAGATGTCTGATGACCAATTTCTTCAACCAAGCAAAAGACAAACACAAGTTGAGTTCAAAAAGGTGACTGTTAGTCATAAGGACTTAGTTCTTGTGGACTAGATTCTTATGATTAACAGCAAACCACAAGGTGTCATTCATGTGTTCATTCATGTGTTCAGTCTGCGGTGGTTCAAGTACCTCCATTGTGCGGGTGCTTTCCACAGAGTCTGTGAGCAGTTTGACGGGCGTCGAGCGCTGAGACACAGAGGCGTCATCTTCCTTTTCCTCTTCCGAATCGTCCTCTGAAGAGCTGGACAGGGCCTCCTCGCTCGGGGCGGGTGGTGCACTGGCTGCAGTCTTCCTCTGAATCACAGCCTCTTCTTTACTGCTCTTGTTTCTACACAAATACACATGGAGTATAATATTTCAAATGTTTACTTTTTCTTATGCTCTTTTATTATGGATATTTTTTCCACTCGCTCAACATACTATTGGGAAGTCGCCATTCACTCAATCACTACATTCATACATTGTTTTTAGAGGTTGGGGAAATCAGAGCACCCAGAGGAAACCTATGCAAACATTGGGAGAACATGCAAACTCAGACCAGAATGGTTTACCGGCCGTAGTTCTGCCAAGAAGGGGGATTGTTTGTCTCATGGTCAGAAATATACATTCTTTATACATTCAAGTGGCTGACATCAGCTTTAAATATGTTTTATATTCAAGGTAATCTCTATATTTCTTTACGTCCAAATGTTTTTAATAATGTTTGAAGCAGGAGGGGAGTCCGGACCAGAACAGTTTCTTCCCCTCTGCAGTTGGACTCATGAACACTTCATAAATCATCACTGACCTCTGCCCTTTATGACCCTCACTGTATACTGCTGTCACTTTACTGCACTGCTAAATGTCTATGTGTACTTAGTGCACTTGTATAAAGTAGTCATTTTAAGAAATGTTTATTGCATGCTTATTCTATTTTTACTTTTATAACTTGTTTTCACCGAAAGCCAAAGCAATTTCCTCGTTTCTGACTTCTTGTTACTCACAAAGGCAATAAAATGACTCTGTTTCATTATGTATTTTGCTCCCCTATTACTAAATGCCACATGTTTATCAGCTCATGTTTTGCCATAGCACCCAGGGCGGTCTTCTTTATGGAATACTCACCCCAGCACTGACTTTCCAGTTTCCTCCGGCTTTCGAACAGTGAATGGACTTGGATCTAGTCCAACAGTTTTAGGCATAAATTCTCTTAATGGACAGAGACAACAAGAAAACTCATTAGACATGCTTCAGTGGGAGTTCAATGTGGCTTGATAATGAATGCTTGACACTCAGAGCTCTGTGTAAATGTCACTTATAACAGGTTGTTTTCGTTAAATGTACCTGGCAGAATTAGTCATTGCAATACAGAAAGTCTCATCAAACGAGGTAATTTCGTACGGCTTGAAGAACTCTGTGTAGATGTCAATGCTCTCGTCAAAGCGGTTCACTATCTTGACTTCCACTTGTTTCATAGTTTCTCCACAAGGGACTGAAAATACAAATAAAATAATTTGGTTCCTTACATTTAAAAAAAAGCACAATAAATAATAAAAGCACAATAAATAATAATAATACTAACAATTATGATAATAATAATATTAAAATAATTAAAATATTAAAAATAAATAACTACATAAAAATTAAATATAAATACAGTTTGTCTAATAAATAGAATATATACAATGCAATAAGAACAAATAAATAGTAATCAGAAGCTAATCTACAAAGTTGTGTCTTTAAGGATAAACTTTAAGGAAGTTCAGCTTTTGAAACTTGTGTGGCGCCTGGTTAAAAAATGCTCATTGGATTCATGTGCCATCATTATAATCATGAAACATTATTCCCAATCATGTATTACCTTCATCAAATGGCACTGGAAGGTGCGACAGAACTCCCTGTGTCCACCACAGCGTGTAGCTTGGGTAAAAGACAGGCATATGTAGATCAGGTTTTTTACAGTCAAATGTCTTTAACCTACTTCTAGAAAATGGTCACCGCTGAGCCACATAATGTGTCACACCTGCGCACATCAAGCTTTTATTTGCAATAAACAATTTGCCAAGTCATTGTAACGTTTGGACTGCTTTGCTGAACATTTTCAAAAGAGAACAAACACATGGCATAGGCTTCTAAATTACAGTAAGTGTGTCTAAAGCAGAGTCGAGCTCAACGTAAAAGGAATAATCAGAACAGACGAAGGGGTAAACTACATCAAAATAAATACAAATGTTTTTTCATAAACCGTTGAAAAGACATAAAATACAGGAGTGCCAGAAATGGGAGGTTTTGAATACCTGCGTCTGTCTTGGGGGAGGGTCATGGTGCTGCTCTGGTGCAGGTAGAAGTCCGTGGGCAGCTCCCATAAGTGTGGCTTGGCCTCCGCCGGCTGGTACACTTGGAGGAATAAGTTGATGGCGTCCTGTCTATCAGCATCTGGGTAATAAAAGCACAGCGTCTTGCAACTTGTTCTTGAATAACAAAGAAAAACTTAGATGTGACAATAAACCTCAACTCAGTTTAGGTAAAATTAAAAATATTATTGATAGAGAACAGGTGGAAATTATCTCTTGAGCTACAGTGTATAACCTGGTACAATGCATCTCTCCCTTTGAGATTAATGTTTGTTGTATACTGTCCCTGTCACTTTAAATAGATAAACGAAACAAAAAATATAGGTATTATTATTTTTTTGCATTCACATTTTTATTAGGTCACTTGACAATAAAATGATAAATATTTTCAGTCTGTGGTTGACACATGTCATATTCAAAATACAGAAAACGAATTAAATTAGATTGCGCTGTCCTGAGTTCAACACACATTTCTTTAACTAGAGAAACCAACACAAACTTTAAACATAAAAAATATATGGGAAGAGTGCATTTGAATAGTCTTCAACATGTTTTATTCTGGGCAGGAAATTTTCTGAAGAAGAGGTGAAACTTTGTATGGCACTAAAATAAATCTGGCTTTTCGAAAAACGACTTTGGTAAAGGGCAAATTGTTTTGTGAATAATTTTTCACTGGCACGTATGTATTTTTGAAAATGTGTCCTTTTGATTTTCCAGAGCCTGAAATACAGTAGCATTTGAAGTAACAATTGACTGTTACTTCAATCGTGTCCACACATCAGAAATAATGCACATGAAGAAATATCATATCATTGATCATTTATAAATGTGCACCACACATACGTGTGTAAACGACAGCACAATCAGCATACTTTTGAAAATATACATTTACACAGGTTGTGAGAAATTTAATGAAAAATGAAGTGACATGAGTATTGAACCTTGAGGTACACCGACTGGGACATCTAAAAGGCTGATGTGACAGTGAAAATACTATCCCCTTGTTTTTGGGATCTATTTTAATCCATTGGAAAATTAAAATAAAAAAAAGTATATAAATTAGTGCTGTCCAAAATATCGCGTTATTAACGCGTTAACGCAAATCAATATTAACGGCGTCATTTTTTTTATCGCGCGATTTTATATTTTTTTTTACTTTTTATTGCAGACAAACACATATACAGAAAAAAAAATAGAAACAAAGAAAAGGACTAGTTCAGATACATTGTAGACAGAGATTACAAACAATATGTAGTTGGAGATACAGGGGGCCAAAGAAGAAACCCAGAAGGGCACATAGGAGGGGGGGGCATGAAGTGGGAGATGAGGGGGAGGGGTTAATAAAAAAGGCAATACAAGCAAACAGTATACAGTCATAGATATACCGAAAGTAAACAGAGAAATTTACAAAATATTTACAGATTGTTTATCATCATCATAATGACACCATGATGTTTCTATACAGTCTATGGTCTATACCCATACATACACACACACACCCACACACACACACACCCACACAAATGTGTGACTAATTTGCGATTAATCGCGAGTTAACTATGAAATTCATGCGATTAATCGCGATTAAATATTTTAATCGTTGGACAGCACTAATATAAATATATGCGCTTGAAGGTCATTAATGTTGTGCTTATTTTTTGTTATTTGTCTCTTACAAAGAGACAATGCAGATTGCAATTTTAGGTGACAGACAAAAATATCGCAATAATATCGTCATTGCAATACTAAACACTCATATTGATTATCGCTCTAATTTCCAATATCGTGCAGCCCTAATTTGCAGAGGCACTTGGTTTAAACAAAACACTAATTCTTTGGACAATCCATAAATGTCTTTATCCTTTGTTTGTTTTAGAGAGCTAACAATGAATAAATGTAAAATAAAAACAGGTTGTGTAAGATCAACAGGTCGAGCTATGAGATCAGGAATGGAAACCACGTTGGTATTCCTTAACATAGTTAACCAAGAAAATATGAATTTCATTTGCTACATAAATTGGAGCAGAAACCTTTACATTTAGTATAATCTAATTTGATTTTTGTCTTTATTTTAAATATGAGCCTTAATATTAAGCCCATCAATAATATGTCCAAATTTATCAAAGTGACAGTGATGTTCGCAGTTTATGCAAAAATAATCGCGCACCATGTTTGATGCCACACCGCATGTTTGTTTGGGAAATGGGAGATTAGCCGATTCAATGTGCTCAGCCTGTGACACGTGTTTCTTCTGTTTCCATATTCAGTGTGTTTTAATCCAGCCATTGTGAGGCCACGTGCTCACTCTTCAACACTCCTATTAGATGATTATGAACAGATTGAGCTCTATTAAAATCAATTCACAATCTCGTGGAAATCCTCGTGCTATATGCTTAGTTAATATGGTTATAATATAAGATAAGATGTGCTTTATTTATCTCACATAGGAGAAATGTACATGTCACATTTGGCATGGATAGAGACACATGAACTGAAAAGAAACTATGTGAGCATGACTCTGTACGGAAGGTGATTTGCAATTTGTTTTAGGCGTAGAAGATAGCGCAAAGATCAACCATATACTATCTTTGGGGGTAACTTACCTGAGAAAGCATTACTGTAGTATCTGGACAGTGTCTGCATGATGTCTTTGGAATGTTGAGTCCAGGGGGCGATTTTGCGGTACGTCTTGACTCTATGAACAAGCTGGGAGCCACCATACTGCAGTGAAAGAGTGTCTCCATGGTCCTCATAAAGCTCCTCAAACAATCTGGGTACACATAAACACAGATAGACATAGCAGAATTATCTAAAAAACTATATACACAAACAAAATCTTAAATGTCTTACCTAACACAGTCCGTGTCAAATTGGAGTTTGGGTTTGTCGATCATTCCGAGTGCGTAAAGCTGATAGGCAAGAGCGCACTTTCCCACCATGAACTGTGCAGTATTGGTTCGATCCAGGCAGTCTACACAATTAGTCCGCAGCACCCCCGTCTTATAAACACACAATATTGTATTCAATTAAGCCAGACCAATTGACTACATGCAAATCAAGGTAACCATTAAATTTCTGACATATTTTCACAAATGGCTGTCTAAAATCAATAAATGTTCTGTTGATAAATGGCTGGACTCTTAAGCCGTGTTTACACAAACCCTACTTGGCCCTATTCTACTCTACTCAGCTCCACCTGCCCTGTTTAACTGGTACTGGTACTTTTTTTAGTACCTGTTTGGCGCTGGCCATGGGCAGTGATGAACTGTTATAATGCATCATGTTGTTAGGAAAAGGTTTTTAATACCTGCAGTTGTCCCCCGTAAGTGACATGTCCACCAACATCTTCCCATCTGAAAAAAAAAAACTATTTAGAACAGTACATGTTAATGCTAGCTGGACAAATATGCAAAACAAATGTGTGTAGAAATTATTCGGTATTATAGATTTTCCTCAATGGTTGTAGGGTTATGATGTGATGACAGACAATGTTATCAACTACAGTGTTTGGTAAACTTAGTGGCTCGAAATCATTATAATATATATAATATTTCTAATCTAATTAGTAAAATAGTTAGTAAGCCTAGTGGAAAACAAAAAAGAGTTGTTTGATTATATAAATTCAAATCAATTCATATTATTTTTGTTTAGTATGGAGCTATTATTGTTTCAATAATATTTGTGTGTGCGTAAAAAGATTTGTGCGTGCGTAACCAGATTTGTGTGTGCGTACCCAGATTTGTGTGTGCGTAACCAGATTTGTGCGTGCGTAACCAGATTTGTGCGTGCGTAACCAGATTTGTGTGTGCGTAACCAGATTTGTGCGTGCGTAACCAGATTTGTGTGTGTGTAAAAGAAATATTTGTGCGTGTGTAAATAGATTTGTATGTATGTATCAAGATTTGTGTGTGCGTAAAAAGATTTGTGTGTGCGTAGAAAGATTTGTGTGTGTGTAAAGAAAAAAAAAAGTACGTTTTACACACAAGTTTTTTTTTTACACACAAATCTTTTGACGCAGTCCTGCCTTCGCAGATTCGCAAGTGTAACTTGGACTGTGTGCGTGCGTAAACAGATTTGTGTGTGTGTAATTTGACATTTGTATCTGTAGCAGAACAATCTGTGTGTAAATAACCGCGTTGTACAAAGAGAAGAACGAAAAAAGCCTAAGTGCTACGCACAGGCTCTGTTTTACACCTGAATCTCCTTTTGACACACCTCTGCCGCCAAGCGTGTGTCAAAAAGATTTGTAAGTGTAATGTGGTTGTTCTAGCAGTACACCAGCAGATGGTGCTGTTGTAGCTGGTTATTACAATACCTACACGCAAGCAAACCAAAACCTACTGCCTTGACAAGACACACTACCGTAGCTGTTTATGATATTTTTTTCCTATTTTCAAAATCCTGTCATTCACACCACTGTATGATACATGTATCTATTATAAAAACTGGATAGGGTGTTACTAGCTTGGAGCTGAAGGATTCTCACGTACTGCAGACTAAATTCACGTTGGCTACACAGAAATTTTCCCCATAGAACTCAAAGTAAACTAAAACAGCTGACAGATAACCTACAGCTTTCATAAAGGTCGGATTTTGTGGGAATTTTAGTGTTCCTTGTCATCCTGAACTTTTCTTCTTCTTAAATCCTTCGGTTTTCTCTATCTACACTTGTTGGTTTGCTTGCGTGTAGGTAATAACCAGCTACAACAGCACCATCTGCTGGTGTACTGCTAGAACAACCACATTACACTTACAAATCTTTTTGACACACGCTTGGCGGCAGAGGTGTGTCAAAAAGAGATTCGTGTGTAAAACAGAGCCTGTGCATAGCACTTAGGCTTTTTCCCGTTCTTCTCTTTGTACAACGCGGTTATTTACACACAGATTGTTCTGCTACAGATACAAATGTCAAATTACACACACACAAATCTGTTTACGCACGCACACAGTCCAAGTTACACTTGCGAATCTGCGAAGGCAGGACTGCGTCAAAAGATTCGTGTGTAAAAAAAAAACTTGTGTGTAAAACATACTTTTTTTTTCTTTACACACACACAAATCTTTCTACGCACACACAAATCTTTTTACGCACACACAAATCTTGATACGTACATACAAATCTATTTACACACGCACAAATATTTCTTTTACACACACACAAATCTGGTTACGCACACACAAATCTGGTTACGCACGCACAAATCTGGTTACGCACACACAAATCTGGTTACGCACGCACAAATCTGGTTACGCACACACAAATCTGGTTACGCACGCACAAATCTGGTTACGCACACACAAATCTTTTTACGCACACACAAATATTATTGAAACAATAATAGCTCCATAGTTTAGTCCTCTATGACAGCAGCAGTCGTCTCAGAGGATTTCACATGGATGACCACCTTCAAATTGCTCGGATAATCAACAAGCATTGGGTAACATACAGTATATTTAGGTTATAAATATTACATAACAAAAACACCTAAGCCAAGTCGACAGAAAGGTGGCGCTGATCTGTTAAACACACTTCTGCCAATAATCTCATTACAGTAGGTATAATTTACATTAAGAAATCAAAATATAATGAAGAATATTTAAAACGGGTTTGGGAAAAATACATGAGGTAATACTTTCAGAACAAGAGTGCACTTTGACTCCTACAACTTTTTGAGGCAGTTCAGGTTTGTTGACTTTTTTCTGTTTAAAAATAAAGTATTTACAGGCTACGTTTGTAATTATTTCATGGAATTTTTAGTTTTCAAATGGTCTGAACTCCTTGTACCTATCATCTGGTCGTATTGAGTGACAGTAGAAGTCAGAACGGTTGATGAAGAAACCAGTCCTTTTCACCACATTCTCAGCGATCATGCCCAGACGGTCCAAAACGTTGCACAGTTTACTGAAAGGGAAGGACGAGGAAACACATCAAACACTGTACTCAACATCACATTCTAGTTTACTTTGATTCCCTGTACTTATAATTCAATGTAAAAAAAAATAATCCACCAGGTTTATTTGGGCTCTGATAGAGTCTACAAGTTGAGAAAAAAAATTATACTTATCGAGTAATTACCTTTTGATTTTTGGTATATAATTCACTGTAACGCAGGGCTGTTAAATTTTTTGTTTTTTTTAATAACCTATTAAACTGTAAATTATTCCATTATTAATGGATGAGTTGCTTAGAATTCAAATACATTTTATCTAAATTTAAAATGAAGCCCCTCAATAACATTTGATGATTAAATTAAGATGAATTTCTTGTTTTAATGTTTGTAAAATAACTTCCTCAACCACAAATGTGTTGGAGTCCGTATATAAGTATAAAATTGTGTGCATTATTTAGAGGATTGACAACACTTTGCCTGTTGGAGACCTTTTGGTGTAGCGAGCCATGTCCCATGCGATGTACTCGATGCAATGTTCTGGAGGGAGGAACTGGTTCAGGTTAATCACCGCTGGATACAGCTCTTCACTTAGAATCTTCTCATGTTTCCTTTTTTCTCGTTTCTGTAACAAACAAAAAATCATGAACATAATATTTTAAGAATTAAAAATATATATATATGTATAATATATATCATTTTTTGATTTAACCATCATGATTTAACCAGGAAAGTACCATTGAGGTTAACTCATTGTCATTGACATCAATTGAGTTCAACATTGTTTTTCAATCTTTTCCTGTCCGTCTGTGTCTGTGTATCATATATGTCTGGGGTTTGGCTGTAGACAGTATTTTATTAGAGCTCTGTGGGTGTCTTGGTCAAAGATCACTGCCTGAGCACTCTGAGCAGGAGAGACAGAGGTGAAGCAGACATGGAGTAATATAGTCAGGGTCAGGCTACATTTGGAGGCAGCTTGAGCAGTAAATGTGTCTCCAGAGCTGACACAGACCATGTGGAACGCACATACGCGCCAAAACACACAAAGACACACAACAGTATTCTATTGCATTCAAGTATATTGTCTGTTCACTTTGATTTATTGTCATTTATAATGTTTATCATTGCAATTTTGCTCATCTCTGATTTACTCTTATTGACATAAATATAGCGCCACCTACTGGATGAATACTGGCCATTCTTTCTGGGATAGTTTGTCATGGGCTCTACTTTCAATATGTAAATTTTGATGTTTTTTGGATGAGTACATTTTGAAATATTCGAGCAACACTTTGTGGATGTGTGTGCCATAAAACGTATTATTTTGCATCAAAAACACTTTCTCATAACTTGTTGTTGCTGTTTTCTAACATGTAAGATCCTGGACATGTTTGAGGAGATGCTAAAGTTAAACTAAATAGTCTTACAGTCACTTTTCTGCAGGTTCGTCTGTTTTCACAAACACACATTTTCTCAGCTTTTTGTCTAAGACTGGTGCTTTTTGTCAAACTCCCCTCTTTTCGACTGGAGATCACAGGAGAACGAAACAGGCTTAAAACAAACTTCTTTTCTTAACGGGGCAGACGTGCTGCTAACATTTCCCTCATGAATGAAGGCATTTGATCAGTCAATCCTTATATGGCTCAAATCGGGGTATATCACAATATGAACACCAGTATCATAGAGTTTACTTTTTGAGTGGGTTAACATTGTCAATCTATGTACTGTACAGTCTATGATTGAACCAGGGAAAACAGGGAGAAATGTTTGTGAAAAGAGAACTTGAGCAGAAATGTCAAAAGAAACAACTGCACCAGGAGTGTCACACACACAAAGCTATGTTCTCTGCTCGGCTCCGCAGAAGTCTGGAGTGGGACTTAAACGTGTGTTCTCAGGTTTATAATGTTCTGGGTCCCTAAAAATAAGGTCAAATAGCCCTGACACAAATAGATGTGCAACACTAATCAATATCACCGACACCTGCTGTTCTTGAAAAGATGCTACGTGGTTTGGCAGGAGGTTTGGCTTTTCATTTAACAGTACAGCACACAATCCTCACATATTGGAAGTACTTTGTGGAGATTGGAAACTGTGTCTCAGATCATATGGCCCTGACCTGTGGAGTCCCACAGGGGTCGATCCTGGGACCTCTTCTGTTCAATCTTTACATGCTGCCGTTAGGTCAGTTAATACGCAGAAACAAAGTGTCCTATCATAACTATGCAGACGACACTCAGATCTATGTCTCACTGACTGCAGGAGAACATGGACCAGTGGACTCACTCCTTCACTGTATCCAACAGATCAGTGAGTGGATGCAAAACAACTTCCTTCAGCTAAACGCAGACAAAACTGAAATGATTGTCTTTGGTCCCCAGAAACAAAGAGAGAGCGTCATCTGTCATCTACAGTCTCTCTCCCTAAAACCTTCAAACAAGGTCAGAAATCTAGGGGTAATACTGAACTCAGACTTAAATTTTAATAGCCACATCAAATCAGTAACATCAGCAGCTTTTTACCATCTAAAAAACATTGCCAGGATCAAAAACATAGTGTCTAAAGCAGACTTGGAGATTCTTATCCATGCATTTGTCTCCAGTAGGTTAGACTACTGCAATGGCCTGCTCACAGGTCTGTCCAAACAGGCTGTAAAACAGCTGCAGTACATTCAAAATGCAGCAGCTCGAGTCCTGACTAGAACCAGGAAGTACGACCACATTAGTCCAGTTCTCAGGTCTTTGCACTGGCTTCCTGTGGCTCAGAGAATAGACTTTAAAACAGCTCTGCTTGTGTACAAGTCTCTCCATGGCCTCGCACCAAAATATATTAGTGACATGTTAGTCCCATATGAACCAGCCCGGACTCTGAGGAGCACAGGGACTGGACTCCTGTTAGTGCCCAGAGTCAGAACTAAACATGGGGAGGCTGCTTTTCAGATTTATGCTGCTAAAATCTGGAACAATCTTCCTGAAGATGTGAGACAGGCCTCCTCTCTGACAATGTTTAAAACCAGGTTAAAAACGGTGCTGTTTAGCTGTGCATACAACTGAGGGATTTTATATTTTTATCTTTTGTTTTAATGTTCTGTAATTATTTATGATTTGAATGCATCTTGTTCAGCACTTTGAGTTGCCTTGTGTATGAATTGTGCTATACAAATAAACTTGCCTTGCCTTGCCTTGCCTATTGTGCTCCTTTCATACTAGTACCACACTGCACAGTGGAGCACTCTCCCAACACTATTCAACATTAAATACATCATTTTCATATTGCACTATTGTCAGCAGCAAAGCAGTGTACAAATAATGCTACACAACTTTTCAAATTTTCTGATATTGGTGAATTGAAAGTATTTGGCCAGGTTTCCTTCAAAACTGACTTATTTTGGGGGCGAGAATAATGCCTTAAATTACCCCAATCTACAGCTACAAAGTTTGGCATCAACCTGGTCAAAGGTGATGGATGGCTCTGCTCACTTGGAAGGACAAGACTCACAAGAAAAGATTGAGACAAGACAATAATTGGACAATACTGAGGACCAAACTCTTTTTCATTTTTCATCATTAGATGATTCGTGCCCCTCCCTTGTTACAGACTGTAGAAGCCTGTGAGACAGCAGCACAGGATTTCCTTATTTCTTACACTATGAGACAGTACATTTGTATGTGATAATTTTTTTAAACCAACATGTGAGTCAGGAATAACAATGAGACAGAAAGTCATCCTGGGGAGCAGTTACTTGTGTTATTTGTGTTCTGACTGTTAAGGTTTTAAATGTAGGTGGACAGCTGTATCTTTGCGAGTTTGCCGTGGTGACATAACACATGTCTCTGATTTCATGATGTTGTTTAGACACCAATTATACTGAGAGTAGATTAAAAGAAAATGAGCATTCAGCAATCATTAAGACTTTTGGGAATACAAGTTGTGTAACACAGCTGCGTGCTGCTTGTTGTTGTCTGTCAAACATGACAAAATGAGTTCCAAGTTATTTTGCATGCCATAGTACAGGTTCTTAGTTTGGCAATGACAGCCACATGCATCATGATCAGACGTGGCCTGCACAGAAGCCAAGAAATACATATCCGTAGTTCAAATGTGCTCGTCTCACACCCCTCGCTCCCTCCCTTCCTTCCTGCCTCCCTCCCTCTCTCCCTTCATCACATGGACCAGGCTTGTGCAGACCACTACAGTTAGTCATGGCTGTCTCTGCCTTGTGAGTGACAGCATGGGTGGAAAAGCTGGGCTGTGTCATTGTTGGTGATGTCTGTGTACGTTTATATACAAGACAACTAGCATCTGAAGTTATAAAATTATCAGTGGCCCACATGAAATGTAAGAGAACGATTGAGATTTTTAAGGTAAATGCCTAAAAAAATAACGTTTGTGACCTTTCTTTTTGGACAAGTTATTGTGTAAGTTGTATATTTATACAGACCATCATTTTTACAGACCAAAGTCACCCAAAACGCTTAAAAATGTTCTGATGTTTCAGATATTGTTCCATCCTCTCCACACGGTGATGACGGAGGAGAGACGCCAAACACACTGGCACATCAAAGCCCCCAAACAACATCATCCATTACACTCACTTATTACATTCACAGTGTTTTTAGTGGTAGGTGTGGTGACAGTTTTTGGAGTAATTACATTAAAACCAGCCGCAGCAAATACACGGACGTCAAAGGCCTTTTATCAATGCAGACAACCTTCTGACGCCATGCTGAGCTTTGTGAAGGTCCCTGCTGTCTGTCACACCCTTGTGTCTTTCCGTCTTGCATCTGTATGACCTGCACTTCCACCATTGTCTGTCTGTTCACACCCCATGCCACTGCCACCACAGGGGATGGCGCCGGCGCTTCCTGTGCGCCTCCTCACCGGTGGCCCCCTCCGCTCCGTTGTGGGCGTGACTATCTTTGGTGTGTGTTTTGTATACAGGAAGCTGGGGGCTCTGGCCCCCAGAGCTGAGCATGCTGCCTTTGTGTGGATATGCTGACTCTCCGCACTGTGCGTTAACAATAAACTTACGCTTTTGATCAGACAAAGGACCTTTGAGATTCCTCCTTCATGGGGTATATAATTCTATAACATAGGGGAAACCGAAGAACCTGGAGGAAACCTACGCAGACACGGGGAGAACATGCAAACCACTCAGAAAGGCCCTGTTACAACCAGGATTCAAACCCAGGACCTTCTTGCTGAAAAGAGCTATCCACTCAGCCACCGTGTCAAACGAGTCACTAAATTTGGATAATTTAAGCGTAATAAATCTTGCATAACATGTACTTTACCTTAACCAGGTTGAGAATAATGATTGGTGAACCAAATCGTTGCAGCATCTGATCAAAATGCAGGGCAGCTACATGGGAATATGGGTCAGCTTGGTCCACTAAAAAAACAAAGCAAAACCAATTAGTATTTAATACGTCATCAAAAATATGTCAGTATCTTTTTAATATAAATTGAAGCTTGAAATTTATTTTTTTGGTGCTTGAAAAAGCTTGAAAAAGCACATACGTTCTTACTCACATTAAGTTAAAGGTGTACTGAACAAGTTTTCCAAGATTTTGCTTTAGCTACTACTCACTTTGAAACGTAAACGATTACTTTATAACCGTTTGTGTCACACTCACCATTTTGGACTGATGTGGTTTAACACTTTCACAACCGTATATTTATTTTTAAAGATCTAGACACAACTCTAATAACTGACCAATCAGTTGCCTTCTGTCCCGAGTGTCAGCTTTAGATAGCGAGTAGTGTGAGCAGGAACAGACCAGCGCAGCTTCTTATTTGTCTTATTAACCAGAAAAAGTGAAAATTGATTTTTTTTTTTATATCACTATACTGCTTTCAGTCCTAATGTATTTATTTTTTTGATTTGCACCGCAGGCACAACCCATCCACCAGGCACCCATGCTGCACTGAACACATTCAAGGCAAGTCAGAGGCAAAAACATGAGGAAAAAGAACAGAAATGTCGTCTGGGGGTAAATTAAATCTTTTATGAAGTCTAAAGAGATTCAGAGATTGGAAGTTGCAGGGGGTGCCCTGGTTTCACCTATGTGTTTTTCACAATCCAAATTATCAGGATAAATGTCTTGAATAGAATCTATTTCCTCTGAGCATGTAGGGTTTATGTATGCCTGCGTACAGTATTATTACTACAGCTGTGCTTTATACATCTATCATGAAGAATGTCTTGCGTACCCACAGTGACATTGTATTCTTACACCTTATATGACATGTGTGGCCCAAAATGAATATGGTGCTATGAATACCATGTTCCTTTCATAGCAAATGGAAAAAATATAAAACACGTTGTAAGAATATTATGTGAGAGGGGGGAGGTCTTACATCGTATGGGAGGCTTAGGCATCATGGTCGAGATGTCCTGTGACCAGTACAATGGAACAGACCCTCGCACCTGCACGTAGGAAGAGTAACTTCCAGCAGTGAACGACATGACCGAAGCGTCGTGGACAATCTGCTCCGTTTCCACCTCATTTGCAACATCCCCCTACAGAAACAATCAGTCTTTGTTTCAAAATAAATGCTTAACAAGCAGTGAATGAATACCACAGATCATATATAAAGATTACAATGAGAAAACATAATATTTAGTCCCAGTTGTTGTTATCTCACCGCCTCACATTACCACCATACCTCACAGTTGGCTCCTCTTTTCAGAAAACGGGTCCCAGCAAATTTGCTTGAGCGTCTTGCAATGAGCGTGATGTGAACAGGGCGACCATAAATCAACAGCTCTGGATTGCCAGGTTAAAGGTCAATATATTGATAACAGGTGTTTTGAAAAGGTGTGTGGAGCACTTTCTTTGGTGACATTTCAGAATAAATATAAGATAAACTTTTTTGTGTGTGTGTGTGTGTGTGTGTGTGTGTATAAAAACTGAAGAACCATATTTCTCTGAGTGCAGGCAGTGGCCCGATGATCGATGAAAGGTCAAATGTTGACTGAACTATTGCACCAGAGTATACTAATCAAATAGACAAATAGACACCCATTGTTGAAATTAAAAAAACTGACATGTGTCCTCTGCATTTGACCCACCCTTGCCTCATCCACAAACAATAAATAAATAATAAATATATTTCAATGCACTGTTCACACACTCACATAAACAGTATGCACACATAGACAGACAAACAGACTCACATACACATAAAATAATAACTTTGAAGCTCATCAAACACAAAACATTTGTCCCTTCATAATCCTCTGGTGGACATATTTTCTAGCTATATAGATCAGTTTCCAGGAACTCTCTGAATTCCTCCCACACAATGGGAGAGAGGCAACAACACTGTTGATGGCACTATTCACTGGAACTGTTATTTCACAGTTCAGAGAAAATAACAAGCAATAACAAAATAGTGAATTTCTGATGGGAAGGTCACAATGAACAATGGAGTAAATGAGGATAAACACATTTTGCTGTATACATTGGTCCCTTGCGGAGGTAACATTCTAAAAAGAGTAATCCCCTTTATATTTTACAATTATTATACATTGTAAAATATAAAGTCCAGGGACTTCAGATGGAAACTAGCTGTTTAGCTATAATCTGGTGCAGAACATATCTGTCTTTGAGCCTAATGTCTCTGTACACTGTCCCTTCAAATAAAGACTAAACTAAACTAAACTAAACATGTTTTAAGGCTGTAAAACATATCTTCTCAGACAGAATGTCATATATATATATTTTTTTTTCCACCAGCTAATCAGGTTGTACGACGATTTTATTTTTACCAAATTGTCAATAGGAGTCTTAAAAATCAAGTACCTTACAGCCAAGCATGTTGGACATGCATCGCTCTCCTCTGCACTGCTCTCCACTCAAACTACAGGGTAACCATGGCTTACAAATGCAGTAAGAGTTGTATTCATGTTATAAATCATATTCTAGACCATTAGTTGACTCGAAAGCTTACTTGTATCGATGAACAGGAATTTTACATTTGTTTGAAATGCTCTGAGCCAAAACTGTGTCCTTCTCTGTAAAGTGCTTTTTGGCAACTTTCTGCTCACATTGTGCTGTTTTTAAAGTCCCTTGATGTTGGAGCTTGCCCTTTGGACACAGCAGGAGGATCCTCCATTAGGTATAGACCTCATGCCTTTTCAAAACAGTGGAAGGATCGATTATGAATGGTTCAGGACACACCCGTGGCTGAATATGAGCTTTCGGCTGCAGAGGTTATAACTATGAGAGGAACTGAAGGAATCATGCAGCGACTGAAGGTTTTAAAACCTCTTTTATGAGATATCTATGTATGGAAAACTGATGTCTGGCTTAGGCCTCATCTACCTCACTCTCAATTGAACCACTTAGCTTTTAAGTAGCTGTCCTCCTTACACTTTTGTCTACTGAAGGGAACTCTGGTGCAGTTGAGATAATTACAGTGGTATGAAACAATTTAAGCAATTTATTATTTTCCTTTATAAAGCATTGGTTATTAGATACAACAGTTACATATATTATATAAAAGTTGTGCCCGAGGCTGGATATTTCAACAAAGATGTACTAAGGCATACGTGCAGAGGAACAAGCACACCGTTCTGGAGTGGCCATAATCAGGTAGAGGACCTACCGGTGATCTTATTTTGACACTTTACTAGTTTTCTCAATGTTTCAATACAACCAATAAACCCTTTTTTTATTGAATAAATAATAATAAATATATAAAGTAAATTCTTCACATCATCCGTGAACCATAGGCACAATCTTGACAGGAATGTTCAAGATACCTAAGATAGATGTTTGCAGAACTTATATAGAACTTAACAATAAAAGCACTTTGATCAATTGGCCAAGACAATATATTTTTATTTAAAGTATAACCATCAATTGCCTCTATGCCTTCATTGTTCAGTAAGAGCTCATGCAAACAAAGGATACTGGACTGGCCACAAAAGCCATGGATTATGTACATGAGCCAGTCCGGATGAACAATGTCCTTGATGCGCTCCAGCAGCTTACCGTTCCAAACGTATTTGTGGTACGGCTCGTTCCGGACGCCATAAACCACTGTAGAAGAACAGGGCACGTTCAAAACCAATGGCTTACTTAACTGTCATTAGACTTAATTAAAAGCTAGAAATAGAAAAGGGTGAGTTCGATTTCATTTTCATGCCTTCATCTTTGTTTTATAACAGGAATATACATTTTATACACATTGTTAAGTGAAAGCAAAATCATACATGATTTTATTCTGTAGTGTGCAAAAGTAAGAGCTAAACCTGAAGTGTTACAGACTGCAACAGCTTTTCTTACAGGGTCAACCTGTATTTTGCTCCACAAGCATCCTTCCCTGCTGAAGAAAAGCACCCCAACAACATGATGCTGCCACCACAGGTTTGGGGGATTGTGTACACGATGCACTTAGGCCAAAACGTTTAATGTTGGTCTCCTCTGACCACAGAAGGGATACATCCAACATCCACATGTTGGATAGGTCCCCTACTTGGCTTCATGTGCGTGATTTTAAAACTGTCTCTCCATTTGCTAGTCATCTATATAGGGCATGTTTAGTGCACAACTAATAATGGCCCCTCCAGAGTTACCACAGACCTCTTGAATGTATCCCTTATCAATGGTGTTAGCATTTGGCCTGTTAGTTTAGGCCAGGAATCGGGAACCTGTTTACAGCTGAGGGGTACCTTAAAGCCTTGCACAACTGTCCTGATTGCTTGATGCCATAGATATTTTATGGCTTTGCTTGAAATGTCACTCAGAATTATAAAAAAAATGTGTACATGCTTCAATTATGCTTAAAAAACTAAATTTGTACAGTGAAGACTTGCCTCTCCACAATTACAGTGCCTTGCGAAAGTATTCGACATTTCGCCACATTTCAGTCTTCAAACATAAAGATATAAAATTTGAATTTTTTGTCATGAATCAACAACAAATGGGACACAATCGTGAAGTGGAACGAAATTCATTGGATGATTTAAACTTTTTTAACAAATAAAAAACTGAAAAGTGGGGCGTGCAATATTATTGGGCCCCTTTACTTTCAGTGCAGCAAACTCACTCCAGAAGTTCAGTGAGGATCTTTGAATGATCCAATGTTGTCCTAAATGACTGATGATGATAAATAGAATGCACCTGTGTGTAATCAAGTCTCCGTATAAATGCACCTGCTCTTTGATAGTCTCAGGGTTCTGTTTAAAGCGCAGAGAGAACCATGAAGACAAAGGAACACACCAGGCAGGTCCGAGATACTGTTGTGGAGAAGTTTAAAGCCGGATTTGGATACAAAAAGATTTCCCAAGCTTTAAACATCTCAAGGAGCACTGTGCAAGCAATTATATTGAAATGGAAGGAGTATCAGACCATTGCAAATTTTGATAGGCTCGGCCGTCACTCCAAACTTTCATCTCAAACCAGGAGAAGACTGATCAGAGATGCAGTCAAGAGGCCCATGATCACTCTGGATGAACTGCAGATAACTACAGCTGAGGTGGGAGAGTCTGTCCATAGGACAGCAATCAGTCGAGCACTGCACAAATCTGGCCTTTATGGAAGAGTGGCCATTTCTCAAAGATATCCATAAAAAGTCTCTTAAAGTTTGCCACAAGCCACCTGGGAGACACACCAAACATGTGGAAGAAGGTGCTCTGGTCAGATGAAACCAAAATCAAACTTTTTGGCCACAATGCAAAACGATATGTTTGGCGTAAAAGCAACACAGCTCATCACCCTGAACACACCATCCCCACCTCAGCTGTAGTTATCTGCAGTTCATCCAGAGTGATCATGGGCCTCTTGTCTACATCTCTGATCAGTCTTCTCCTTGTTTGAGATGAAAGTTTGGAGGGACGGCCGGGTCTTGGTAGATTTGCAGTGGTCTGATACTCCTTCCATTTCAATATAATTGCTTGCACAGTGCTCCTTGAGATGTTTAAAGCTTGGGAAATCTTTTTGTATCCAAATCCGGCTTTAAACTTCTCCACAACAGTATCTCGGACCTGCCTGGTGTGTTCCTTTGTCTTCATGGTTCTCTTTGTGCTTTAAACAGAACCCTGAGACTATCAAAGAGCAGGTGCATTTATACGGAGACTTGATTACACACAGGTGCATTCTATTTATCATCATCAGTCATTTAGGACAACATTGGATCATTCAAAGATCCTCACTGAACTTCTGGAGTGAGTTTGCTGCACTGAAAGTAAAGGGGCCCAATAATATTGCACGCCCCACTTTTCAGTTTTTTCTTTGTTAAAAAAGTTTAAATTATCCAACAAATTTCATTCCACTTCACGATTGTGTCCCACTTGTTGTTGATTCATGACAAAAAATTCAAATTTTATATCTTTATGTTTGAAGCCTGAAATATGGCGAAGTGTTGAAAGGTTCAAGGGGGCCAAATACTTTCGCAAGGCACTGTATTTAATTTAATTATGCAAAGTAACATGGCATTACACGACATATTAGTATCAAAATTGTAGTCCAATTGTACGGTGTGTACAAAACTTTCCGTACATTCACACATAAATGTATATATATATTTATGGTTTCTTCCTCTCAAGGGCATTTATATTCTTTTATCTACTAATGAGTTTGCTCGCACATGTCACCCTTTAACTTGAAAGCATACTGACCATGTGAAAGGCACATGTTTAACTCCAGCTCACCTTGTGTAGGCAGACCTTCATCTTCAAAGATATCAAAACAGTCCTGTTTGCTTTTTGTATGCTTCTCATCATCAGCGATGGGCACAGCTGACCACAGTTCAAAAGGCCTTTGCAGTAAAGTTAGATTATATTGTAGAGAGTGGCTCAAGTCATAACTGTAGCTGCAAGTACACACAATTATCATAAGATACATTAGTCACAATTTCTCAAATCATTTATTCAGCTTTTCATATACTTCCAAAAAAATAATATCTATTTGGCCCTGTATTGAGTAGGTCTGTCCGCTAAACATATTAAGGATGAATTATATATATATACTCTAAATCGAGTGCTTCGTATATATTACCAGCCAGTACGCTCCAGTCCAGTTCATTTTGTAAAGCTGCATTAAATAAAAACAAAAGATACAGTAGAATACCTGAAGTAGAAGTTGCTAGACAGATCCACATTCTGGAAAATTCTCACATATCTACAAATAAAAAAACTTAAAATCACTCACAAGATTTTTGAACCAGAGTAATAATGCATACCATAATGTGCAGATTATTATGAGTAATAATCTGCAATTATAGTATGCATTTATCATCGAAGTAAACAAAGTACCAAAGAAAACTAAATGAGTGAGAAAAAGAGCAGCACCTTGCTTCATCAGGATGGGTGATCCTTACAGAGTCATTGGGGATATAGATCATGGTGGTGTCTTCAATTTTGTAAATGGAATGGCCCCCAATGTCAGCCATCTTTCTGCGCTTTGTGATCAAAACAATGTAATAGCCTTCAAGGAATCGTACAAAGCCTGTAAAAACAATTAAAAACAGAATAAGTATACTGCATAATACAAGTGTGAACATAAAACAAAAGCAATTGTCATAATCTATTCATGATCCAATTTAATTCATACAGCTCCCAACAGCCTGATTAAAGACAAACAAACTTCCTGACAGAGAACAGGTCAGCTTGACAAAGTCTGAGCCAGTGCACAAGGCAAATAAGAATAATTAGAATAATGACAATCATTACAAGGTGTAAAATAAAGTCAGTCGGAGTAGAGCTCAGAGAGCAGACTGTGCCTCTTATTTAATGTCAATGGGTCATATGATATTTAAAGAGAACAAAGTGACTGGAAAATGTGATGATTCCATTTCCTTCATTTAATTAGGGAAACTTAAAATAAAATGTCTGTGTCAATGTGACACTCTCATTTGAATTTAACCTTATTGTAGATACAAAATATTTCTCAATTATGGCCACATGTTATAATCAACTAAAATCATATTTAAGCATTATTTATAACACCAAATGTATATAATTAAGTTTCTAGTTTTTCTCAGAGAAAATTATGTTAAAGACACTTTCTTTTAAATAGCTGTGGGTGCTAAATACAGGGTCTGCAATTATGTTTTAATGGCTGTCAATGGTGTCTTGGTGCAATTGCATCTTATCCATCGTTTATCAAAGTGATTACTTAAAGGAAAAAGGGAAAACAAATATTAGTGAGAAAAAAGGGTTCACGCTCACCTACTATACCAACGGCAGAGACCGCCCTGTAAAGGCCCGCTGAACCTTTTTGAGATATTTTTGTGCGGTTCCCCAAGTCCAGTCTTCCAAGCAACTCGCGTACTTCTTGCTGGTTATAAACATGCTAAATATAAGAAAGAAGTGAATAGCGATACTTTTAGCAATACTATTGAGGCAGTTGGAATAACTGGCCATAATATGTACCAGGCATTTCTCTAGAGAATATTATGTAAGCAAATAAATCAGCACTTATAGCAACTCTGATGGAAAGGCCGCACTCACCTTATCATCAATTATCACCAGGTCCTTGGGTTCAGTCCGGTCAATTTTCAAGACTCTGTGCCTTGTCTGTGCTTGATTGCTTCCCACCAGAAAATACCTCTGATTTGTTTATAAACACAACAAAATCAATTACAATCTCCCAAGACTTTTCTTTGATTACTTAATTTACCATATTGCATTTCATAATTATGAATAACTAAATAGTGCAACTACAGTGATTATAGTTACAAATTAAATACTTGAGCTAAACCGAAAACGGGTAAAGAGTTAAAGTGTTACCACTTAAAATAAGACCAAGATGAAAGAATGAGCGCTAATGGTAGATAATGGAACATTAAAAAGTGTGTGGGGAAGTGGCAAACATTATATTGTGATAAATTGCGATTCATGTCCCTCACATTGTTCAAAGGCATTACAAAAAATGAGGAAAATAAGCTCAAATATCAAATGTCACATTTATTAAGGTCTGCACATTAACTGATGCGCAAAAATTTAGTAGGGTAGTGCAAAAATGTATTTTCTCTCATAACTTAAATTCATAAAGACTGGAGTAACAAAAAGTATAGGTAATATGAGTAACATAAACCTCAGTTGTAAATGACCAGACTAAACTCACACAAAAAACTAACCTGGCAAGAGCCAGATTGATGATTGTGTAGAACTCTAACGCGTTCTCACAAATACCGCGAGAATTCAGCTTGCAGGCAAGGTTAACAAAAAACAGCACTGAAACTGATAATGATTTAATTAAATATTGCCCACCAATATGTGAAATATTATTTACGATCTGCGGTTAGTGTTTTTTACCCCATTCTGAATTCCTAAATACTTACAAAGTGTGCCATTTTTCAACCACAATCCACAATGTAATAGCTCAGAAAACAGTATTATGCAACAATATGACTGGCGGAGAGCTCAGACTCGGGTCTGAGCTCTCCGCCGGTCGGCCTCTCGCTTCGCTCTTTTCGTAGCACTGGTGACAATCTTTTTTCTCTTCGCTTGGCGTGGAGTTCCAGACGGTGATTCTGAAGCTGGTCTCTTAGAAGAAACTGCTGGATCCATCTTCAAATACGCGTGATACGAGGACGGGACAGATCCACTGACCGCGAGGGAACATATGGAGCCAAAACAGTGAACGGGCACGCGCATTGCGTCACTTCCGCTTAAACAGCGCGCGAGAAAGCGACCCGAGTCTGGGATTTCTCAATCACTGTGTGCGCTCACAGAAGCAACCACAGTGAATCTGCTAATGCTCAGTTTACACACCAGGCAACTGCTGATGGACCACAGATGCAAAATATTGCATTATGGCATTTTTTAACTTACGCAATGCACCTGTCAAAATTATCGTTTTGACTCACGTTAATTACATTTTTTATTAACGCGTTATTTTTTTTAAATACCCGCCCATTTATCCATAAGAATATCACTCAGAATGCTGCGTGTGAGATGGCCTGCTCCATGGCCGCTCTGGTTGTTGTTAGCGGCTGTGAGTGAGTGCGAGCTTTGCACAGGCTGCAAGCATGGATCTAGCTATTATAATAACAGCAGCAAGCGATTGCTCCGTTCACATACTCAGCGCTCTGCGCACTGTATTTTCCCTGGTTCTTGTCTGTCAGGCACAATCTGCGCACTGTATTCTCCCTGGTTCTTGACTGTCAGGCGTGAGTGTTGCTCGTGTGTGTCTTTGGGAACTAATTATTTTAAAATAGTCTCTTTCAATTGCAAGTTTTGTAATCTGTTTGTTTGATCAATGGATAAAAATAAATGCAATTTAATTAAATGGCACCTTGGCCTGTCTTATACCTGTTTGCCTGCAGGACAGTTCCCTAAACTAACATATCATACTAAAATAGGGTGGGGTTGTTGCAACAATTAATCTACTTAGAAGTTATCCTAAATTTGTCGTGGTACCGAGCTAAAGCTCGGTACCACGACAAACGAAAAAGTAACGCAATAGTTACTTTTACTGCTAACTAGTTACTTTTATAGTGGAGTAACTCAGTTAGTGAGTCAATTACTTTTTGGTAGAAGTAACTAGTAACTATAACTAATTACTTTTTCAAAGTAACTTACCCAACACTGGTAATTATATTTGATAATCTCATTTAACTTCAATTGGAGTGGATTTGAAATAGAATGTTAAACATGCGATTAATCGTGAGTTAACTCACCATTACTATGCAATTAATCAACTAAAAAAAATGAATCGTTTGACAGCCCTAGTATATATATATATATATATATATATATATATATATATATATATATATATATATATATATATATATATATAATTGAACCGAGAATAGAACACATCTTTCATGTCATGAATAAAAATAAAAAATCCAAACTTTTGGTCTGTACTGTACATACATGAGATGAGCACTTACACTTTCAACATGTCTTTTGTCCTATTAGATTTATTTAATTGATTTTGACATGACAAGCTATAATCAATCATGATCAAATATGTGTGTGTGTGTGTGTGTGTGTGTGTGTTTGAGCATTTACAAAATCCGGGTCTACGGTCTGCTCCCCCTCAACCCTGATTAGCATTTGTATAGCTCACAGCATTGCCATTTACATGTTAAAGCCTCCTGTGGAGGAGGGAGGAGGGGACAACAAACTGCCGAATCCCAGAAGTTTCACAGTAATATACAGGGCCGAAAAGAGACGAAAATCACACTTTTCATGCAGTGTAACCCAGAACCACTAAAGGCATAGAGAGAATTGTGTGCCAAAAGTAATTTTATTTCATCTTACCAAGTAGCTAGAAAATGTAATGGACAGTGGGGAACTGGAACTGTTTCCCTTAAGCCATGTTCTCCTGTTCGACACATTTTATTTTGTGTTGTTCTGTTTTCTCATTAAGCATCTTTTGTCAGGTTGTTATCACATCACATATCACATTCCTGTTAAAATAATTCATTTAATTTATAGTATTATATTATATTATCCTGGCAGGCAGGACACCGACTTTGGAGAGAAGATGTTGCTTGCATTTGAGAAATAGCCAGTTTCTGTTCCAGGGAGAGGATTCAACATGACAGGATTCAACCGTGAGAACAGAATACATTTTCAGGTTCCAATTAGTTTTAACACAAGATTAGCTTTATTCGTCTAAAAGTGGGGAAATGTTGGTGTTGCAATGTACAGTGTAGGAATGAGGAGATCGCAATAAATAGCTGTAATGCTTCCTATGCCTTTAATTTGAAATCAGGAACAAAATGTACCAAAGTTATCAATAGTAATAAGGAACAACATATCCTTGTTCTGATATGGCTCGACATGTTTCTTCCCTTCACTACTCAGGAAAAGAATATATCTACAGTATCTAAAAGAATACGCAAATACACAACAGTAGCAGATATGATGATGACAGACTTACTGCTCTTGTTTCATACAGGACCATTCGTTGGATTCCTCTAATGACCGCCGCTGACTGGGGCATTTTTTCTCTTTTACGCAGAAAGACTAACCAAGAGGCATCAACAATCTAATACAGAGAAAGAAAGACAGAGAAGTAATATTTCACTTGCCAAGCCATTATCATGCTAGCTTGTTTATTGAGTTCGCTTACTCGTTTTGTGTATCAAGCAGCGTTGTTATGGTCGTCTTAATTTGTGAACGACTAACCCACCATGAATGTTATTATAAATTTGTATTTTATTGTCAATATTTCTTTTTTAGTCAAGTATAGACCCTCTGTAGCGTTTTGTCCCTCACGCGTTTGGGTTTGTTTTGGTGGTAATGCAGATCATGTGACACTTCAGATGACTACGGTGGCCTGAGTAGTCAGTCGAAAAGGGGGTGGGGGGAGGGGCACGGAGCATAGAATGAATATTATTTGAAAATGAAAAAAGACCTTGGGGTATGTAATAACGATGATGATAATAATATAAATATGTATATGAGGAGGTGGAGAATAAATACAACTAAATTAAACAAAAGTCAACGGCACGTTGCGTATATGCTCGTTGCCATAGTTACCGCGTGTCTCGCGATTGGAATAACTTTTTTATTATTTGTCGAGAACTTTACGCAGCAAATGTTGTCTTTACAGCGATCTCACGTTAACCTCTGCCAGTATAAAAAACAACAACTAACTACTACAACAGTGACATACAGTAAATATGCCTGAATACGGTGAGGAAAACTTTGCGTTAGCGTTTCGTTAACTAGCTAGCTTTACGTTATAAGCTAAGCTATCTCTAACTAGGTTAGTCACCTGTGTAGGCAATGGTATAACGCACGTTTGTATCACCTTAGACACCCTAGCAGATATTCTCATTGAAGATGAAGCGGAAAGACACCATCTACTTTCGAAACCAGCTTGTTTTCTCATAGTTGGCAGACCGGTAAATAAATAATATTAAACGCATTTTAATTAAGAAGAAAATATCCTGTTGCATTTATTAAAATACATTCTAATGTCCAGTTAATCATATGGCTACCAGTAGATACTATATTGATATTGCTTTTTGGATAGTTAATTATTAATTCTTCTTTCTTTTCAGGGCATTGGCAAAACAACTTTGGCAAGAAAAATAGCAGATTCTTGGAAGTGCATTCTGGTGGATGGTTAGAATTACATTAACTGTTGCATGTTAAATGTCTTTTCAATTCTAGACATGAAGTGAACTTATGTTTCAGACACTGAGATCCTAAATTTTCACATCACAAATAAAACAAAACCTGGTTTAAAGGTATGGTTTATTTTCTTCACTAATTATCTCAAATTTGACAACCCTCTTGACTATATCTTTGGTATATTTACTCTAGCTCTTGGAAATCCTAAATAATGGAGAAAGTATACCAGATGAAATTGTGCTCCAGCTTATTCTTAAGAAGCTGAACTCACCTGAAGTGGAGCACTATGGTAAAGTAAAGTCTCCCTTGACTGATTTGTATCTGTTTTAATTTGTTTTTGTTTTTTTCAACAGGTTATGTTCTGAGCTGCTTGCCCTTTATGAATGAGCGCTGTCTGAAGATTAGGAAACAGTTTGAATTAATAAAAAATCTTAAGTTTCCTCCTGACTTCATCATTCATATCAAAGTAAATGTAACTTCTTAACTTTGTATGTACCCCATTTACATTTTCAAATATTTTATTTCTGTCCTGTTTTGTTTAGTGTTCTGACAATGATTTGGTTGAGAGGCTCTCAAGATTGAGGCAGAATCCAGAAACGGGACAGTTTTTTCAAAAACATGAGTTGATGACTGACATTGTTTCCACCCTAATAACCGAAAAAGAAAGTGTTGATGAAGAGGAAGAAGATGAGGTCTGGTTGAGAAAGAACAATGATTTTGTTGTATTTTGTTTTTATTCAAACAAAAGACATGTAGAAAAGAAAATGTTCTAATATTTTATAAGGTGGTTGAAGAAGAGACCAAAAAAGAGCAGATTGATCAGATGGTGTGGACTCCAGAATACCTAAAAGACAGCATGAACCACAGAATTAACACATGCAAAGATATAATAATTAGACCGTTAGAGGTACACAACAAATTTATTGTGTTACCATCATTATTATGGAAATACCAAACTGTAAACATCATTTGATATTTCACTTGCTCTGCCCTGTCAGGACTACATCATGCATCACAATCCTCTGCACCTACTGGAGCTGGATGGAAATGACAAACCGGAGGATCTGCACTTGGTAAGAAGTTTTCATTTTGCCCATTCAAACAGGAACACAACTCCACTTACCCCAAGTTTGCACAAAACGCAGAAACCTGACTATACTGACAGATAAAACATATTTCTAGAATGTATTGTCTCGTCTTGGAGGAATGGCCATTCACCGTCCATCACTTCCAGTTCTTCTCAGCAACGAAGACGATAATCTGCCAGAGGACACTGAAATGGTTTTGCTTTTAGATCCAATGTAATCCAACTGCTGAAACCTATTATATAACAGTTTTGAAATTGCTATACACAGGACACCCTTATGAGAATTATGTCATCCGCAAAAGTCGTGGCCCCAGGTTTCAGATGGAGGAGGAGTCGCTGGGGAGGAATCTGTCCTGTAGCTCTCAAAGAGGGAAAGGTTATTCCTGGAAAACCTGAATTCTGTGTGGGGTAAGTGTGATGTTTTTCATTCTAATAACACAAAGCTGAATTTATTATTGTAACCCACAATTCTGATTCTTAAATGCAATTGTTTTCTGCATAAAATTTAAAACTAAACCTGCATCATCATACTGTTAGTGAGAAAATGTGTCTGCATCTTGTTTTGTACAGTTTTCAGGACAAAATGTACATCCTTTCCGATACCAAGGCATATGAGAAGTTCACTGAAAACCCCAGAAGATATTTAGTTGCTCCAATGCCCAGAGCGCCGTGTCGGGTTTGCATCATTGGCCCCTCTCTATCAGGGAAGAGCACACTGTGTGTTCTTGTGGCTCAACATTATAATGCACAAGTATTAGACATGGACACGTTGGTAAAGACCACGCTCAAGGAGGCTGAAATAGAGCGGCTGGAAAGATTAACACAGGAGGCAACGGCTTCAGCAATAGAACAAGTCAATTCCATGAAATCTACAGAGGAGGGAGAAGAAACAGGTAAGTTAAACATACACTTTACTTTACTTACTGTACTAAATGTATGTTGTTCCATGTATGCGGCCCAACTACAGCTCTTAATCACAACAGCTGCCATCTTGTAGGACAATTACTCAACAACAGATCAGAAAATCAGAATAATTTTTATTGCCATGTAAGTAATAGGAAGTCACAGTCAGACTAGGAAAATGCTTTAGCTCAGTGCAACGGTCAAAGAAGAGAGGTAAAGAATAGAGTAAGGCATAATAAAAATCAGCATACACTTCTAAGGTGTAAAAATTTAAATAAAATAATTACGGCACGGTGGCTGAGTGGATAGCACTCTCGCCTCTCAGCAAGAAGGTCCTGGGTTCGAATCCCGGCCGGACCAGGGCCTTTCTGAGTGGAGTTTGCATGTTCTCCCCGTGTCTGCGTAGGTTTCCTCCGGGTACTCCGGTTTCCCCTACCACTAAAAATATGTACAATAGGTATGGCATGCGCCTCCTGTTCGGCGACCCCGCTTCCATCTCTGTGTGGAGTGAGAGGACAAGTGCCCAAAAATAACAATTGTAAACCGCTTTGTGACTCTGGTCTGTGAAAGGCGGTATATAAATAAAGCTTACTTACTTACTTACTTACAATTACTAACATTGCACTGGAACAGTAATAATAACAAATACATAGGAGACAATGGTTCATTTAGAGCGGCAATATCGATAGGAGAAATTCGGTTGTTCAGCAGCAAAAACACATCCATACAAACACATACACGTCTATATTTTATAAACTTTTCTAACTAACTAACAAACAATAGTGCACATATTCAAGTCAGACATATCTGTTGTACTGCCTTAAAGCCAAAGGTTAGGAGTTTTTGTACTTAAGTCTTGCTTCTTCATTATGCTAAAGTTGGAGATTTTAGATGTTATACTGCTTTGTTTTATGCTAGCGTTAGAGATTTTTGTTTTTTGTTTTGTTATTTTCATTTATCTTGTGCTGTGTGCTCCTCATTCCCACTGTCGGTAACTTGTGATGCAACACAAATTTCCCCGCTGTGGGATGAATAAAGGATTAATCTTAAGGTACAAAGGATCTCTTAAAACGCTAAAATCTACAACGCTACAGTATATATACAAATGGTTATAACAGACACAAAAATGGTAGTATTGGGTTATAATTATTTGATTGTTATGACAGTCTAACGCTGAGATGTTTTCAGTGACAGATGATCACCCAGAAGTACAGGCCATTGTACAAGCTGCTCTGGAAGATGCGAAACAGGTCCCTTTATCACAATTGGACAAGTGTATATTGGTACTGGAGAAGCGCACAAGGGAGGTAAATACAACCATTATCATAATCACTCTCAAACATTAAGAGACAAAGCAGCTAATCATAGAGTGTTGTATTTTCAGATTGAGCGGCTGAACAGAGTGGCAGATGTTCCAAGTGGTTGGGTACTGGAACATTTTCCCAGAAATGCCGAAGAAATTGAGGCCCTTGATCGAGCCGGTCTCTTGCCTGATCTCATATTTTGTCTTGAGGACGGTGAAGGAAGCCTGTGTATGTACTCAACCTCTGTATGCCTATGTCCTGAAGTTTTTTGCATCTCATTTTCAAAGTTATGTGTGTAGTGCTGACGAGACTTTATGAGATGAACAAGGGCAGCGTGGATGAAGCTGTAAAATCCAGACTACAGAAGGAGCAACTGGAGAAGGAGAAAGAGACCATGTGAGCACGCTAAAAGATAGTTTTTAATATGTTTGTATTTATCAATATTGACCGAACGATCTGAATGGGTCCATATCAGAAGACGTAAAATAGAAGAAGAGGAAAGAGCCAAAGCTGCAGAGAAATTGTCACGTCTCGAGACTGTTTCTGAAGGCACTGAGGGTATATGTGAGTCATCTTGCATCATTTTGAACTGTTTATATAATCTTGTTCTGTATCATTTCAGAAGAGAATACAGAAAAGGCAGACCTCGACAGCTCTGATTTACAACAAATAAATGAGCAGGACGAGAATAAAAGTATGACCCAGCTCCATCCTGCGCCGCATGGAATAGGAGAGGGTAAAGCATAAAGCATGTTATCTGCCATTTAAATTAGAATCTACTAAAAAAAAATTATTTTTTTATTTCCTTACTTAAAAAAAAGTCAAAAGGCCAAATTCTTCCCGAAAGATTAAACTGACATCTATAATTTAGAAGTTATAAGGGGCAATTGTGGCTAAGTAGAGAGAGCATTGGTCTTTGGACCTAATGGTCGTGGGTGCTACAGTCTGACGTCGCCCCCCCCCTAAAAGACAAAGGCCGTGTTGTGGCAGGAGAATCAGTGAGGATGTGAATTGAAAGGCAGCTCTGATTGAAAAAAGAGAAAAATAATTAGGTTTAACATTACACCTGTTGTTTAAATGTTTAGGAATATACTGTACCAGATGTTTTTTTAATTTGCTTTCCTCAGTTGAGCTCCCAGATCATTGGGAGCTTGGTTATCCAAATGGTCCTGAGATGAATGTGCACAAGAAGCACATTCAAGATTTCATGCACGACTGGGATCGGATGCAGCTCGTGTCAAACGTCACATGCAGCGTTCTAGAGATTCGTGAAAAGCGGCCCGAACAGCTGCTCGAGGAGGTGGTCTCTGAGATGGAAAGTTAGTTTCAACCATGACTTTGTTAATTGTTCTGTGGTTATGGGAAAACAACAACACAACATCTGTATGTATGGCCTTTAGAGCAGTTCAAACACGTGGCCAGTGAGCTGACAGAGGCCGATCTGGAGGAAGAAGCAGAGGACATGGCTTTTTTGCGGCGAGACGAGGAAGGTGATGATGATGAGGAGGCAGAGGAGGAGAGTGAAGTAAGCATTGGTTGATTGTATAATTCATGATAGAATAAAGCTATAAAGTTGCCTGTAATTCTTTAGGAGAAAACGTCAGTCGCAAGATCATTTGGTGACACCTTTCACTTCTGTCCTGTGGCTTTAAAAAACAGCAATGTCCTTTTTCCTTGTACTGATGAAAACGCAGCCATGTACAGGGAGAAAATCTATTATTTATCCAGTCCCGAGGCGAGAAACCTTTTCCTTCAAAATCCCGAACAGTACGTCTCACAAAATGAGCTATTGAAGGTAATAATAAAATCCGACAAAGGTGTTTGAACTTATCTAAATGCAGTCTTTTTTTTAAGCCTCCCGCCTTAAGGGTCTTCATGCTCGGCTCTAGAGGATCAGGAAAGACCACAAACGGGTCGTGGTTGGCTCAGAAGCTTGGACTATTTTACGTTAACTTTAGGGAGAAACTGCAGATGCTCATCATAGAAAAGACCAAAAAAGCAGTGATGTATTCGGATGAAGAGGAGACTTCTGAAGAGTCAGCTGAAGATTTGGATGCTCTGATCAAAGAAGCCAAGGGCGAGATGGATAACGAAGAGGACTCTGAGCAGTTACTTAAGGCAAAGCACTGCTACTTATTCTGCCCTGTTCAATTGTATATTCGAAACAGACTAAATTATATATTAATTTTAAGTAATATATATCTTATTCACATAAACAGGACACATTGGAATTGACGGATGATGAAAAAGAAATCGTAGCTTACCTGTCTGATGGAGAAGCACTTAGTCCACATATACTGGATATGGTCCTCCTCCCTTTATGGAAACATCAGCCATACATGTAGGTTATGGACAAAATACTCAAGTTTCTCAAGTGGAATTGTGAAAGTAGCTAGTGTATTACAAGTAACAGTCAAAAGCGATTAGGAATAATGTATTAATGAAAGATTTAAGGTGATCTGTTGTTTTACCTTTGTTTTTGTATGTGACAAAGGTCAATGGGGTTTATTTTGGACGGTTTCCCTACTAACGCTGATGAGGTGGAGTACATGGCACGGCAGCAGCTCTTCCCAGATGTTGTGGTCTCACTGGGGCTGGAAATGAATGTTGTTAAAATGCGCCTCTTACCAAAATACCTTGGAAACTGGCGAGACCGCTCCAGCCACCGGCGAGCTCAAGTGTGCCTACTCCGGGAACTACGTCAGAAAAAGCGGGTTTGTTTTACTAAATTATGTTTGTAGATCATGTCAACCAGTCAATGCGTTTATTACACACAGGAGGAAAGCATTGCAGCGAGAAAGGCTGAACTGATGGCAGATATTCTGGCTAATACAAAGGTGAGATTTATTCTGATGACATATATGAGTTCTTACACTAAGTTATACTACTGTGCAGGCGAAAGGTGAGGATTATGTGGAGGAAGAGGAGGAGGAGGAAGATGAAATGAACCCAGAGGAAGACATTGAGGCCACACTGGAAGAGGAGTTCCCCCCAGATGCGGACAGTGATGACTTAGACAGTGAAGAGACAGAGGAAGTGGCCTCGGAACAAATACAAATGGCCATAGCCGTACGATTTGAGAAAGATAAAGAAAACATTAGTGTCGTGATGGTACTATTACATGAGATCAAATGAATGTGCTTCAAATGCAAATTGGTTTTCAAGGTTGTTTTTTTACTACAGGAACTGCTGGTTGAGCAAAATGTACCAACAATGACTGTCGATGCAGGAGGTAAACTTAAAAGAGTGCGAAATCATCTGCTTAACCATGTTCAGCCACTCTTAACCAATAGAGAGTCACTCTTTCAAAAATGTCAACCAATCTCCTGTCAACAAGCGCACATACTTCTGTCCTCATCTTACAAATATCACAGTGGGTTTGGCTTTTGGGATCCTATTCAGGTGAGCACAGCTGATAGAAAACAACTCATGTTGTATTCTTGACAAAAAAATATGTTACAAAAATGTTGTGTTTTGCAGTTGTTTAATGAAAGAGATGTAATACATCTTCCTCTGTGGCCTTTTGATAATTCCTACCCTTTGATCTTCAACCATTATATCTACTTTTTTGAGTCAAAAGAGAACCGTAATGTATTTATGCGGCACCCTTTGAAATACTTACGCCAGCCCAAGCCCATCCCATCTCTTCCTGTTAGACTTTCTGTCATTGGACCTCCAAAATCTGGTAAAACAACAAGTAAGTTTTGAAACATACTCAACATTTAATCTTACTTATTGTTGTTTCTACAATCATTATTTTTGGTTTCTTTATCAGTTTCTGAGATGTTATCCCAAAAGTATGGATTGACCAGACTCTCCATGGGTTGTGCTCTCCGTATGATGCTGGAAGCACATGAGCACGCAGACCTCAGTGTTCAGATTAAGAATCATCTTAATCAGGGTAACGTTGTACCTGATGAGCTGGCTGTTCAAGCCTTACAAAATTTGCTGCTGTGCTCTGTCTACAATGTTCATGGGTAAAACAATAGATTTAAATGCCTTTTTCAATAATCAAACCATCCTAGTTTCATTCCGTAAGATACATGTTTTATAGGTATGTTTTGGATGGATTTCCAATTACCCTTAAGCAAGCGCAGCTCATGGCCTCTTGCAACATCATTCCCATGGTTGTTGTGGAGCTCAAGTTAGACACATTGAATGTTTTGGAAAGAGGCAGAACAGACAAGCTGAAGACCAGGCCGTAAGAACCACGCAGCTAAATGTTGTTACTTTTGTTTTTTCAAAACATTGATATTTTGTGCTTTTTTTTCTTATCACAGACCATATGTAATGCACGACAGTCCCAAGATACTTCACATTCGTGACTCCTGTTTTAAACAGGAAGCCGAGTCAGTAAGAAAATATTTCCAGAAACAGCACAAAAACTGGTTACAACTAGATGGATTGAAAAGCAAATGGTGGATATGGAAAAACATAATTGATGAAGTGAGCAAAAGTGTGAATAATATCAACAACTACCTGCAAAGGACACTTGCTGGTATGATTTAAGGGTTACATCATAAGCATTTTATTTTAATATTTATTTAAACAACACACAAATATTTTATTTTTCAGATCAAGCTGCCAGCATAAGTAGAATGTGCATCACCCCAGAGCAGCTGCAGCATCAGATTGGGAGTTTTGGAAGTCACTGCCCAGTCTGTCTGGTTTTAGAGCGCCATCTAGTGGACTGCTCTGAAACACCAGACATGACACGCCATGCAGCTGAATACAGAGGCTACTACTACATCATGTGTAAAGAAAAGCACTTAGAAGTAAGTGTCCCCAATCCAAAACATATACATACATCCCAACATCCATCTGTAACTATCATTGTTTTCACAGTTGTTTTTAGAAAGTCCAGAGAAGTTTGTGGCTCCAGGCTGTGCTCAGACGCTCCCTCCTCCGCACCTTCTGCCAAAAAAACTAAATATAATACAAGTGAAAGAGAAGTTCCCCCAACAGGTGGAGTTGAGAGGTTTATGTCCGGTGACCTATCATGACGGCAAACAAAGGTACAATGTCATCTTCATTCACAGCATTACACAGGATCTTAACACCGTGACAATATTGTTAGATATGAAGCTTTAGTTCGCGGAAATATGGAATTTGCCGTGGAATATCGTGAGCGGATCTATTTCTTTGAGACCAAGCCAAAGCAGGAAACATTTTTAAGGTGACTGGTGTTGTGATCCTTACCTCAGTTGGATTTGTTTGATATGGGAGTTGACATTGACCTGTTTTGATGCAAGGTGTCCTGAAACGTACTGGGACCAGAAGCTTCCCAATAAGACTTTCCCTCTCTGCGAAACTTTGCCCATCAGCTCTCTACCGAATATTGGATATCTGGAACAGGTCATTGTATATTTAAATTTGTCACGTTTAAAGCTCACAAAGACCTCAAGTCAGTTCAAAATAAAATAAATGTACCTCTTGCAGGGGGTGTCAGTGTCTGTCATCAAGGCTGTGTCTGCTGTGGGCTGTCTGAAACCAAAGTATCCATTTCTCACTGTGCAAAAGTCTGCTATTCTATATGTGGCCTACTATCTGAAAGGTAAGCAGAATAAGACAGCTTCAACTCAGAACCTTAAAACCTGTTTATGTCTGTGCATTTTAGCATTCAACCCAAGAAGCAGCGACTATGTTCGGCAGAAGTATAAGAAGAAATTGGCTTTGTTTGAAGAGAATTGTGCTCTCATCCCCTATCTGATCTCGAATATGCAGGGAGAGTACAAACCTCTTAGTGCACAACCCATAGACTTTGAATTCAAACTGAACAAGTTTCTGGCTTTGAAGGACACACAAGGAAACACTGTGTAACTCTCTCAGCACATGTTGCTCCGGTTTCATTGTTATTAATCATCTGGTTCTGGTTCATTCTGTGACTTCAGTAGAATATGTGTTTTATTGGCAAAAGTAAGGGTGCACTGTGTAATTGAATGATTTACGTTTCTTGTGAAGGTGAAAATAGACCATTTCCCAGTGCAGAAATAAAATGCGGTAGAATGAACCAAATGCCTTTGTGTCCATTTATTTTAAGCCAAGAGTGTAAAGTATTAGGTCAAATTAAGAAAATATTTCATTCAATTGGTGGATGGTCAGCAAAACTCAAACCACGCTATCCCCTGGTCTATCCCCTGGTCTAACCCCTGGTCTAACCCCTGGTCTATCCCCTGGTCTATCCCCTGGTCTATCCCCTGGTCTATCCCCTGGTCTATCCCCTGGTCTATCCCCTGGTCTATCCCCTGGTCTACCCCCTGGTCTATCTCCTGGTCTATCCCCTGGTCTATCCCCTGGTCTATCCCCTGGTCTATCCCCTGGTCTATCCCCTGGTCTATCCCCTGGTCTATCTCCTGGTCTATCTCCTGGTCTATCCCCTGGTCTACCCTCTTCATGCATCTAAGATCATGAAATATACTACTATTTGAACACACAAGACTGTATCACTGACTGGTCTCTCTGTCCTCCCATACTATATCAGTTTAGTTGTCTTTTTATTTGTTTTTTTCGTACTTTTAATGTTGTTTTATGTCTGTACTTGTGCACACTGGGGACTTTTGCTATTGAATTCCAATGTGTTTTTTCTGCAAATGGCAAATGAAATGAATCTGAATCTGATATCCTGAATGTCTGTTTAAAGGACCCATTTGAATGTATATAATATTACTACATGCCAAAATGAGTGGTTATTTGATATTTTTAGGCTCGGCTCATTTACAAATATTACAACAGCAATTGTTCATAGAGTCTAGATACATGTAAGCAATGATAGGATTTAATATGTTTTTAAAGAAAGACATTGAACCATCGACAATTGATTCCTTGTGATAAATTGCCTCAATTATAGATTGTGATGTTTGTGATTCTTAGACCCAGTTTAAAGCAATGTAATAATTTTAGAATTTCAAGTAATATGCAACAAATGGTGGTAAAAACACAACTCTATTACACAGACATAGAAATATTATTTATTTATTTTTATCCAGAGGGAAATGTGCAGCTATTATTCAAATTAACATAAAAGTATTCCAAGTGTTACTTCATGTAACCGGATAGGTTACAAAATACATTTGGTGGCAGGTATTCAGTATTCTGTAAGTATTCTCCCCAGCACTGGAGAGACACGCAGTGGAATGTGGGTAAAAGTCCATTCTTTATTTAGAGACTATTATCAAAGCAACAGAACCACTTAAAAGAAAACTACAATTGTTGTTTTAGTTCTTGTATAACAACATAAGTTTTGAGAAATGGCCGTGCTGTTTGTGGAGCAGTGAAGGTCTCGTAAATGTATACGTTACACTCTGTGGGAAAGGTCATCAGTGCGTTTATCTTCAAATCGCCAGTTGACAGTGAAATGTATGATGTTTGTTTAGCTCAAGAGCTCTTCCGGTGAGTCAAATCAGTCGCATTCTCCCTCAGAGACTTTTCTTGTGAAAAGTCTACAAACAGATTACAATCTGACTCTATTTTCTCAACAATGTGTTTGAACAAGACAGAACATTTAGTTAAAGCCCCAGTATTAAAATATGGGTACACAAAAATAATAATAAATGCATTTTCCATTTGTATGTGTTAAAAACAAGAATCATATGTCTTGTTGAGCAGGGTAAACTTGACATTGCCTCCATGAGAATGTACTTTTGGCATACAACCTTGAGAACTCAGGTGGTTTGCCAAATCACTTACAACATGAAAATCATCTGAGTATTTTTTCTGAACATAGAACACACCAATTGGGACCCACCAATGATCTTTACAGGTGCCTTCATCCTCATAAACGAGACTGGGTTTCACTTGTATGTCTGTTTTCTCCGATCTTCTGCTAATGATCAACAGTTAAGACTTTGAAGCCATGAAGGGTGGTCTTGTGAGAAGGAGGGATTTGTACCTTTAAAGGCTCTGTGCCAAATCCCCATAAGGCGGTCCGCTGGAATGCACTTCCACTCAGGCACAAAACGTTTGTTGACAACCTATCTGACCTCTTGATATTACAAGATGAAGACCAATTTACTTGTCTTTCAACTATTGGAAAGAAATGCAGTGTGTGACAGACATGTGTCTGGGCCTCGGTATGAGCAACATGTGGACAGTGCAGAGGACTCTTCCTCCACAGAGAGTCAGACAAAGCTCAAGGAAAGGTCTCACAGAGAGGTGCATTTCCCTTTCTTTACACAGAGCTATCAACCTTTGACAGTGCATGATGAAGAGCAGGAGAAAGGAGAGGAGAAGAAGCGGAAAAAGAAGTACAAAACAGTGAGAAAGGTGAGTGCTGTCCTTAGAGTAGATATGTATTTATGTGTGTGTATGTACCTATATGTATGCATGTATGTATGTATGTATGTGTGTGTGTGTGTGTGTGTATGTACTGTATGTATGTGGGTATGTGTGTGTGTGTGGATGGATGGATGGGTGGGTGTATTTATGGATAGATTGATGGATGTACAGTATTATGTTCTGTATGTATACATACCAAAACAAAGTTTAAGTGATAACCCTGCAGAATATCTTCATAGAGGTGACTTTTCACTCTTTGGGTTGTTTTATTTTTTCACATTTCATCTCATTTGGTCATTATAAAATTAATAGATTATTAGATTCATAAAAGCTCTTCTCAGCATGTTTTAGTCTATGTAAGTTGATGTATATATCCACTTTCATCTATTTCAAATGCTCAGCCCATTTCCTCCTTGCTTGAAGTATAAATGTTTATCTAAGAAGCAGGGACAAACTGCTGTGTGCACTTCCATTGTGTCAAAAGTGTTTTGTTCTTCAAACCTCATGTCTTTGGCCAATCATCTTTACAAATCTATAAATGTCCTTCATTCCAGAAGGTGTAATATAAGATAAAGAGTAAAGATAAAGAGAAAAGTAATATAAGAGACAGATGTGAGATTACAGCTTGGTCTAAAGCAGGTTTGTGTTTCTTTCAGAATTTGAGGAGAGCTATGAAGTCCACCTGGAAGTGCTTGGTGCTTGGCTTGTACAACTTTGCTTTGGGATATTCAACCCCTATGGCAGCTGCTACAATGTTTTCACCTGATTTTCAACATAGTCAGAGTTGGCCCTGAAGACCAATGACCAATGTAAAAAGACTGCCCCTATTTTCTTTGTGGGTCTGTGTTTGTGAACCCAAGGAGGTCTGTGTGAAACTATGGAGTACTTTGAATTAAATGTACACACAAACATCAACTTTTGAAGCAATGAAACACATAATATGCAGTGTTTGCAATAGTATCTTTTTCTACATTTTAATAATAAACATTCATGGTCTCTAAGAGATTGTTCGTTCATGCATTTGTTTGTTTGCTTCTCTCTCTCTGAGCCCTAAAGTCATATTTTGTCTTACTGACCAAAGCCATCCCATACTCATCTAATAAATAGTTATTGATATAATAACAACAACAACAACAGATGGTTTATGTTAAAATCAGATGCAATAGAAGTTTCATATTGTTCATTTTATTTTATTATTCAGTTGGATGGCAGGATAAAGTAAAGTAATATTACTTTTAAGCAATATTTGAAAGATATTTAGAAAGAAAAATGATCCAAATATTTCCCTAGATAATTATTTTATAGTGATATTCGTAATTCTATAAGTACTATTAAATAAGGATCTAGGATAAGAATGGTAATTTTTTTCTTTCAAAAATATATTCTTTCTATAGATTTACATTGTAATCCAATGCCCTCCAACTATATAAATGACTTATAAAACATGTATTGCTCATAATTATTATAGATCCATGCATTAACTGCTGCGGGGTTGGGTTGCTGACGTCATCTTTATGCGACCCTGGTTCTTCCGCATTCGTCTGTTTACAGAGCAGATTAGCATTACGGCTACAGCACAGATAACTCAGACATTTGGTGATTTCATTTGATTGTATGTGATGGCAGTGCCAAAAGCACAGAATATTAGCTCGATTCCGATAGATGGCTTCAGTAATCTCAGAATTACATCAATATGGGAGTTCCTCATGTCTGTAAGTACACCTAGATACATTACATCCATCGTGTTGATCTATAGTTCTTTGTGGATTCTGCACCTGTCTAATGCATTAAGTATCTAGATAGTGGATACTCTTCAGTTCTTCATGATTTTTACGGTTTACGTTTTGTTTCACAGGTGCAGTGGTCCGAATCTTGGCTCATGGGTTTGCTCAGCTTTCACCTTGTGTGCATATGTGTGACTGTTGTGACATGCAGATTCTACAAAGCACAAATATGTCACTTCTTGCTAATGAGTAAGTTTGTAAATCCTCTTGAAATCATTCTCTTACATATGAATCACTATTTGAATTTCTCACAGCGGGGTTGGTGTACAGTGCTGAGAATTTGAACGAGTTGGCTGCCATGAACTGGAGGTAATGCTAAAACACTATGAAAAGGTTATAAAGACACCAGCTGATGACAAACACGTCTTTGTTTTCCAGGTCTTTTTCTAATTTCCAGTACTTTGATTCTACTGGCATGTTCATATCTCTGGTTTTCTCCATTCCTCTTTTGATGAACACTGTCATTATTGTTGTAAGTACATTTTTGTATTATTTTATGGCAACATCTTTGTCCTAATTGTGACATGCCCAATGTGTGATTCTGTTTTCAAGATGGTGTGGGTCTACCGGACGTTTTCAACAATGACTGAGCTAAAAACCCTGCAGCTTAAAAGGAAGATGCAGAAACACACACGTGAGAAGGCTGTACTTCCTAAAATGGATTCTAACAAAAAGAATGCTTGATCCTCATCCCAAGCGTTGGAAGGACGATGTTTTATACTGTAAAAGGACTTTTGAAAGAGCATCAAACAAAGGCTCTGGGGTCACAAGTGGGATTGTATCTATTTGTATTTATTTTCTGAAAGTTGTCATTAAACTTGTAATGTATCTTACTAATGTACTCTAAATTATCTCCAATAGTTTGTAATTTTTACTTTTTTACAAGTGCTGCAGCTAATTATTTTTGTAACCAAGAATTCATTTGATTATTACCTTTGATGAATTGAGTAAACTATTTTTACACTGTTAACAAAACAGGAAATATATACCGCGCCATACAAGGACTAATACACCATGAAACCATAAACAACTTTTCTGAGTTCACACACAAGTAACACAACTGTGAAGTGAAAATTATTCATAATTCTGTTATTTTTCAAAAAAAATAGAAAACTAGTATTAATACGGGATGAGTAAAATCTAACAATGAAAAAAAGTTCAAGGTGTATTCATACTTTTGAGGCACTGTATCATTCATAATTAAAATTAGCCTAAAGTATCCTGAGAACCGAGACAAGTGCAGGAATGTGTTTCGTCTGGTCGAGTTGCAACAGTTTCACATTGTTTTTTGTTTATATATTAATATGAACTGATTAATCGAAACATAAATAGTTGTTATTTGACCTTGTCTAGTCAATTACAGGATTTCACTTTAATCTTGTCAGCCCCTCTTTTACCCAAAGGGTTTTCTCATGAGCGGAAATGATCATTGTTGGATCCTGTGAAAATCTTTTATTTAGAGCTGATCATGAGTTTGCGCTGTGCGAGTGATAGAAATAAACACATTAGCAACAGCCAGAGTTTAGTAAACATACTGCTTAAATATCATTAAAATCAAGCTCACATTCTAAAAGTAGCTTCTGCCTGACCACTTCAGCAGCCAGAGGCTTGAGGAAGGTTAAGTCCTATGACTTTCTGTGGGGCCTTAGAGGCACTGCCTCAGTATGTTGAAGGTACCACTGCCTGTGATTGCTTAAGCCGGCAGACAACTTAACCTCACAGACACTTAGGCTTAGTTGGCTGTTACTTTGTCAGATTTATTCCCATTGGTATAATCTCCAGAACATTTCAGATCTGTCACCGTCTGTCATGCGTATAACACGTTCTGTTTTTGGAACATTGTGCACAGTAGGAAAGGGGACGTCACATTGTGCCTTGAGCACCCCTAATCACATGTTTTATATCATTTGGAATCTAGTGATAAAGCCTCAAAAATGCATGCCCAAAATCCTCAAAAGCTAACATTACCTTTTGTGGGTTTTTGCATGTTTTTGTGAATGAACACAAGACACAAAATATTGGGGTATAACTATTTGCCTAAACTTCCCCAGTTTCGTGTTTGTTCCACTAGATGGCGTAATGGGTTCAATGGCTCTTGTTGATGTTTCTGATGTGTTTTTTATGCTTAATTCTCATGTATTTATTCGACTGTTTTCATTTATTATACAGCTATCATCTCTCCATTTTTCAAGATTTCTCGCAGATATACAGCAAGTTTGAATTGGATTATATGATTATATAAAAAGGCAAATACAGTGGATTCATTCATTTTCATGTGCATTGACTCTCTACAAACCAGTTTATTATCTACAAACCAGTAAATAATAATATTTTGACAGTTTCTCTTTCAGGGAGCAGACGTTTAGCATGATCTGCTTTAGAAGATATATTTTTGGAGGGATGTCATTATTATTATTTATTATGTTCTCATAGAGGCACTAATAATGGACTATATGGGAAATAAATATGAATATGTTTTCAAAAAGTATTTCCAATTGTATCAAATTACCCAATTCACAGTCTCAAGAAAATAAAGAGAGTTCAATCTGGAAAGACTCGAGATGAAGATTGCATCAGAATAGTTATTGTCAAGATGCATGAAAAAACACCTGCAGACTTAGACTGAGTACTATTACATTTATTGATTAGAGTTTAATAGAAATTATGAGCTTGCTTCCGGGGCCTAGACCCTGGTGGCGAAGAACCTGAGCCAATGACATAACACTCCACTGAAGAGGTGGTGATGGGGAGGAGGTGGGTTGCTGCTCGAACAGCCGTTTGAGCTCTATCGCAGTCATGAAGTAATGAGTACAGGTGTGTTACTGAGCAGCTGAGGCTGATTGCTGTTGAGCTCAGGTGCGGGTGTGTAGAAGGAGGAGTTATTAGAATTGTTTGAAGTAAAAATTGAAAGAGTTTCCACACACTACTCCTGCTGGTGTTTGTTGAGGTGTTTGTTTGTTATTATTTCCTTTATTTGGTTGGGACAGTCTGTGTTAATGAACAGCAGTCCTGTGTATACACTGAAATTGCAGCCTTGGGGGTAATCTGCAGTCCCACATTTACACTCACAAACACAGACTCGTTCAACCTGAACTATTGTACAGATTGTAAGTGGTATAGGAGCAGGAACACTTGGAGGAAATCTATGCAGAGATGGATTTGACCTTCACATGAAGCATGACTGCTAACCACCATGCCTTTTATGACTGCAACATTACTGTCTGTGGGGTTTTCCCACATTCCAAATGTTCCATATTTCATATTATAATTACATCTCGTACTGTCACATTGACCCAATGGGATAGATCACACCGCAGAGCCGCTGCTCCTGTCACCTGCAGCTGCTGTGGAATTTGGAAACTTAAGTGACTGTAGGACACAGGCAGTTTGGCCTATTTATGCATATCACAATGGAAATAGCCTTTAGCATATTATCCTGGTTATATTTTTCCAAGCCTATTATATTGTTCAATCGGATCCTATGTTATATTGTAGCCTAATAATCATTATTGCCAAACACAAACATCAGTCTTCACAGAATTGTTATTTTCTAAACTAAGATCAATTTCACATTCAGTGAAATGACTCAATGAGTGTCATTCTAAAAAAATATGTAACACGGAAACAATTTTTTTCACTACATATTCACGTAATGAAATACCATAGCACATCAGCCCCTCCCTCCCCTAACCTCATAACCATTCCACTCCCAATTCCCCCTCGTTCAACACACAATACCTCCACCTCAGCCCACCCCTCCCCTAACCCATCACCAAAAACCCCTCTACCTCCCCATCCCCCTCGTCCAACACCCAAGAACCATCCTTCTCTCCATCTTCCTCCCCCGCTTTCCCCTTCCCCTCTTATCTCTAAACACTAGGATGCACAGGGACTCTGCTTCGCAGCCACTGGCAGTCTAGGTAGAGGAGGGACCCAGGTGGGGCCCTGTCAAATGTAAAATGTAAACATTGTTGACGTTGCTATGTCGGATCATTTGTGTGTATTTTTTGACATGTGTTTCACTAACAAACCACCAGTGGATGCTGCAGTTGTTCGAAGAAGACACATTAATGAAAATACGGGAGAACTATTTATGGGAATGATAACCTTTGAGAATGCATCGTGTTCTACTGTAGATGAACTGTTTAACTCTATCACCTCTAGTGTTTTGAATGTTCTGGATACCATCCTGTGAAGGTTAAAATAGTGAAAAATAAGCAGAAGGCGCCGTGGGCTAAAGCAGACTCGGTCAGAGCACTGAAGAGAAAGTGCCGGAGGGCCGAGCGGAAGTGGCGCAAGTCCAACCTCCAGGTTGATTACGAGATCTTCAAAGATAAGTTGTGCGAGTTTAAAGGACAACTCACCCTCAAATCCACTTTTTTTTGCTGATAAACGATTTAAAAGTGTCCAATAGTGTTGTCTACATATCCTGGTCATAGTTTTTTCACTTTGGTGCAAATTAGTTGAAAGTTAAACTTTCTGCCTAAAACCGTCTGTGAGGCGCCATCTGCTGGCGACCTGTATTACTACATTTGAATTTTGAATCTGGCGCCAACACTGGCACAGAAGTTGGACCTGACGTCTGCAAGTTGGACCTGACGTCAGCAGCCCCCCGCCCAGAGCAATATAAACGGCCCAGTCTCGTTCACGCCCTCTTCAGTCCTCCAGGCTACGCCCATTTAGAGGAAGATTTGAACAGGAAATGTGAGTGACGTAAGCTCCGAGGAGCGGGGGTGAGAACCACTTTAACCAGGTGCTACGCATTACGAGAGAAAGGTGTTTTTCTGAAATGATTGAAGGCTGCAGTAACAATCTGCGTGTTCTGTTTTCAACAGTTAATAGATTAACAAACCACCTTGTTCAGCTTCCATTAGAGCTTACTTCTAAATGTAAATGTAATGAGTTTGCAATTTTTCCCAATGACAAGGTTCAAGGCATCAAAAACGCTATTCAATCCGCAGATAACAACCCAACAGCCAGAAAGGCTCTTTGAGCAAACTCACTTTGCACCTGTAGATGATCAAACTGTCCAAGAGATAATCTCCAGTCTGAGCTCCTCCACATGCAGCCTGGATGTACTACCCACTAGATTTCTGAAGTCTGTACTGAGCAGTCTGTTACCTTCACTCACACAGATAGTAAACATGTCCCTTCGTTCTGGAACATTCCCAAAATCTACCATTTATGGGGAAAGTCCTTGAAAAAGTTGTCTACCAACAGCTTAATAGATTTCTTATAATCAACAACTAATTTGAAATGTTTCAGTCCGGCTTTAGACCCCACCACAGCACTGAGACTGCCCTTGTCAAGGTTACAAACAATATCCAGCTGAACACTGACGCAGGCAAAGTCTCAATCTTAATCTTGTTAGATCTGAGTGCTGCCTTTGACACCGTCGACCATGAGATCCTCTTACAGAGACTAGAGGACTGGGTTGTTGTCGCTGGCACCGCCCTAATTTGGTTCAGGTCTTACCTTGAGCACAGGAAGTACTTTGTGGAGATTTGTGGAGATTGGAGAGTGTATGTGTCTCAGATCATATGGCCCTGACCTGTGGAGTACCACAGGGGTCGATCATGGGACCTCTTCTGTTCAATCTCTACATGCTGCCGTTAGGTCAGTTAATACGCAGAAACAAAGTGTCCTATCACAACTATGCAGACGACACTCAGATCTATGTCTCA